CCTATGCACAAGATTAAATGTACTCGGAGCAGCTACAGAACTAGTACTAGGAGAAGCGGTGTCCGAACTTGGACGCGTTGCAGTACTACTGAACTGAGTATTGATGTGCTAGAGTGCTAGCAGCCTAAACTTTTTTTTCCAAGGTCATCAGAAATTTCGTGATCATTCAGCTGGAAGTTATATGTAGGATCGGTGACACCGTGGGCGTCGGAAAAATCTAAACCATCTCATTCTCCTAGTATATTTACCAGCTCCTCAATAGCAATCTACGCAATTTACGACTCTTTTTGATACTGAAAAAGAAATATTCAAATTCAAATAAATGGTAAAAAAAATCTATCACAAACGCGCAATGTTGTATGCATGCAACAAAATAAAATCGGTCCATAAATAAAAATAATACTATAATTTGCAAAAAAAATAATAATTGTTGATTATTGAAATACATTCGCTTACCTTTTACTCACTTCAATAGCCAAAAAATCAGTATTTCACCAATAAATCACTTCGTAAACGAATTCAAAGAGAGCGAAACCGGTTTTTACACACTCATCACTGCAACGCAAAATAAATACAATTGTCGACATCTAGGTAACTGATTTGTGACTAAATCCATAAAATGCTTTGTTGCTGATCTACAACACAGGGAAAAGTCGATCTATCGGGATTTGCAATATTTTATGTCAATTTGAAAATACTGTGTTGCAGTAGTGCAACATGGCTCCATAAAGGGTTAAGATTTCACACTCACGGTCAGTTTTTGAATGTACGTCAGTTCAACCGATAACAATCTTAATAGACCTTTTTGGTCATTTTATAAAACATGGTTAATTTATAGTCGCAGGTATAAACTATCAATAATACTTACAAATTTTCTTCAAACATAGTTTAAATCAAAGGTTATCAATAAACCTAGTTTTATAATAAGACTGAGCGGGTTCTCGGGCAAAGATTTTACTCCTCAGTTTTTTTAGAGCTCGCATTGAGTTTTGCTACGTAGTATTACTTTTTATCCTGTGGTTTTGTTAAGTAGTTTTGTAAATTAAGTACTATATTTACATATTACAATTTTTTAAATAGTATATAAAATTTTCTTTTTGTTGTAAAAGTAAAATAATTGATTTTATTTCCATTTTTTATTTTATTTTGTGTGGGCGTCACAGCCATGCGCACACAATGTTAGAAAAAAAAACTGTTGTTATGGAGTAAAATGAAACAAATATAAATAGTATGAGCCGCGTAGAACATAGCCAATATACTGAAGTTAATTTTATATTAAACGATTTTATTCTCCTTGAATTCAAGATGAAGAACAAACCGTTTCTAAATATAGAAGTCTGCAATCACCAAGTTCAATTGAAATACTTCACCATCAATAAACCACATGTCTAATTTGTTTAAAATAATTTAATGGTTTGGAGTAGATACTCACTTCTAGCTGAGCCTTCTCGCCTTACAATCCCACAATCAAAATATAGGTCACAATTGTTTGCTTTCTTCAAGAATAATTATAATATGCCAGAAATGTAAGACAAAAATATAATTACGGTGGTCGTTTGAAAGTTTTAAACATTATGATTATCTTAATATGCAAGATTTCAATCCTCCGATCTCTATAATGTTGAGTTACTTGAACTTGATATAAAATTTTGTCTTTAATAAACATATTCACAACAAAATAAATACAACCCTATCCGCGGTTTAAACAACAATTTGTGTTGAATTAAATAATAAATAAGGTACTGAAACATAAAAATTGAGAAAAAATTAGACAACGGAATTTGATGCTTTGTTTTATTTGACCATTTATACATGAATATATTAATCAACTGCATAAACTTCAGTGCCTACGTACTACCTAAACAAGGTATATATTGTCTGTAAATTATTTTTCTATACAGTACAGTTAAAGTGGCTATGAATTATTCACTTACACTATACAACGCGTAGTTCAATTACTACGAGGGAAAACATTTGAACAAAGCTGCTTCTGTAATACAAAATTTAATATATGGAAACATTTAACCTTATCATTAACAATGTTCATTACTGCAGAATCACACAAATATATAAAAATTCAATGCATTTATATTATTGAAATGGGCAAGATCTATCCATAACAAAAACTTAATTTATTGGAACGATGTAATAATTTTGATAATCATAATTCATATTTTCATTTTAAAATAGGTAAGTATATTGTATGTGAGTGGTACAATTTCATCAGACAAATGTACACTCTAATTAATTTTTAAAAAAAGTAAATAATTTAATAATGATATTATTTTTTACTTTTACATTTTCTATGATTACTACGTTTTATTGCTTGGACGCAGTTCAGACTAGGAATGTCAGCTAAAATGCAAAAATAGATTAAATATTATGTAATTCAATAAATAATATAAAAATTCTATATTATACATGAAAGTAGCCAATTAGTGCGAGGAATTATTTAAAAATAAGCAATATAAAATATTCAAGTACATGACTAGTATATATTTTAATTTGTTGTCAAAAATAACATAAACGAATTTGTTGTATTTATACAAGGCAAAATGATCCATCAAATTCATTTAAAATTCAAAATATCACATTTCTAGAAAATTAAAATGATTTCATAGAAATATATATATATATATATATATATATATATATATATATATATATATATATTTATAACTAGCTCACAATGTATTGCTATTATAAAATAAACAACACAAAATATTCCAAATAATATAAAACTATATATAACTATCCTAAAATTTTGATGCTATGAGATCTATAATTACATAAAACACGGTATTATTATTCTTACAATATTAATACTGATTAAGATTAAACTATAAACTTAATTTATTAATATATTAATTTATTTTCAGAAAAACTATCAGTTTGGTAAATGTGTATATGAAAATCCTGTTAAAAAAGAGAAAAATAAATAAAAATATTAAAACCGAAACTACAATAGACGTATTTAGTGCTCGGTTACGTTATACAAAAAAAGTTAGTAACTACACACACTGTATGTATGTTTTCCATGCTATCCCCATCACTTTAGTTAAAAGCATCAAATTTGAAAACTGTACGACGACGTAGCAACATAACTATAAGTTATAATTTTAATTTAAGAACTTAATTAAAGAATTAAAACACGAATGGTGCCAACAGACAAGTGTTACCGTTTTATTGTGCAACAAAATCGGGGGAACCCAACATTTAAGACACACAAAGTTAGCGATATTTTATATTTTTACTTTTATTATATTATTTTAATTAATATTTTTACTGTTATTAAATAAATGTCTTTTATACGTATTTACTACGTGTCCTGCAATTTTTTAGCAAAATTTACGAATTAACATACACAATTAGGTTAAAACGTTGCATAAATATTTATTATTTTGTGTTAGCATTGCATGTTTTAAATTATAAATTCTAGTTTGACTACATACTACAAACACCATAACATATATACATTGATTTTAAATTAATTGTAAAATGTTAGATTCCTGACTTCAGCAGATTTTTACAAAAGTGTTAGCTTTCAAGTAGGATAGTAATAATTTACATTAGAAGCATCAATTACTGATCACCTCCTTTGGAAGTGTTTTTCTGCAATCTTTTAAGAAGAAAGGGAAGTAAAAGATATATCTACTCTGTACAGAGATTCGCTTATGTAGCAATAATATATTCGGAACCGGATCAACTTAAAAGTAAAGTAGAAAACACCTACGGTTCCAGCAACACTCAGAGGCCTGGGGAAACAAACACTGTTATGCGATTTAGGAAGTTTTAAAAATGGATCAGGTTCATGAGACTTGCATCGCCCAGGGGCCTATACCTTATACCCGAAGGTAGCTATTTCCTTTAAAAAAAGACCATGGATAAATAAATGTTGTCACTTTGTCAAAATCTATACAGATAAGAACGTTAAATTGCTATTCTCATGCACACATAACAGTATAAGTGATACACGATTTGTTTTTGCATGTCAATCTTAGCAAATCAACATTGTAATGTTTAAGTGTATATAACTTACAGAGAAATAACACTGTGTTCAGATTCTATTCCGTCACAATGAAAAGTAACTTGCCCTTGATCATCGAGTTGTATGAGTATGAAGGCTTAATATAACTTTGGATTTGTATGTATAAGTACTAGATCAGATTTTTTTGCAACTTTTATGACTGCTTCTTTTCACGTTCACAACTGGCGTGTAAAAGGTATTTCATTAAAGGTTTATTACTATAGCGCTTATTTATTACCTGCCAACTTTATGCAAATTATTTTTATACTCTTATTTCCATAAATTTAAATGTGTGTGTAACTTGTAAGCCATTATATTCAGGCATCAGGAGAGTTATTTTATATCATTAAAGTACTTCACAAAGAGACTCAACGCGACGCGCCGCCAACCTCTATTAGCTCCACTTGATACTTGTCGAGTTTACGAGGCGCCTTAGTCGCGTCTGAGTAAGGCTTGTTCAATATAAAGACTTCTACGTATTCTACTTGACAGGCTCTGGGACCTAAATACATTGCGCACTAAGTTACGCTCAATTTCCGTAACTAGTTTAGGCAACTGGGAGCGGGCGAGAATACTGTTTCTTTGTTTTGTTAACCGTGAACGTTATTCTTGATTAACAAGCTCAATCTAACACTGATTTTGCTTAATGTGACTAAGAAAACTCTGTCATTAACTATGCGCGCACTTCGTCTACGTGATTTGAAATATATTTCAGAGAAGTATGTAACTTTACTTCATATTTACCTAAAAGCAATAACTGTCGTAAATGAAAATACAAGAGCACGGCATATTTATTGTACCAGGTACCCGCGGATACCGACATCTGTGATACAGTTTTTGTTTGAATTGTCTATTAAGTATTATACATACAAATCCTTGTCGTAACAATGATTGATCAATATTGTTATTTGAGGTTGAGATGCGCGTGTGAAGTGGTGCGTGGCACTGGTGGGCGGCGGGCGGCGGGCGGCGGCTAGTCGCGGCGCGCGTGTATGTTGTCGTGGCAGCGCTGGCACACGCGCACGGGGCGCAGCGCGCGCAGGCGGCGCACGGGCGCCTCGTAGCGCGAGCAGCGGCCGCAGAACACGGCGCCGCACTCGCGGCAGTGGTGCCGCCGCTCCAGCGCCGTGAACCGCACCTGCACGTCACGCGCGCGTCCGCCGACCCTTATTACCCTCACCTTTACTGAACTAAGTTAAACATCGCCCTCCTTCCCATATATTGCCAACTAGGGGAAATATTTTGCTATAGTTGCCACACTTGCCAAGGCTTTTTCGCTTTTCAGAAAAACGCCGCTGCCTATCTCTTGTTTCATTTTCCTCTGTCACCTCTTACGACACTCACGAAACGATATGGGATAGTGAATATTCTTACACCACCGCTACGTGGTCACGTTATTAACGTCCCATCGATAAGTAATGTAAGGGCGCAACTTGTTTTACTTACCACGAATAAAATTAAGAAATGTTTATTTCACGCATGCTTTTAATATTGTATATTATATATTTCTTATCATTTAGGGGAGAGTGGGGCAGGTTGTTACAGAAGTAAATAGTTACACACATTTTTACCAAAATTAACTTTCTGGTGCATAGTATTGAACTCAATTGTTTCCATAAAACTTCGCGTATTACATAAGAATGACCAGTGACCTGCCGAACGTCGTGCTATAAAGTTGTGTGCACTTTTAATTTACATTATTGTTTTTTATGCTAACGATATCCATCAATAGTGACTTCAATTTGTTTAAAAAATCGTGCTATAGGTAAGGTAGTTACAATTTTTTAGGGTAAGTTGTTACATATACCCCGTATAATTTGGGCTTGATTATCTTATTAGCAAGGCATAAAAAGCAAGTTTTTAAACCGCTTCCAAGGCAGAATTCTATTTTCGAAGCGTATGCGTTTCTTCATATTTATAAAATATAAATATACATTAGTTTCTTTTTCAGAATAAAAAATTACAAAAAAAAAAACTAGAAGATTTTTTACTTCCTCGCCTAACTTCTCCAGTTTGATACTCGATCTGGAAAAACTGGAATTGTTAGTCGTCGGAAACTAAAATACGCTGTACTATCTGATATACCGAAAAAGGAGCATTAGCAAAAGAATATGAAGAAAAACTGGCCAAGAAACAAAAAAAGCTGCGATAAAAGTAAAGCTAAAGGAAAACGTAAGGGAAAGACAACGAAAATGAGTAAAAAAAAGAAAAGATAAGGCAAAAATATTGGATTCAGATTCAGACTCAGATGCAGTAGTACAGTACTTAAGTTACAGTACTTCTAAAATAGAAGAGTGGGGAGAGTGTATAGAATAAAAAATGTGGCCCATATCAAATCTGTAACGGGAAACGTTTACTCTTTTATTTGCATTAACTGCAATTTTTATTGAAGACTGATTTAATACTTGTATGTGTATAATATTATTATCTACCTTTACAAAAATGGATATCTATTTTTTTCTATCCTATCTATATAATTTAAATAGAAGCGAGTGTCTTATTAATGTTAGGATTCATAATATTAAAATAGTTTAATATAAAGTGATGACACTTTAATTAGTTAGTAGTTTTTTTTACACATATTGATTAGAATTAGTAAAAGTTATTCATTACTTATTGAAAGTTGTTTGTAGCTGAAGAAGCTTATTTCTGATTTTAGTAATAACATTTATCGATAAAAACAATCAAATGGATAAAATATTTGATAGGCTTTGTTATATTGACAATTATCTAAACAATGTAACAACATGCCCCACTCTACCCTAATATTAGATGTAATAATGATAGAAGTAAAAAACAACAACACAAAAATATAAAAAATAACAAACCGATAGGTATTTTCATTTATTTCATTTTCATTTGGAAAAACTTTTTTTATAGGTTTTAGATATGTACTTACTCAGTATATAAATGAGGTATCTGTCTCTGAATAATATATATATATATATATATATATATATATATATATATATATATATATAATTTAATCAAGTTTTGAACTAATCACTGTAATATTTATTTATCTAAATGATTATGCCAATAAAATCATAATTATTAATTAAAACATTAAGATGTTATGACTGTTATGAATTTTAAGTATTTTTGTAATAAATATATAAATCGGATTCTATTTTTTGTGAAGTAATTACTTTATCGTTTTGACATCTAGTCAAGAAACAAGGTATAAACAGAATTTCAGTTTTTCACCTCACCCACTGAACCTAACAATAATATTCAACCGTGGAAATGAGTAAAAAAAATTGTGATTTTTACAAGCTCCAATATATTGTTACTCACCTGACATTGCGTGCAAAATGGTGCGGTGTCATCGCGTATCCAATGGTCAGCGGGACCGCCTTTGGCGCCTGATGCAGTTGACATATCAGGTGCCGACCAACGAAAGATCTAGCAAAATTAATTATTTTATTTTTTAATTAAACGTAAACAACACAATTTAGATTGTTAAGTATAAAACCTACCAAAAAAACTACGTTAAAAACTAACGACGTTAATTGATAATTAAAATTGTAATATATTTTTTTTATTAATTTGTCAATTAATTAACAGTACCAGTTGTGTTATCCTTTGTCACGCAAAAGGTATACTATTAAGTAGATTTAAATTAAATCAGTAACAGGTATCAGCTCACACTCCGCAAGTAAGTTAATGTTGAGTCGGTATTGCTGTCGGGTACAAACCGCTCACATGGCGTCATATGCGCCAACAACAATAACCTTGTCTAAACACAAAAGTGTCCGGTAGAGTTTTAAGGGTGATGTTGCGTTTTAACGTGAGTAATTATCTGGAACCTAGCGCCAGTTAACTTACGTTATTCACTGAATCAATGATGTTATACCAACATGCGTAGCAAACGTTTTAGCTCTGCATGGATATTTGAGGTGGAGCAGCAACAGAAAGTCTCGTTGCCTGGTTTGCGTTCGTCGCTTGTTCAGCGGACAGTGATTGGTGCGAACATTGTATGAATTCAGTTTCTGTCTTAATTACCTATTAAAATGTAAAGGCAAAAGAGAATAGGTGTTTATTGCGGTTAGGGCTTCATCATCACGTATCATCAGGTAGGATTGTAGTAAAGATTGACTTATAATAAGTAAGTAAACTGTCTCCACAATACAGGGGAAAATCCTAGTGTGAGCTGCTCCATCGTGTAAAGTCACATCGGTATAGCTTTCAAATAGTAATGAGGGTAAAATATGAAGTTGTCGTTTTTATGGAGTGGCCATTTTGAATTAAAATAAAACCTGATTAGTCCAATAATCGTGCTTTAACTTTTTTACACAAATACTATGACATTCTAAATTCATAAATAATATTACGTTATTACATTCTATTGTTAAACTTTCAATTGTTTTTACAATAAACATTTGAGTTCAATACGGAAACCTCAAACATAAAAGTAATAGCAGAGACAGCTCACAATATCAATGGTGCGTTTGTAAAGGATAGGATAGGAATAGGAAATTTTGACTTGAAAAATAAGCCACGAGGAAGACCGGACACTAAAATAACGATGAATTAAAACTAATGATGTTTGATTAGGTTAAACAATCATTAGCATTAACAAGAATTATCCTTATGTTTTGCCGTTACTTTACCCACAATATTGATTCATTTGGACATAAGTAGTAAAATAAAATAAAAAAACTCGAGAAATAGGTGCCTCATGAATTAACTGATGTGCATAGATGAGTAGGTATTGAAGCTTGCCTTGCTTTGCTAAGTAGGTACAGGAATTAAGAGATTTTGGACAGAAATGTTGCGTATGATGAATGGATTTTCTACGATTATCGCAGGCGAAATACGCAATAGCTTCATCCAAGTTAAATACTGGAACAATGGCCAAAAGCAAAGCCAGAAAAGAAGTAATCGTTACTGTTTCATGGTCAGTTCAATTCACTATAACTTTTTGAAACCCGGTATAAGTATCAGTAACTTGAAAATTGCGAACAACTATAATGTGTGTGCACGTGTGCGTGTGTACGTGCGTGTGTGTGTGTATGCGTGCACGTGTGTGTGTGTGTGTGTGCGTGTGCGTGCGTGTCGCGCTCACCCGGCCGCGCGCGTCGCCGACGGCCAGGCCGCGGCCGGAGCGCGCGGCGGCCACGGCGGTGACGGCGGCGGGGCACGCGTTGTCGCGCCGCTCGTACGCCGTGTGCATGGTCAGCTTGCCGCGCAGCACCAACCGCCGCGCCCACCGCACGCACCGCTCTGCAATAACACACACACACACACACACACACCATATTCAACATATTCATAACATAACATACTAAATTATACTACTTTTTTTGTTAATATAATAAAATGCATGCTTATTCGAATGGTAATGTGCGGTAAAATCACATGTCATTGTTGCAGTTAAGACAAATGAAATAAAGTATGTTTACTTTATTTAACCTGCTTTAACAGACTTTTCACAAATGTTTTTTTTTTTACTAAACCGTACAAAACGCTTTAACCTTTCAATTAAATGAAAACATTTTAATCACGTTTATATCAGCTATATGAGCTAAGATCTTTTCACAATCTCTCCACAGAAAAATATTACAAAGAAAGTTATGCAGACAAATACTTGTATCCATTGTAAAGGTTATCTAGATACGATAAAATAAAAGATTTACTAATGTTACGTGCGAGAAAAAAAAAAGCGGAAAAGGTTAAGAAATTGATATATTTCCACACACACAGCAAATGTACATTGTACCTACAATTCCATCGTACAAAATTGTTAGGCTTTTTGGTAGAGATCCGCAATTATATCCCGGAAAGCATCAGATGACGGATACTCAAATTTTTAGCCATCATGAACGTCGAAATTATTACCTAAAATTTAGTTTCTAGACATTAAATACGCTTCTAATATAAAAAGGTTTTTTTTCTTATTATTATTTGGATCACCAACAGATGACAACAGGTTAAATATAATTACGAAATATAACCTTAAAATTTTAATTACTTAATTTTAAATCAAAACGTTATTTTTTTCAACAGTCGTTGCATTTCTCTTTAATTTATTTATGAAATGAGAAAGCGATACAAACAATTACATTTTAAGATACCGTATTTGCCAAATTTTTAAAATACCCCAACCACACTGTTGATACGAAACATAAACAAGGTAATTTTTTTTTCTATTGATCGAATTTCATCCACAAATGATACGAGATTATTCTCAAATTACTATTTTATCCTCGGATCTATTAATATAAAATATTTCACCAATAGGCTATTTGACTAATTTTGGAACACCATTTTAAATGATTGTTAACAAATGGACGTAACAAAATAAAATAAAATACGGTCGCTGGTAAAAAGGATATAATGATTTGCTGATATCTGGTACAATGGTAAGACCTTTTAAAAGAAGATTGCCACTGGGCACCCCCTGGCGCCTTGTTTTATACCGCTGATTATTAGTCGGTGTTGCCGCAACAATGATTCTTTTTTTTTATAGGAGAGGGGGCAAACGAGCATGCGGCTCACCTGATGGTAAGTGACTACTGCCGCCCATGAACAACCGCAACACCAGGGGAATTGCAGATGCGTTGCCGGCCTTTTAAAATGGAGTAGGCTCTTTTCTTGAAGGTCCCTAAGTCATATCGGTCCGGAAAAATCGCTGGTGGTAATCGATTCCACAAGGAAGTTGTGCGAGGAAGAAAACATCTTCTAAATCGCACAGTGGTGGACCGCCAATCATCCAGGTGGTATGGATGGTATCGCAAGTTTTAGTGAAACTGAGCGGCTGGAATTAGTCCGAACAATTCCTCAGAGCACTCCCCGTAGTAAATGCGATAAAATACGCAAAGAGACGGAACATCTCTTACGCAGTGCCAGTGTATCGAGCCGATCAGAAAGAACTCGGTCGTCGACGATTCGAACCGCTTTGCGCTGGATGCGGTCAAGTGGAAGGAGCTGGCATTGGGGTACCCCGACCCAGAGATGAGAACAGTAATCCATGTAAGGCTGGATTTGCGCTTTGTAAAGTTGCAAGCGATGTGCCGGCATGAAATACTGTCTCGCTCTGCTGAGCACGCCAAGCTTTTTAGAGGCCAATTTGGCCTTCCCTTCCAAGTGACCACGAAACTGCACACTATTCGATATGTCGAAGCCAAGGATTCCGATGCTAGCTGAGGCAGCAAGGGAAGTGCCTTGAAACTGAGGAGATACGACAAAGGGGTTCTTTTTAGCGGTAAACGCGCAAGCTTGTGTCTTCTGGGGATTGAACTGGACTAGATTTAGTCGCCCCCAATCCGAGACTTTGTCCAGCAAACACTCGACTTCAGACACAAGTTTGTCCCGGTACTCGGCGACGTTTTCCCGAGAAATATTGGCACGGCCCGTATATGAGGCATCACCAGTGCTGTCGTCTGCATAGCAGTGAATGTTACTAGTTTGCAACATATCATTGACATGCAGGAGAAACAGCGTTGGTGGTAGCACGCAGCCTTGTGGAACACCAGCATTGATAGGCTTGAAATCAGAGCATGCACCGTTTACTACGACCTTGATGCTCCGATCAGCAAGGAAACTGGTGATCCATTTGCACAATTTCTCGGGAAGCCCATAGGAAGGAAGCTTCGAAAGAAGCGCTTTGTGCCAGACCCGATCGAAGGTCTTCGCTATGTCCAAGCTAACGGCCAATGCCTCCCCCTTATAATAACCACACTACACTGATATTTCCGGTAGATCTTCTGTATTAACAATAAAAATCCAAGTTAAAGTTTAAATTTCCAAAAACGCGCCAAAAACGCTGATGGCGCTGGTCACATGACATGTGTGACGTCACACACTTGTAAACAAGTCAATAAGCGTAATAAAACAGTGCCGCTGAAGTTAATTTTATCATTTTTCTTCTAATTTATACGATAAAATGGTGTGTAGTGCCACAATGTACTAACAACACCACTGTTTCTAATATAACGAATCCTAAAAGACGATAAATGTGGTTACAATTAGCCCAAAGAGACCCAAAGAGAATTTTAGCTCATACCAATGTTTTTTAGTGTGAAGATCTTTATAAAGTGATAGCACCTTTAATACCTCTTAATATGGCTTAATCTTACAGCATAAGTTGGAAGGATCCTTTTAACCAAACCCTACAGGCTACGGGGTTCCCTGTAGGGTTTTCTTTTATGTTGTTTAGCTATCTTTATAGTTTTCTGTGCTGTCTTGTTATATCGGCAATAATGTTAAATTTCTAAGTATATCAACAAAATCTAAAATGAAATTTTACAAAACTTTTGAATGATGATCATACATAAAGTTTTGCAAATAAATAACTCCTATGTGGTACTTACACTGCTGTTTTCACATTCTTATGTTCCGCAGCATAGTAATCTAGATTCTTAAAGAAATCTGCAACCATACATCCGTCTATCTTAGGTAGGTTGTAGTTATCGGCTCGCACAAAATTTAACTTCATTTTTAAAATTCAAAACGAATATTTATGCCGCTAGTTATAAGATTTATAAAAAAAATTGTTTCAGAAATAGCTCAATGATCGAATGTAGCACTCAAAAACTTAGAACGCGAACTACAATCAGTTCAAGGCAGCTATGTTTACACATGTGTGACATCACTAGAGTTGCAACCAATTATAGGGCGTTCACGTCACGTTTAGAAAAATTTCAAAAATTATTATGTTTTATTATCGTTTATTTTGCATAAAATATACATACTTACTTTAGTTTAAAATAAAGTGAACTATATTTTTACGCTACGCTATTATCTGATAGGATGACCACAATTTGTAGTATATTTTCAATATTGTAAAATAGCCTATTGTCAAATAGCCAATTATGATTGGGGACATCAAGGTAAGTTTATTTTCGTACTGTAAAAGTAGGAATATCGTTCGCAAGGTTAACAGTGTATGTTTTATTTAATTTAATTTATTTGTAACACATTATAAATACATTTTAGTTTTCCGCATTACTTCTTCAAATACACTCCCATTATGTGAAATATTACACTCCTTCCTGCGCGCAATATGGTTAAAAACGGATACAAAGTTTTCTTTTAATGTATTAATAATATACAGATTATTATTACTATAATGAAACAGTATTATTACTTAGACGAGGTACCGACCTGCGTCTGCGGCGAGTGAGGCGGGAGAGGCGGGTGAGGCGGATGCGGCGGGTGCGGCGTGCGGCGCGGGCGGCGCGGGCGAGGCGGGCGCGGACAGCAGCACGAAGGAGTCGCTGAGGCTGGTGTCGGACTTGCTGGTGCGCAGCACCGCCTCGCCCGCCTCGCCCCCCTCGCCCCCCTCCGCGCCGCCGCACGCCTCCACCGACCCCGACTCGCTCGACTCGCCGATGCTGCCGCCACCTGCACACCGCACCCACAACACACCACAACACTAAATATGCTCAAGTCATCACCACCTAGTAGTAGTAATAATCGAAAGTAACCACGCCTGGCTCTATTGAGACCGTGTCATCATCACAACATGTACTTGTGAATAAGCCTAGTATTATGGTGCTGGACTAGCCACATTCATAAAAAATATACATCTTGGTCGAACAGGCTAAATATCCTTATAATATTTACTTAAAAATTTTATATTTGCTATCGTCTCGCGGACGATGGTATGAGAAACATTAGTACGTATCTCTATGAACATAAATTGCAATGTTTGTGGTAAATCTGATACATGTTCGGGGCCAATACCATCCTAAACAAGTTATTACACTGAACACAAAAACTATTTAATGGTTGTCCATCTGAAACTGAAACCGATTGTATGAAAAAAAGTCATCGTCATTATTACAGCCTATCAAAAGTTCTCAGCTGACCACAAGCCTTCACCACAGCTTGCCACACAGAGGGATATTTACCATAGTTGACACGCTTGGCAAGCAGATTGGCCACCGCTGTTTTTTTTTATCTATTATTAAGTTGTCATCAAAAAGATGCTACTACTAATCTTCTTTTTCAATTCCCCTAATTACTCTGTAACGCCTCTGACACCCACACACGTCATTGGGCAAAAAATGCATTTAAAAAATCCCAGAAAACCTACTAATGCCATCAATCAATGATTTAGCAGTAACATAGTAGTAAAATGACATACTTTTTCGGTATAGTGGATCCCCCTTTGATTTCCGTCGCAATACAATGTTGTCTTGCTTTTGTAACTTGCTGCGGTGAGTAAGACTTTCCTTCTCTTCATCTATGTCCTTCTCATTATCATAGTCTTCTTTGGTTTCCTCGCAAGAATCGGCGTCTTGCTTCTGTTCGGGATAGCATTGAGGTTCGTCATTATCGCTGCAAGTATCCTTTTCTTCATGTCTCCGAGCCGATTCTTTGGCACTGGTAGTTTCACAAGCGTCCGAAAGTGAGCTTTCAGACCCTGATTTTGTGAGATTACCTGTAATAATTATGTTAAATATTATTATCATGTTAAATGTTAATCATTATGTTTTTTTACTCTTAATCAAAAAGTCATAAAGAAAAACTCTTGAATCTTGATATCTGTCAGGTTTTATTGTAATTCATATATTTATTGAAATGTCTCTGTCTTTTGGATTGATGTCAAAATTAATAGTTTTAAATTAAACCTGAGAGGCAAATATGACAATGAAATAAATGTATTATCCAAATTGAATTACCTTCGTTCTCCTGCGAAAGACTCATCTGCTTAACTAACTCCTCCACTCGTTTAATAGCAGCCTCCCTTTCATTTGATTCAATGTCATCAGTCTTAGCTTCTCCATCAGACTTCACTTCAATTTCAGTTGTAAATACATCACTTTCCAGACCGCTCAGTTTTTGCTCATCTTTCTTTATCTCATTATCTGTTGAATTCGTGTTCGGATCAACACTGACTTCCCCGCTTTGACTTTCTCCGTCGTCAACTGTTTCAGCCACATAGTCAATTGACCACATCTATTGGATTAAAAATAAAGCTATAAATAAAATCATAATGTGAAAACTATATACGGCAATAAAAGTATAATAAAAAAACTTATATGAATTATGTTAAATAATTATTTTACTACAAAAAGTACTAGTTGGTAAAAATAGGTACTGGTTAAGTTTAACTGGTGGTTGTAATTATATATTCCTAACTGTAGGACGACATTTTTCGTCCGTGATCCGTAATTTTACATCTGATATATATATTAGATAATATATTGTCATCAGGGAAAGACTACGCTTTCACAGTATATCAGCGTAAATTAGCAGCTTAAGGCCGGCCACATACATACGAATTCCGTTTCGGAATCCCGAATCGGGATTCCGTGAATACATCACACACACACACGTTTTTTTTTTCGTTCGGAATAACAAGGGTCAGTTGAGAGATGTTAGCCATTGAGTCTAGACATTCTGCCAGCGAATAATGACGACGATTTTCTGATTGCGATTCCATTGTTGCTGTATCATTATTACTGGGTGCATCCCTTTATCACCCTAAGCTTGCAATAAGTCAATACTATGTAAAAAGATCTATCTATCCAGAGATATTGTTTATATATTTTATGTATGTACATTCTATCCACGAATTATTAAATAAAATAAGATGAAAGGTTACGAAAGGCTATACACCTACAAGATTAAATGTAAAAACATACATAAACACACCTACTCGCTTCGGTCGTGCGACGAACACTGAGCGCGTTCCGTACGGAATTTACGTATGTGTGTTGCGAATCGTACAAAATCTATGGAAGTCGTGCGTTCGTAGCGGCTTTTTTCCGTTCGGGATACCGAACGCACAGGCGGTCATGCGGAATCTCGAATCGGAGAAATTCCGTACGGAAAAATAACGTACGTGTGTGGCGGGTCATAGATTTTATATGGACTGGCTGCGTTCGGGATTCCGAATCGGAATATCGAAACGGAATTTCGTATGTATGTGGCCGGCCTAATGCTACTGTGTTTCATATTAAGGTAAGCGTAGAGAATCGGAGATCCTTTTTACAGGGAACGAGGCAAAAAATTTAACCTCAGGGGTGACAAGACGCCTGTTTTTTTTATTTCAGGGATGTATATAGATGTCTATGGACTACAGCGACCACTTACCATTAGGTGGGTTGTGTGCTTTTGTTTGTCACCCTTATTCTATAAAAAATATGTATAAAAATGTAATAACTGTTTAGAATGAAGTGATTACTAATTTTTTTAAGCGTTGTATACCAAATCTGTTATATTTTAATAATTTATTTAGCTTTCCCGACTTTCTTTCAAAAAGCTTATTAGTTTTGGCACGTTCTTTCCACGAACACGGAAGAAGAACGGGGAAGTAAAAAAAAAAAAAAAATAAAAAAGGATATACAACATGTAACAAAAACCCTGTGGTTTCCTTTAAGGGCGTTATCAGAGACAGTATTTAAACGTAAAGGAATAACTTTTATTCAAAAAAACTTGAAAATTAAAAAAATATTTTCACTAAAAAAATTAATTTGAAAATTTAATGTGGTTTTATTATCTCTAACTGACACGAGCATCGGTGAAGGTGGGTCTTTCACAATCCTCTTATTCTCCGTATAATGCAGAGGTAATAAAACCACATACAATTTGCAAATTATTTTTTTTTTAAATTAAAATATTTTTTTTTAATATTCAAGTTTATTGAAAAAAAGTTATTTATTTACGTTTGAATACTGAGTCTGATAACGCACTTAACGGGAAGCACAGAGTTTTTGTTAGATGATGTATAAGGCAAAGTGAGATGAGCGCACCCTAACGACGCCGTCGCTGGAGCCGGTGACGATGACGTTGAGCGGGTCCCACTCGCGCGCCTGGCTGAAGGCGACGCACAGCAGCTGGTGCGCGCGCTCGCGGCCGCACGCGCTGTCGGCGCCGCCCAGCAGCTCGCCGTTGATGGACCACGCGTGCACCCAGCTGCCGCTGCACGTCGCGATGTCGCCCTGCACGCACCCCGCACCCGCACCCACCTTATTACTGCTCGCTCGCATCATCACGTTAAGCCCGCCCGTGTAATAACATGTTGGCCGAGCGAAGGCGAGTACCAATATATGGACAGTACATTTGCCTAGCCTCGCCATTGCTCGTCTTCGCCCGCCTAGCTGCCCGAGCGCAGGCGAGAGCCAACGTGTATACGATTCGTTTGGCGTGCCTTGTCACCACTCGGGATCGCTCGCCACGACTCGTCTCACTTCGGAACAGTGTCGGTTTATCTGCACAAATCAAAGGCGCTCGCCTGCTCTCGGCAATTCGTGTCCACATGTTAGTTGGCCATGTTAGTATGAACACTCATTCAAACTAAGCCAACATGTAGACTAGCACTCGCCTTGTATGAATTTGCCTACGCTCGTGTTGGCTGAGGCTTGCTTGGCCAACATGTATTAACGGCTTTAAATGCTCAAGTAGTGAACAGGCAGCAGAGCCGATTTTATAAGTATAAAAAAACCATTCTGTTTGCGAACAACGTAAAACTGGATTAAAATTGCCTTGTAAGATTATATATAATTTTTGTTGTAATTTATAAGACAAATAGATATGATTAAAAAGTATACAAGTAGTGTTTGTCGATTCTGTTCCGTCTAAGGCTTGTTCTAAGATTGATCGCACGGAATTCGACATGACTTGATGTGGTAACATAACTGATGTATACAGATAATCCAGTAGTGTTAAATCTTAAACCAGTTACTTACGCCCTTACTTATAATCGTTAATTATCGTTCTTACGTAATAATTATCTCCATACCTGTCTTTTTTTATTATCATTTAGTAAAGAGAGTAAGAGAGCAACTTTAAGCATTACTCGAATGCCGTCGTTTTTTAATGGTAAGGCCATTAGTTTTGACATCGTTTGGTTATTAAGACTGGTACTGGGTGGTGGTTTATCATGGATAACGGCGTAATAGTATCCAATGCCCCATATCGCATATCGGCTCGTGGGTGTCGTAAAAGGCGTCAAATGGAAACTGAAACATGAGATGGGCAGCATCTTCCTGATAAAAAATCAATAATATTAAAAAGCTGCGGTCGCCAAAATACCTAGGCCTATAGTCACCAGAGGACTTTTGATAGACTGTAATGCCGCTGATGATGATAATGACTGGTACAAAGTAGGAGCCTTCTTGATCGACCTACGTTCACCTAGGTTCGGTTACGAGCACCTACGTTCGGCGCACAGCGAACAACTAGCCGGTAACAGCAGTGCGCTGGCGTGCACTCACAGTGAGGTCGTCGATGGCGAGCGCGGAGACGGGCGGCGGCGGCGCGAGGCGGTGCGGCGGCAGCAGCTGGCGCACGAAGGCGCCGCGCTCCACGTCCCACACGATGGCCTGCCCGTCGCGGCTGCCGCTCACCACCAGGTTGTACGCGGGGCTGGCGGCCAGGCACGTGACCGCCTCCTCGTGCCCGTACAGGCACACCTTGACCGCGAGCCGCCGCCGCCGCGCCCAGTACTGCCACACAGTCACCACCTGCCGCCACCGCAACGCTCTTATGTCTATCATGCACGCAATATAACAAAACGAGTGCTCTCACTGACCACTTCACTCTTTAACCGTCACTTTTATAAAACATACAAAAATGTATGTCTATAAACCTTTTTACAATTAATTATTCTTATCATTTATTATAAGAATGAACTGTTTAAAAAGGGATTAATTTTGATAGTAAATGTAAAAAAAATATTACTATGTAATATATTTAGTCAAAGCCAAAAATATTATCCAATTTAAGAATGTTTAAAGTTTTTTTGAACGTCAAAATCTATATTGGTTCAGAAAAAAACCTTCTCAGAGATGAACCAGCAAGAAACTCTTAGTTCTTTTATTTTTAAATTTCATGTACATTTTTATAACTGTAATATACCTTTAAATAATCCCGAAAAAAAATTCTCGAAAAAGTCTTTTAGATTTCTTTTTTATTTCAAGAAAACAACGCTTCTCGAAAAATCGATACGTTTTTCGAATGTGGATCAGCATAACATTCAGCTTTTTGTAGATTTATTCACTTAAAATTATAATATTGTGTTACTACCCAAATAAAGGTTATTTATTATTAAGTTTCTATCACCCGTTAAAATTCATATCTTCTCTTTTCTTGAAGGTCCCTAAGTGGTATCGGTCCGGAAAAATCGCCGGTGGTAAACATTTCGACAGAGAAGTTGTACGAGGAAGAAAACTCTCAGTAAAACGCACAGTCGTGGACCGCCAAGCATCCAGATGGTGAGGAAGGTATCGTGAATTATGACGCAATGTGCGTTCGTGAAATTTGGCGGCTGGAATTAATCCGGACAATTCCTCAGAACTCGGTCGTCGACGATTCGAACCGCTCTGCGCTGGATGCGGTCAAGTGGAAGGATCTGGCATTGGGGTGCCCCGGCCCAAAGATGAAAACAGTAGTCCATGTGAGGTCGAACTTGCGCTTTGTAAAGTTGCAAGCGATGTGCCGGCATGAAATAGTGTCTCGCTCTACTGAGCACGCCAAGCTTTTTAGAGGAATATTTGGCCTTCCCTTCCAAGTGACCACGAAACTGCACACTAATCGATATGTCGACGCCGAGGATTCCGATGCTAGCTGAGGCAGCAAGAAGAGTGCCTTGAAACAGGAGATACGACAAAGGGGTTCTTTTTAGTGGCAAACGCGCAAACTTGTGTCTTCTGGGGATTGAACTGGACTAGATTTAGTCGCCATTCCGAGACTTTGTTCAGCAAAGACTCGACTTCAGACACAAGTTTGTCCCGGTACTCGGCGACGTTTTCCCGAGAAATATTGGCACGGCCGGTATATAAAGCATCACCAGTGCTGTCGTCTGCATATCAATGAATGTTACCAGTTAGCAACATATCATTGATATGCAGAAGAAACATCGTTGGTGATAGCACACACCAGCGTTAATAGGCTTGTAGTCGGAGCATGCACCGTCTACAACGACCTTGATGCTCCGATCAGCAAGGAAGCTGGTGATACAATTGCACAATTTCTCGGGAAACCCATAGGAAGGGAGCTTCGAAAGAAGCGCTTTGTGCCAAACCCGATCGAAGGCCTTCGCAATGTCCAAACTAACGGTCAACGCCTCCCCCTTGGACTCTACTGCCTCCGCCCATCTATGAGTCAGGTAGACCAGAAGATCACCAGCTGATCGACCCCGACGAAAACCGTACTGGCGGTCACAAATCAGCTGGTGATCCTCAAGGTACCGCATGAGCTGGCAGTTAATAATGGATTCCATTACTTTGGAAAACAAGGAGGTGATGGCGATAGGCCTGTAGTTGGACGGGTCTGAGCGGTCGCCTATTTTAGGGATCGAGTGGACCAAAGCTGTCTTCCATGAATTTGGGACTACGCAATACAAAACATTTTATAATTTATTGGAATAATTTCGAACATTTAGTATTTTCATACATTAAGTAGTTAGACAAAGACAATTTTATTAGATGTATGTTAAAATCTAGCAGATATGTGATCACTATTTAAAAATTTAATACTGCAAACAACAATTATTTTCTTTTTTTTTACTCACCGTACTCGTGCCCGCAGTTACAATGGTTTTGGCTGAGGGACAAACGCAGGCGACAATCTCCCCACAAGCCTGTGCGACGGTCTCACAAACGAACACCGCTTTGTCGTTATCGTAGTTGCCAATTCGCAAAGAATGGTCGGCAAATCCCCACGCTACATACTTGTTGTATGACGGGGGCATTAAAACTTTGTTTTGCTCCACTGCCAATATCGCCTTCTCAGTGTAAAGGATTTGGCCAACAGGACCTTTTACTTCTGTAAAAAATATTTCATGTACATAATGCACTGATGCCTATAAGTATGTAAGTTAGTAAATATACTAAACATTAAATATTAAAAACTACCTTTGACAGGCTGCAATGATGGTCTCAAGTTTTCCAAATTGTGGAAGAATAGTTTCTCCGGCGGAGTTATGCCTTGTGATGGTATTATGTTGTTTGGATCCAAAATTGTTGAACTCCGTTGAGACATTTTCTTACTAGGATGTGCTTTCTTAAAAAGCTGCTTTGGTATTTGACCAAAATTGTTTATAAAGCCAATTGTAGCATTTTTCTTCAATGGGTCATCGATACTGAAATTAGTTCAATACCAATAAAAAATATGCAGCGTTGATAGTGTATATATGTGAGTAGTGAAAATAGATAAACACGAAAAATATAATGCCTACATTTACTATATTAGTTTTTGTACCAAATACATTTAAATAGGTTTTAGAGAAATATAAAGTGGAGTGTGTTGAGAAAAGTAACATTAGAATCTGAAGTTGTGGTATTTGTATAGGAGAATAACAGTAGAATTTCTTCGTTAGTAAATATAACGTGAGTCACATGTACCAAGCGAGTAGCGGCGGTGAAGAATATCCACTACCCCATATCATCCCATGGGTGTCATAAGAAGCGATAAAGGGAAACAAATTAGGTGATGGGCAGCAGCATCTTCCTAATAAAGACTAAAAATAAAAATAAAAACTGAGGTTGCCAACCCACTTGCCAAGCGTGTCAACTATGGCAAATATCCCCTCTATGAGGCAATCTATGGGAGAGGCTTATGTTCAGCAGTGGATTTTAATAGGCTGTAACACAGTAAGGGTAACAGAGTTACATGTTAGTCAAGTAATAATTATACCGGTAGATTTTTAAGAGTAGTTAAACAACAATAAGAAGAAAAACGGGAGTGATAAAATGCAAGGATAAGGGAAGCATTGTACAACCTTATGTCAAATTTGGTCATTATTAATTTTGTAATGTTACAAAGAGCACAGTACTGACTTATTTTAATATAGTGGAATAATTTTTCGTATAGTTATAAAAAAATATTACTGGTGGCAATAATGTGAGTACCGATAATTGGGTAGTTGACTACATCATTGTAGTCAACTACCCAATTACTCGAAGAAATATATAAGATTGCGAAACATTTTAGTTCAAAGTTCAAACAATTTTAATAAAAATGAATATTTGTTTTTCCTAATTATGTTAGAATTTGTATTAAGGTACGAGTATGTAAGACAATAGGTACCTTCAACGATCTTAACTGTAACAGTAAAGAACATTTTTTAACTTCTGTTTTATGCTATTATAAATAGAGTAAAGGTACATCATAAAATTCAAATTTGCTAATTTTTGTAATGTCTTAGAACATGAACTTTTTTCCATTTTAAAATAACTAAATTTTATGTATTTGCTAATTTACAAATAAGGTGATTATTTGACTGTAAAAACTATGACATTATTACGGTATATTCTCGTACAAATCAGAACATATAGCATACATCAATCATAATACAAATCTTTGTTTTGATCATTTTGAAAATCCATCATGTGGATAGTTATAGTTTGTGAGTGTTAGATTTATAAACAAGGTGTGTGTGTGTGTGTGTGTGTGTGTGTGTGTGTGTGTGTGTGTGTGTGTGTGTGTGTGTGTGTGTGTGTTTGTGTGTGTGCATCGTGCATTACTTGTATATGTCAACGTTGCCCTCGTAGAAGAGGTGGTGGAAGAGGTTGCAGGCGTCGACGGCGGGCTGGCCCTGCTGCTTGTAGCCGAACACGAGGTCGATCCAGTGGTGCAGGCGGTGCGACACGTAGTCGCACTCGAGCGCGGCGCGGTGCGCGCGGATGAACTCGCGCGGGTCGCCGCGCGCCCACGCCGGCAGCACCACGTCGCCCAGCGCCACGCCCGACTGCTTGCACCCTGCGCGCCGCGAGAGCTACACGTGCTGCCTACTGCCTACTGCCTACACAACAACTCAACCCAAGCTTGCCCAAATACTCATCTATTTACAACTAGCTATTCCCCGCGACTTCGCCCGCGTGTAATTTATTACAATTGGATTTCATGGGTTTTAATTTTTTTGCGCGGAACCCAAATTCATTTTCTAAAATAAAAGTTGCTAAGTTACTCCTTATAATATCAACTATCTGCCTCGTCAAATCGTCAAAATCGGTCCAGCCGTTTCGGAGATTAGCCGGAACAAACAGGCAGATAAACAGACAGAAAGACAGACAAACATTATTTTTGTTATAAGTACCGTATGTACTTTCATATACATTTAGTAAAAAACTGTTATTTTAACATTACAAACAGACAATTTTACTTATTTGTATAGATACAATCCATCAAAAACGAAATATCAAAACTAACTAATAACACTGACCAGTTTTTCTTAGTGATGAGAAGCAGCATGACAAGTGCGAGAATAAAAAGTAAAAAAATGTAAGACATATTGAGTGTATAATTTTATTACGCAACGGAAGTTGCAAATGATGAGGTGTAACAATTTAATTCTTGACACATAATTGATTCACTTCAAATTAAATTAATTTTTTTAATTTTAATTTTTTGAAGAAGGTGTATATAAAAAAATCTGTCAAGCATATGATATATACACAATTATCATATACTTGCCCAATTTCACCCGTCATAAAGTTTTTAAATAAATAATGCCACGCCACATGGAAGGCCATCGCCAAAAAGCAAACTGTTGTTATTGATATGAAGTATCTGCGCCAATTAGTAAAACAAGGATATCACGTACCTAATAATTATTCACCAACCACCAACAAACGGTGGGCAGAACATTTAAATGATCTTTTAAATACCAGTGCGCTCAGTGCTAACCTGTCCTATATAAACTCGCTTGAAGAGCTGCCGGTTTGCCAACATCTAGATGATCCACGAACTTTCGATGAATTCGTAAAGGCAGTCAAGCGTCTCAAAATCTTAAAAACACCCGGAATGGACCAACTTCTAGCGGAAATATATAAATGCAGCGGAAAACATGTTCTTAACAGGCTTTATCATCTTGCCTTAAGAGTGTGGATTAGTGAAGAGGTGCCTCAGGACTGGAAGGATGCGGTTATTTATAAGCTGTACAAAGGGAAGGGGGATGTCTCCGATTGCAGCTCTTATCGAAGCATATCGCTTCTTTCCATCGCCGGTAAAATTCTTGCGCACATAATTAACGCCCGCCTAAGTGAGGTAGCAGAACAACACCTACCAGAGTGTCAGTGTGGTTTCCGTCCAAACAGAGGCACCATTGACGCTATTGCTGTCGTAAGACAACTCCAGGAGAAAAGCCTTGAACATTAACGGCCCCTATACATGTGCTTTGTCGATTTGGAGAAAGCATTTGATAGAGTTGCAGTGAGGCATTTTGGCTTGTTCTTAAAAAATTTGGATATCCAAAGAAGTTCGTCAACCTAATTCGCCAATTCCATGTTGGTATGAAAGCGCAAGTTCAGCACGAATACGAACTTTCTGAGAAAATCCAAATCACAAATGGAGTAAAGCAAGAATGTGTCATGGCGCCAACACTCTTCGCCATATATTTTTCGGCTGTTATGAGCGACGCATTAAAGTGTTGTAGCAACCAAATCCAGCTTAATGTCAGAACTGTAAATGGTGTGTATGACATCTCTAGATTCAGAGCAAAGTCTAAAGTCCAAAGACTCTCCATATTAGATATTCTTTACGCTGACGAGGTGCTTCTTGTCAGATAGTATGGTGCATCTGCAAAGCTACGTTGATGCATTATATCGATCATGTCAACAATTTTTCCTAGTAATAAGCGCTTCTAAGACCCAAGTCTTAAAACAACCACCCAAGGGTGGTTGTTTTAAGACTTGGGTCCTTAAAGATGATCCAACAGCGCTAAATCTAGATGGGAAACCACTAGATGAAGTCGCTTACTTTAAATATCTTGGTAGCAATATCCGGCGTGACAACACCTTAGCTTCGGAGATACCATCTCGTATTGCTAATGCTGCTGCCAATTTAGGGCGACTCACTGATCGTGTCTGGAAGTCCCATGATCTAAAGCTGGAGACAAAGATTAGTGTCTATAAGGCACTTATCATTCCTGACCTTTTATATAGCGCAGAGACATGATGCCTTTACAAATCAGACATAAAGAAACTTGACTCTTTCCATCTAAGGTGTCTCAGGACTCTATAGATCAAGTGGCAGGACCATGTTCCTAACTCTGAGGTTCTGCGTCGCTCTGGGATGTACGGTATGGAAGCTCTTTTAATGCTACGTCAGCTCAGATGGTGTGGGCATGTCCTTCGCATGGATGACCTATGTTTACCAAAAGCTGTTTTCTACTCAGAGATGGCGGAAGGTAAACGAAAGCACGGTGGTCAGCATTTGCGCTATAAGGATGTGTTAAAGACACCTTAACGCTTGCGCAATCGACCCTGCGTGTTGGGAGGAGCTTGCAGCAGAAAGGTCATCTTGACGGTCGACCATCTTCAAAAGTGTAAAATCATTAGAAAAAAGCCGTCTCAAGACCTTAGACGCAAAACGCCAACTGCGCAAAGAGAGAGCTAGGCCCTCCTATACATACACCTACAACTCGGCTGGACAACTCTACTGCCACGCATGTCAAAGAGCTTTTAAGAACAAGTTCGGCCTAGCAAGCCATATCAGGGCTCACGATAAGAAAATATCCCAATTTCTAGGGTCGCCGTCATCGAAATCGATGAGGAGGACTATATATAGAACTACATACAGAAAGTCCAATCTGATGTCTTCGCGAAGACGCACATAGTCTAATCACGTCCTAAGAAAATTTTACTTTCTAAGCACAACGGCTGGCAACGTCAAATCTCTGTATAATCTTTAGGTAGCAGCTACGTCATTGCGCCGCATCGTGTCAAATTTTCAAAGTTCTAGTGCTACAATACATTAGTTTTTTTCTTACTTGAACATAAGTCACACACCATTGACAGATACCAACACACACATGAACACCGTCGTCAAACGTCGTTTTTGGTTAGAGGCAATATACCGGTGCGTCCTTGATCTTGAACGCTTACTGACGTTACCGACAAGTCATATGCAATATTTTGTTTGTGATACAGCGACACGAGTATGGACGGTCTCAAACTTTGTATGGAGTAATCATGCGCCACGGCCTATAAGTTGACTATTATGGTATGCGTACATGAACGTGTTAACAAAGTGGTACTTACCTAGGTCAAAATTATTTGAGTTAACCAAAAACTCTGGCAAGTAGAAAAATTCTGGAATTAATTCCTTGACGTCTGCCATGTTGTGACGTGATGCTGAATTCCACGCCTCTTTTATGGAATGAAACATTCTGTTGAAAATACATTCGCCATAAATATTGAGTGCAGGACAATTTAATTATTTATATTATGTATAATTATATTTAACTATAGCTGTCACTATCACTACAGCTCAAAAATATCCACTGCTGAAGTTAGGCCTCCTCCATAAATTGCCACAAGACAGGGTCCGGGGCCACTTGCATCCATCCACTACCTACATGCATATTTACTTAAAACTTGAAATATTTACTTAAAAAAGAACCACCATTATAATATTGCAAAATTATACAAATGCTACAAATTTCATATTATCATTGTCACAATCATGTAATGCCCATCCCAAATTTACTGCTCAACATAGGCCAAGGAATGCCAAAAAGCATGGTCCTAAGACACATGCATCCATCGACCTTCTGCACGTCTTACCAGGTTGTCACTCCACCTAGTTCTAGTGAGTGGGTTGCACCCTATACTCACTTTGCTTACCGGTACGAGGTTGTCATTTGAGAACCTTTTTCCCTATCGGTTTGCCCAACCATTGACACTTAAGCATACTGATCTGTTGGATTATGTCGGTTACTCTGCCTCTACTGCAAATATCCTCATTATGAAGTTCATCATGCAGTGAAACTCCAAGCATAGCCTTCTCCATAACGTGCTGAGCGATCTTGAGAATACTCATACGGCCAACAGTGAAAGACCATGTCTCTAATCTATATGTCATCACGTATATGTAGCACGTACTGGTTGTTCACTGTTGTTTTAAAGTTTTGCGAAATACGTTATGAGAAAATGTGACGTAATCTTCCAACCGCTGCCCACCCAAATTGGATCAGTTGATAGACCTTTCGGTCGATGTTGAACTTAGTTAGTTGGACACTTTGTCCTAGCTAAACATAGGAACTTATCATCATCTTCTAAATCTGATATGAAATAATATAAAAATAAAATAATTTCATATATTATATATTATCATCTATACTAATATAATAAAGCAAAAGAGCTTTTTTTGTTTGTTTAAACACACTAATCTCTAGGATTATACGTCCGATTTAAAAAAATCTTTTGCATATATTCTTAATTTTTTACATCCTCCTACTTCAAGAAGAAAACAGTTAAGGAATTAAAATTAATCATAAGTATCAGTCGGCACCTGTCAGCCAGGTCGAAGTGTCCGCCCTGCAGCCTGAGGAAATGCTGCGTGAAGGGCTCCATGCGAACGAGGTACGAGCACACGATCATGGCAGAGGAGTAGTGCGTGCCGTAGTGGTATGGCGGGGTCTCGCCATGCGGGTCGTCCCATTCCTGAAATGACATTTCAATAAATGAATTATGGGAAGAAATGTTTTTATTTCTTCCCATAATTCATTGTTACCCAGTTCGGAGTTAAATTTGTGTAACAAGCGGATTATAAATTACCTTCCGACTGTAGTAATATTTTTCTACAATGGACAATGTTATGTAAAAATGATCTAACCCACAAAAGGCCAAAATAATAATATGATTGAAAAATAACAAGTATCCCAAAATCTACATTTTTTTTAAAATGATTGACAACATGTGATATAATAGGGCTTCTGTCACAAGAAAAACGCATCTTTAAAATTTTAATAACTTTGTTTCCATATAAAAATTCAAAGCCAATTTCTTTTTGCTTTAAATATTTATAAAAGTCATATTTTAATATATCGTTAACTATGTTTAGATACGAGTATATCTTACACACCTTATATCTTTTTCTAAACTGTTCCAATCTTTCAGGACTTTGTGCACCCATAGGTTTACTCAAATCTCGGAACGTCGCTGGATCTGTCAGATCTAGTTCTAAGGAGTCGTAATCGGCTAGAATCCAAGGAAATACCGGGTACTGCATCAAATCATTGTACGACCTCCCAGCTAAGGTGTTCAGGTGCATTAAGTATTGGAAGTTTGAAATTTCGCCCCTCTGTAAGAAAAATCATTAATTAAATAAAGAATTCTATCATCATTTTAGTACAATTTTAATTACGCGACGTTTAAATTGTATTGTGTTATGTAGTTTTGTTAAATATTCAAATACTTTTATCTGGACTTTTTATAATAATAACCAAGTAATTTGAATGTAATAGCAATAACGAGTAATTAAAAATTATTCCATATTGCCATAATATCCATATTTTACACGACTAATCCTTCAAAATATATCTTATGTTTTGATTTTGTCTAATTATTTTTGGTTATTTAATAGTCTGTAATAAATGGTTATTTTAGGCAAAAAGCCTCCCCCCAATCACCATTATTAGAAATAAGATTTAAATATATAGCGTAATTATCACAGAGCTAGACTTTAGACTGGCAAAATGCTTTTTCCTGTATAATTTATTAAATAGATTTATTGCTTTTGATTAGTAAGAATGCAATAAGGCATTAAGTCCGCCCATTGTAACCCTTAGTTTATGGCGTCTTACAATAAATATTAAATTAATAAATATAAAAAGTAGTGTAAGAGTAAAGTATCCATGTAGTATGTATGAGTGTATGTGTGGTGGTGTGGTGTGGTGTGGTGTGGTGTGGCGTGGTGTGGCGTGGTGTGGCGTGGTGTGGCGTGGTGTGGCGTGGTGTGGCGTGGCGTGGTGTGGCGTGGTGTGGTAGTGGCGGTGGTACGCACGAGCCAGCGCTGCGTGACGGAGGTGTCGCCGATGAGCGAGGCGAGCAGGCCGGCGGGCTGCTCCACGGCCACGCCGCGCTTCTGCCCCGCCACCGAGCCGGCCGCGCTGTCCGCCATGCCCGTCGCCAGCGCCGTGAACCGGCTGTACACCTGCACGCACACACCCACACACGCACACATACCACTTCAGTATCACCACAATACAATGTCTAATTTGAAATATTATCGTTACAACCAACTTTACAAATAAGCTATAATTTATTAAAAATAAATAATGTAAGAAACATTATTTAGTCATTAATTTCTGCGTTGAATAATTAATGATAATTTATTATATCATATACATATATTATACTAAAAAATCGGATTTTGTACGAATCCTGATTATACAAGAAATTTGCTACCAAGTGTAATACCGACCGCGTGAGAGTAATAAGTGGCGGTCTAAGAATATCCACTGCCCCATATTGTCCCGTAGGTGTCGTAAGAGGCGACGGAGGGAAACAAACTGGAAGGTGGAAACGAAAAAAAAAACTGGATTGTCTTCCTAATAACAACTAAAAATAAAAAACTGCAGTTGCCAACCCGCCTGCCAAGCGTAGAAACTATAGAAAATATCCCTCCCTTCTTTTATGTGTGTTTAGCAATAGACATTTGATAAGCTATGTTTGTCAGTAGACTCGTGATTTTATTTTATTTTTTATAGTAGAAGAGTCCTAGCGTTGATTTTGGGATTTACTCAAGCGCGGCAGAATTTCACAAGAGGGGAAAGCTTGCTACCCTGTCGACTACTCCCATTATACCTGAGCCCTTTATATAGGCATAGGCTCGAGCGTCTAGGGCAGCCGATCAGATTAGTAAAAAAAAAAATCGATCGTTAGAAAAAATTCGAGCGCGTCAGAGTAAGGGTAAGGTAAGTTCATTACATGCAGAAAAGTTTGCATTTCAATAGTCTGACAATTTGAAAGTGATATAAGGAAATGGGAGGAGTCACGGATCACGGAAAAAACATAATCTGACGATTTGCACAAGCCTATGTAAACTAAAATCATTAATAAAATGTGGTGTGTGGTGCATAGAGCCGCTGAAAACTATGTATTTCCCACTTCACGCCAATCTGCCCTTTTAACTTTATCTCTCACTCTCTTCGTACCCATAGTACGTCCCGTCGCCACGATGCCATCACAGCCGATTATAACAACGCGTGCATGTACAACGTTTTCATTTTTTATTATACGTAGGCGGGATGATAAGTAACTAGCCACTGCTATTTAAAAAGTTAAAATTAAAAAAAATATATATGTCATTTTTAAATTCGTATCTCTGGCCACCTGTGTTCTAAATTTGAATTTGGTGGCCTGAAAATTTTATTGATATTTTGTCATTTGAAAATATATTTCGTCAACTGTTTTCAAAATGGATAAAATTGAACAAAGAGCGGTGATAAAGTTTCTTCATATGAAGGGCATGAAGGGGAAAGATATCTATGACGAGTTAAAGAATGTTTTGGGTGAATGTGCTTCTTCTTATGCCACAGTAAAAAATTGGGTGGCTGAGTTTAAACACGGTCGTACATGTGTCCAAGATGAAGCCCGGCCCGACGTCCAAAAAGCATCACGACTCCGGAAATAGTCGTGAAGGTACATGATATGGTTTTAGCAGATCGTCGATTGAAGTTATCTGAAATAGCTGACACTACAGGTATCTCAAAAGAACGGGTATATCATATCCTAAGTGAGGAATTAAATATGAAAAAGTTATCGGCCCGTTGGGTGCCGCGATTGCTTACGCACGATCAAAAACGGATTCGGGTGCAAAACTCAAAAGAATGTCTGGACCATTTTCAGAGTAATAAGGCCGATTTTTACGTTGATTTGTAACAATAGATGAAACATGGGTTCATCATTACACGCCAGAATCAAAAATTCAATCAAAACAGTAGACTCAATCGGGATGCCCGGCTCCAAAAAAAGCCAAGGGTGTAATGTCGGCTGGAAAAGTGATGGCTTCCGTCTTTTGGGATGCAGATGGGATCTTGATGATAGATTACCTTCCTAAAGGTCAAACAATTAATGGAGAATACTATGCTAAATTTAAAAAATGCAAGTCGGTTTTGGAGTATCGTCGAAGTAAATCGGTTCGCAGAAAATCCAGCGGCACATTTAATGAGGTAAAATGTTCGATTGTAGATGATGAAAACGACCAAGTCGAACCGAACTTCTAATATGAGGATGATTCCACTGACGATGAAGATGGAAAAAAATATTTAATTTTTTTTCTCATTATACAATTTTTTTCAAACAGGATAAACTTTACCTATACATTATATACTATTTTATTTATACCGTATTTATTACATTCAGTAATAAAAAAAAAAAAAACCGTGCAACCGTCACATTAAGGCAATTTCTCCACAAAATTGTCAGATTATCAGTACGACAAGGACATCAAAATGAAGCGTCTGTATAATAATCTGACCCGCTAGAGTATTTCAATGTCGCGATTTGTTTTTGCATTTTCAAAATCGGCCATGACTTTTGATCGCGTCCAAATCGTCAGTCTTTTGAATAAATGAGGATTCACTTGAGGGTTCACTTAACATCCCTTTTCAATACCTGACGCGCTCAAATAAATTCTTTTTTTTTCACTGTTTTCTACCCCTTCGTACGGCCAACTCCACCACACAAACCGGCAGATTCATTTTTTTTATATACAGATTTCTCCTTTATCAGAAACACGTGAGGCGCATACACTATCAATATCTGAAGTGTTTTTTTTTACATATTTGAAAACCTGTACACACTCCTCCCACCAGTGAAAGGGCATACTTCATATAACCTTTTTTTCCTTTTAGCCTCTAATCTTCACAACCCATTAGGTCCACGACGCTCGAGACAATCACTATTTAGCCTCTTATTAGGCCTAGCCCTACTATTAGGTTCTCCAGTGTTTGTTCATATTGCAAGGATTCTTATATAACGAGTTCTAAGTCTAATATGATAAGCGCTAACTGACAAACACCACATGGGATAACTGTAATAATGAATGATGACAAGAAAGATAAAATGCGACACACATTACCTTGTTCCGAATTTTCCTAGGAAACGCAAGCAAATAGTTTCGACCGTCACTGGAGAACACTTCTAATGCTATAGGTTGCAATAAATATCGCCTTTTGTGGACTTCTCTGTACACAAAATAAAAAATATTATATATAGTAAATACCATTAAAAATAAACAAAAATTAAACAAGATTTAGTAACCAACAATTTACCTTATGTCCTCGTACAAAAATTTCGAACACTGTCTTTGATTACTCCTCTGAATACCTTGACTAGGGAGGATTGGTTCATAATCATTCGGACAGCTGTCCAAGTCTCGAATCTCTCTGTTCTTTAGTATAGTGAATCCATCTATAACATAGCAATGTTCGCGTCCAAATAACAATAGTCCTTCGGTAGTATCCAGACCTTGTATCCGTGCACATCTGAACATATGTGTAATCTGAAAAGGTTGTATTAAAACTGAATGCGATCAAAATACGCTCATGTCGGAGTGTACTAAATGTCAATTCTAAAATAATTTAATGTTGTCAGTAACATTCATAATCCTATATAGTTCTTAAATAAGCAGAAATACATTTTCTGCCTGCAGCAGCAAAAACCTTTAGACAAAGCGAATTACCTTTTCATGGTGCTCTAATAATCTAAGTAATGTCTGATTATCAGGTGGCGGCGATTGCTGTTCGTCTTCATCCTCAACATCTGGACCATCCTCATTCGCTGAAAATTAGAATTTTCATTATATTGCAGTCACTGTGATGTTTTTATATTATTAGGTGTGCTCTTATTACCTTCGCTGGAAGTTTGATTGTTGCCACGACTGACAACGCCACTGCTGACTAGATCGGAAGGTGAACCTTCTTCATTGATAGCATCGAGGGAAGCATCCCTATTACTATAAAGTAAAGATTATTATTTAGTAATTTAATGTTATTTGGGCATCAGAAATCCTAAAAAACTAACTTAAACACAGTCACAAACTGGGGAAAAAAGCAGCCACCAATAAAAAGAAAACGTATTTCTAATTCAAATGATTTATAATAATAATAATAATATTCTACAACTATCAAACAACGCCATCTAGTCCCAAGCTAAGCAGAGCTTGTGTTATGGGTACTAGACAACTGATAAACATACTTATATATTTCTAAATATATAAATATTATAGATAAATTACACCCAGACACAGAACAAATGATCGTGCTCATCACACAAACATTTGTCCTGGGTGGGAATCGAACCCACGACCTCCGGCGTAGCAGTCAGGGTCACTAACCACTAGACCAACAGGCCAGTCAATTTCTAAGTAAGATTTCTTATTCCGTTTAGTATTGTTGCGTGCCACCATTAATGCCTGGTATATGACGACACTAATTACCACTAGCGCCTTCTAGTATCGAGTAGCAGAACTAGGAGAGTCAAGATCCTTCTAGAAATTTCCGTGGAAGAACTTTCTAGAACTATCCACACCTAGTCAATCGGGGCCGATATCTACTCGAATATTCTAGATGTTTTACAACAGAAGGTTCTGAAACTATCTGAGGCCCTATATAAGGCCGGTGTAGACCGCGACCGGAGTCAGCGTTGAGTTGACGATACGCACGACTACTTCGAAGCAATACAACTGCGAACTAAAGCGATCAGTAGTACAATTGTGTTTTGTTATTAGTGTGGTTTTAAGTTGAAATTAGTGTTCTGTAAATTATTGTCAATTTTGGTAATTCACTCGGCAGTTTTAATTGTCTCGAACCCCAAGCTCGTAACAGTATCTGACATGTTTATAACAATACTCTAACAAAACTATAATATGCAAAAAATTACTTAACACATTTTGTATTATCTCGGAACACTTACTTCGTAATTTCTTCTTTGTACATATCTATATCTGATGTTTCAATGCTATCTGTTTCACCCAAACTATTCCCTGCGGTGCGCCATTGCTGATATACTCTGTAATATTCTTTACTGTCCAGGCTTTGGGCGACCTTGTACTTCAATTGTTTCTGTAAATACATAATGTCAATTACATAACTAAGCATTATGTAGTCAGTGGACGATTGTTTTGTAAACTTTTTTTGCGATTGCTTTTGGAATAAAAAATTAAACTCATTATTTTGGTCAAGTTGAGTTTCGTACAGCCGGGACGTACGTAGGCTGTAATGTGCACGATAAAGGATCTTATTTCTGTAAAGGTACGGAGCAGAATAAAAACCGTTGCGCAATTTTATTAATTTTTCAGGCATGAGGGTTTCTATTTATTTCCGAGTCCATGATATCCACTATTTAAAATTATGATTATAGCTTTATTTATGTTCGCAGGAGACGGACACAAGTTGCAAATATAATATTAAAAATATTATAAAATACTAGCTATTCCCCGCGACTTTGCTCGCGTGAATTTTATTACGATTGGATGTCATGGGTTTTAATTTTTTTTGCGCGTAACCCTAATTCTTATTTTAAAATAAAAGTAGCCTAAGTTACTCCTTATAAAATCAGGTATCTGTTAGTGCAAGTCCCGTCAAAATCGTTCCAGCCGTTTCAGAGATTAGCCGGAACAAACAGACAGACAAAAACTTTAAAAATTGTTATTTTTGTTATAAGTACCGTTTATACTTTCATATGCATTTGGTAAAAAGCTGTTATTCTGACATTACAAACAGACACTTTAATTTTATTTATTTGTATAGATTATTTCAGAGTCCATGATATCCACTATTTAAAATTGTGATATAAGCTTAATGTAATAATAAAAATATTATATAATATAATATATACTAACATAATAAAGCGGAAGAGATTTTCTTGCATTTTTGCTTTTTTTTATTTGTTTAAATACGCTAATCTCTGGAACTACCAGTCCGATTTGAAAAAATCTTTTGTATATTATAGTCAAATGAGGAATAGTATTAGGCTATCTATCATTAGTCTGAATCTCACAGCTAGCGTTAAATATTGATTTTTGTTAAGCAAGTCAGAAGAAATAGCGGCCCCCAACTGCATTATTCGCGTGCTCTGGCGTAGAGGTTAGTGATACATGAATACTGCTCGGTGGTGAAGGAAAACATCGTGAGGAAATGTGCATGTCTAAGAAATAAAAAAAATCCAAGACATGACAAGTACTATTTATGTAGGTTACAAAAAAGACAACAACCCTGTGTGCAGGTTCACCTATTATTGAATGAAGGGTGAGGTTAAGTGTGTAGTTTTGAGACATATATTTTTGTTCTACCCACTAATTCTTATTTGGCTCAAACGGAATATAGTCATAAATTACTTTTGAATTGTATTGACAGCTAGGTTTCGTTACGAGCGCCTGAATGCATTTATTTAAAAAAAAAAAGTCAAATTGAACTAATGGCAAATTAAATAAATGAACAAAATAATTGACAATTGTTACATATAACCTTAAAACTTTCATATTATTTTTGTTCATTCTTTTTCTTTATTTTTATAGGTTCGCAAATGTCCACAGCTGGACATGAGCACTGGGTATCTCCCGCTGTAGGGAACTTATTAAATATTATAATATTATTTTGTAATTAATACACACAATACAAATGGTGGCATTGTGTTCATCAGTGGCTCTATAGTATACAACGTGTCCAAAAATTCAACGATAAACGGGCACCAGAGGGTGGACCTGCTCATGACTACTCGAGAAAAAATAAAAAGAAAATAATATCTAAATCGTTATTGAAATTACAAAAAAAAATGAAATTCTTCGAAAATCGATACCCCGATATGGAATTTTTAACTACCATGAGCACATTTTTAACTACCATGAGCACATTTTAAATTTTTTTTAGTATCGGCAACATTAGTAGTACTGCTATCTACCACAACTTATAAATCCCAGAATACATGTAGTTTTTACACAAAAATCAATCAAAATTATTTTTTTCCCTAAAATTTTGAAAGATTTTTACTTTCAGTCCACTTTCACTCATCGTGGTGTAAAAAAAAGTACTGACACTACTATGGCAAGTTTTTTTAAAAATTGACGCAACTAACCAAGATTATAAAATGGTATAATACTCTTAGAAAACTAGCCACAAAAAAGCCTACTATTTCTAAACAAGAACCGAAATTTTGAACATAAATTTTTGTTGCTAGTTAATCACTTTCACTACACTACACTATGTGCTAAAAAAGGTGCGAAGTCAGTAAAATTTAGAAGTTAGAGAGCGATAGATAGAAGGAGACTATACGTTAGAGAGAGATAGATGATTTTTGTTGTTTAGTAAAAATAGGGCAGGTAGACAAGTTGCTTTAGTGTTCTCAACAAGTCAGTCAGTACACTCTGCTCCTGTTTACTGTGCACCGTTCCGTATTCAATTGATGTGGCTTTCGTACTAACAACTTTTGGCTTTGCTTTTTGGACTGGTGATCTGCAAACTGAACTGACCTCGCATTATTTTGGACTGTGATTGTGTGTTTTGTGAATTGGACTATTGGCGTATTTTGGACTGTTTATCGTTTATCATGCCGCTACCGTACGTACACACCGTTGGAAAACGCTAATATGGATCTCATTTACGGGGAATGCCGATGCAATGCTAACGCAGTAAAAGTTAAAAATGTGGTCATGGTAGTTAAAAATACCATATTGGGGTATCGATTTTCGAAAAATTTAATTTTTTTTTGTAATTTCAAAAACGATTTAGATTTTTTTTTCTTTTTATTTTTTCTCGAGTAGTCATGAGCAGGTCCACCCTCTGGTGCCCGTTTATCGTTGAATTTTGGGACACGTTGTATATGTGAAGTCCTCAAAGAGCGCGCGCAAAGCCAGTGCCGCTGCAGTAGTACGTGTGCGTATGGGGTACGTACGTTATCCGGGTGCTGCAGATCCGGGCGGTAGGGGTAGTGCAGGTAGAAGTGGTGGTTGCGGCGCAGCATCTTGCGCATGCGGCAGGGGCCCTCGGTGCAGTCGAGCGCCCACTTGTCGAGCGGCGAGGCGCGCGGCGGGCCCCACAGGCCGCGCTCGCGCGTCAGCTCGCGCCACGCGCCCGCCCACTCCGCCTGCACGTAGCGCGACGTGTGCGCGCTCGTGTTGGCCGCCGCCTGCAGCTGCACGCACCACGCCTGCCTGCCCCACACACAACACCACCGCGTTACCTTACTATTGCTCAACACACACTACACTATATATACATACTATACATCGTTTACTTAAATTCTTACTAACAGCCTTAAGTGTTTCATCCCCGTAAATAATAATAATAATATATTATATTACACATATATCATTTAATTAAATACTTCGTAACAGCCCTGAGTCAGGAATTTGACGGTGATTCATCCCCGTGAATCGGAAAGCACGTAAAACAGTTTTGGTTAATCCTGCGTTTGATCTTTATCAGGTCGTATCGGATTATTGTCACATCGATCTATGAAAACAAGGAAATAGAGAATGTACCTGAGCTTGCAGCGCTCGTGCACTATAATACTTGTGTAAATGGTTATACTCCACCAAACCTACGAAATACCCTTTGACAGGTGTTATTTATTGAGCTAGGTATTCCAACTGAAAAATCGGTACCTACAATATTCGATTCTTAAGAGACATCAATATCGATTCTTTAGTTGGTAATCATATTAGTATTTTCATATTTATTGCTTACTGCTATTTTTTTAGAGATAAAGTCATATAAACTAAAAGCTGCACTAGATTAAAAAAATTATTTAATCAGCATCACTATATCTAGTAGAACTATCATCGTCATCATCGTAGTTTACATTAAGTATTATTTGATTGACTATAAAGCATTCAAAACTCTCTCTCTCTTAAAATTCAAGTCTCTTTCAGAGTCCTAATTTTCCTTGTTTTCTCACGTTTTACATTTCATTGTGTAGTAGTTGTATTTTTAGGCGAATCCTACATAGCAAATTATGAGGCGCCCACCTTTTCGCACGGACACATGTCATCTGCGTCACAGTGTGATTGGCATTTAGCCCTATTTTATCAATGAATATAACGTTGCCCCAATTGGTTATATTTTTAATTTCTTGTAAAAAATATATTCTTTCCATTCATGGTCTGAATAATTATTTTGCGTTAGTTTATTTTGTTGTATCAGTAGTTAATTCCTTTTCAAATGGTTCTCAATGACTATACTACCATTGTACTACCCGCGCGGTTAAATAGAATTGAAAATGGCGTCTCCTCTATTCACCTCTCGCTCGTACACTGTCGTATCGTACTCGTATTTATACTCACATCCGTCAATAAAGACTGCAAAAAATTACGTTGCGATATGCGTTTTTTGTACGTTCTATAATTTCAGTCCAACTTGTCATTGGAATCAACGATAACAAAATGGCATAAAACTACAAAAAAAAAATCAGTTCAATTTTCCTACGCGTTCTGAGAGTTTTCTTCGTGATTATTGTTGTTTGTTTGAAAAAATTGTTTGTTGAAAAAATTTTTGTTTCTCTATATGTCCGAGTTCATAATGGCTGACGAACAAATAGAGAGTAATACCAGGAACTAAATCTTTTCCGAAAATTTAGAGATTTTATTAAAATAGAAATATTGATAAGATAAAATATATGGTGTTTATAATTAATAGAATCAGGCGTTACTTTGCGGAAATCCATTATATAAAAGCTTTTACAAAATTTTACTTCGCAAATATCCGCGTTATGAAATAAAATGATGTGTCTTACCTAGTATGAAGAAGCACCTCCCGCCCTCCCTCACTTGCGTGCACTAACCCCGTCACCACTAATCCCAGCACCGCTACTTCCAACACCACTACACTAGGCAAGACACACCACTGACGATAATACGACACGTGTTTCGCCTCTACACGAGGCATCCTCAGGTGATATAGACTCTACGGTGGCTAACCGCTAAGTGAGCGGCGAGCCAAAACAAGTGCCTTTTATACAAACCGATGATGCAACCGCTCTCTACCTAACGAGCGAGCGATTGCGTCATGCGATAAAACATGCGACCAATCACCGCTGGACTTACGCAGCCGTTTGTAAAATTAAAAACAAACCGCCGCGCAACGCCCACATTATTAGTGAGCAGGCTTGAAGATATTTAAGAGAGGTGAGTAGTAACATTTGTTTGTTCATTCAGCAATGCAACGGTATTATTATTACTTTTTAATATCTCTAACTGTTCCAGCACACACAGACGCAGCCCTTTATTACACGTATGTAAGACTTTAAAGGAGTGGTCGTTGGCTAGGTTGTGTCCAGTGTCCAAAAGATGTTTGGCAAAATGGGATTTATCGGGATTGCAATTCCTGTACGCGGCTAAATGCTCTTTATAACGTGTCCCGAAATTGCGACCAGTCTGACCCACGTAAACGGCGTGGCATTCGTCACAAACAAGTTTGTAAACACCTGACTTTTGACGAATATCTAACTTATCTTTACTATTACAGATATTTCTAAGAGAATTGTTTGTTTTGAACGCCACATGAACGCCGTTTTGTCGAAGAGTATTAGCTACTTTTTCAGATATGGGGCCTAAGTAGGTCAAACTGCTCACATATCGATGAACACTTTGAGGTTGAACCGCGTACAGAGAGTTGCGAATAACATGCTTTTGTTTCTTTTTAATTAAATTGTTAATGAGATTTTTTGAAAAACCGTTAGAGACCGCTATTTGATAAATTATATTAAGTTCTTTTAAATAATTTTCTTTACTTAATGGGACAGTGAACAAACGGTTAATGTAACAATAAAAAGCGGCTACTTTATGTTGCCATGGATGACATGATGACGCGGGGATGACCGTGTCGGTGTGAGTTGGCTTTCGATAAATTTGGAAAACATGTGACGATTCTTTTCTTGTTATTGTTAAGTCAAGAAAATTAAGGGAACAATCTTGTTCCAATTCAAGTTTAAATTTAATTTTGTCATGGACTCTATTTATTTTATTGAGGAAAACATCCAGTTGTCTCCTTGTGCCAGTCCAGCAAATAATTATGTCGTCTACATATCGATAGTAATATAAGATATTTTGATTGACAACTATATGTTGTTTTTCGAAATTATCCATGAAAATGTCCGCCATAAGGGGACTTAGAGGGGACCCCATAGCTAACCCTTCTTTTTGTAGATAGAAACGGTTATTAAACCGGAAATAGTTTTGTTTCATACAGAGAGAGGTTAAGTTAAGAAGATCATTTGTTTCCCCGGGATGTAGACGACGTTTTTCAAAGAGATCTGCGAGTATACGCAAACAGTCAGGGGATGGGACATTTGTGAAAAGACTATCAACGTCTAAAGATAACAATATGGATTTAGGAGGAATACGAATATCTTTAATTTTGGAAATGAGATCTAAGCCATTTTTTAGGCTGTAAGTGGGGTTAAATCCAGATTTCTCTCGAAGGAGGAAGTTTAATTTTTTAGCAAGGAAATAAGCTGGTGCACCAATATATGAGACAACTGGACGAATAGGAACATGTTCTTTATGTATTTTTGGTAACCCAAATAAAATGGGTGCTTGAGGATTCATTGGAACAAGATTGCTCCGAGACAAGTTGTGATCGGGAAAAACATATGATGACTGTTGTATACATAACTTAATATCCGAAGTAAACTTTTTGGTTGGGTCAGACTCCAATAGCTCAAAGTCATCACCTTGGATAACATCGTTAACTTTCTGGCTGTACCCACTACTCTCCATAATAACAACAGTATTGCCTTTATCGGCTTTAGTAACAATAAGGTCGTTTTCCCTTATTCTCTGCTTTAGAGACTTAAAAACAGGGAACTCAGGATTGAAATGGGAAGACGTGGGCACAGCCCGAATTTCATTAGCTACCAAACTTTTAACGATGTTATCTTTCTTCCCGATCACAACAGCCACCTCCGCGTCAACAGCCATAGTCTCTAACGATTTTTGGGAGACCGAAGGTGTTAAATTATACTTTAGGCCTTTATGTAAAAGGGACCACTCATCTGTTGGAAACTGGACATCGGAAAGATTTTTAACTCGGGGATAAAATTGGTGATATTCTGTATGTATGTCGTTATTACGATTACGGGATGAAGAGGATACAAGTCGTTGTAATTTACGGGACTGAATTTGATATTTCTCATAAACAGCCATTGAAGCAAGTTCTCTGGCTTTCCCATCCAAAATATCAAATTCAATATTATGTAATTTATATGAAAGTTCAGAGTATAATACTTTAAGGTGGATTTTTAAATTATCTCTATTGGAAAACCAACGACGACACTCCTCATTAAGCCAAATGTTCTGAGCTTTAGAAATAGCAATACTGGCCGCTCGACTATTTGTGCTGGAACGTATTTGAATATAATTGGGAATAACATGAAGTTGTTTGCACTGCTGATTGAACCAAACATTTTGGGCAGCAATACGATGGAGTTTTGTTAATTTGACATAGAGTCTTGCCTGGTCGGCCGTGCTAGCCTTTTTAATATAATTAATAGAATCAGGCGTTACTTTGCGGAAATCCATTATATAAAAGCTTTTACAAAATTTTACTTCGCAAATATCCGCGTTATAAAATAAAATGATGTGTCTTACCTAGTATGAAGAAGCACCTCCCGCCCTCCCTCAATTGCGTGCACTAACCCCGTCACCACTAATCCCAGCACCGCTACTTCCAACACCACTACACTAGGCAAGACACACCACTGACGATAATACGACACGTGTTTCGCCTCTACACGAGGCATCCTCAGGTGATATAGACTCTACGGTGGCTAACCGCTAAGTGAGCGGCGAGCCAAAACAAGTGCCTTTTATACAAACCGATGATGCAACCGCTCTCTACCTAACGAGCGAGCGATTGCGTCATGCGATAAAACATGCGACCAATCACCGCTGGACTTACGCAGCCGTTTGTAAAATTAAAAACAAACCGCCGCGCAACGCCCACATTATTAGTGAGCAGGCTTGAAGATATTTAAGAGAGGTGAGTTAGTAACATTTGTTTGTTCATTCAGCAATGCAACGGTATTATTATTACTTTTTAATATCTCTAACTGTTCCAGCACACACAGACGCAGCCCTTTATTACACGTATGTAAGACTTTAAAGGAGTGGTCGTTGGCTAGGTTGTGTCCAGTGTCCAAAAGATGTTTGGCAAAATGGGATTTATCGGGATTGCATTGTTTTTCCCGATCACAACTTGTCTCGGAGCAATCTTGTTCCAATGAATCCTCAAGCACCCATTTTATTTGGGTTACCAAAAATACATAAAGAACATGTTCCTATTCGTCCAGTTGTCTCATATATTGGTGCACCAGCTTATTTCCTTGCTAAAAAATTAAACTTCCTCCTTCGAGAGAAATCTGGATTTAACCCCACTTACAGCCTAAAAAATGGCTTAGATCTCATTTCCAAAATTAAAGATATTCGTATTCCTCCTAAATCCATATTGTTATCTTTAGACGTTGATAGTCTTTTCACAAATGTCCCATCCCCTGACTGTTTGCGTATACTCGCAGATCTCTTTGAAAAACGTCGTCTACATCCCGGGGAAACAAATGATCTTCTTAACTTAACCTCTCTCTGTATGAAACAAAACTATTTCCGGTTTAATAACCGTTTCTATCTACAAAAAGAAGGGTTAGCTATGGGGTCCCCTCTAAGTCCCCTTATGGCGGACATTTTCATGGATAATTTCGAAAAACAACATATAGTTGTCAATCAAAATATCTTATATTACTATCGATATGTAGACGACATAATTATTTGCTGGACTGGCACAAGGAGACAACTGGATGTTTTCCTCAATAAAATAAATAGAGTCCATGACAAAATTAAATTTAAACTTGAATTGGAACAAGATTGTTCCCTTAATTTTCTTGACTTAACAATAACAAGAAAAGAATCGTCACATGTTTTCCAAATTTATCGAAAGCCAACTCACACCGACACGGTCATCCCCGCGTCATCATGTCATCCATGGCAACATAAAGTAGCCGCTTTTTATTGTTACATTAACCGTTTGTTCACAACAAACAAATGTTACTAACTCACCTCTCTTAAATATCTTCAAGCCTGCTCACTAATAATGTGGGCGTTGCGCGGCGGTTTGTTTTTAATTTTACAAACGGCTGCGTAAGTCCAGCGGTGATTGGTCGCATGTTTTATCGCATGACGCAATCGCTCGCTCGTTAGGTAGAGAGCGGTTGCATCATCGGTTTGTATAAAAGGCACTTGTTTTGGCTCGCCGCTCACTTAGCGGTTAGCCACCGTAGAGTCTATATCACCTGAGGATGCCTCGTGTAGAGGCGAAACACGTGTCGTATTATCGTCAGTGGTGTGTCTTGCCTAGTGTAGTGGTGTTGGAAGTAGCGGTGCTGGGATTAGTGGTGACGGGGTTAGTGCACGCAATTGAGGGAGGGCGGGAGGTGCTTCTTCATACTAGGTAAGACACATCATTTTATTTTATAACGCGGATATTTGCGAAGTAAAAAAAAAAATTTTGTAAAAGCTTTTATATATGGTGTTTAATAATTATCTTAAGTCGTCAATGAAATCCCAAGTAGGCGAAGCCAGTGCGGTTTGCTAGTTATTAATTTTATTTTCAAATTAATGTACATAACTGCGTATACAATTATTATCAAATATTTTCCCATTAAAAGAAAATTTCCAATTTACCGAATAATATAACATTATAACAATATACCGTTATTAGCGGATTTTCGCTATTGGTACTGTGTTGTTGACGGTACGGGCTCGATAAGCCGCCATTTCAGTGACGGGGATAGTGCACGCAATTGAGGGAGGGCAGGAGGTGCTCTTCAAACTAGGTATGACACATCATTTTATTTTATCGAGCGGATTTACCGAGGTAATTTTACCAACTTTAAGAAAGATATTTGCTATGGTTTGTCTGGCTTGAGTTAAGACGTGGTTTTTTTTTAAAAATAGTTAGTTAGTTTGTGTACTAACCTAACCAATTGCACATGATCCTGCATATATGCGAGTGCGTGTTCTCGGGGTGGATGTGATCGCTGTTTGGCAGAGTCCTCTTTCTTGACTTTAGTCCTGGACGCCAATCGTGTAAGTCCACCGGTCACCTTTTGTATCTTAGATTGAATTTGATTATGGAGCTCCCATGGAACTCGGTAAACGGCCTGTTTAGTAAAAACGTACAAATAAATTTTAAGATACAACAGAAAGAATAAAATAAGTTATGAATGGGTACAACAATTAGCTTTTTTAAATAATATTAGAGAAACAAATATGCTAATAACAGTTTACGTGATGGTATATGGTAAAATACCTATGGTTACCTACATGAAACTTCAAAGATGAAATGTATCATTAAAATGTTATTAAGCTACGTGGTGAGAGCCACGCTGCAGCTAATATATTATGGTTGTTGTAGCAGGATCAGGTTGGCTGGACAGGGAAAGGATCACGCTAACACAGAATAGCAGCGTGAAATAGCAGCTTAATGCTGCTGTGTTTCGTATGGTGAGGGTAGAGAACTGGAGACACGTTTTACTAGCAATGAGGCATTCCATCTTAGTTTTCAAGGGTGACCAACACATCTGCATTTAAATTCTTAATCGAGGATACATGTAGATGTCTATTAGGCACAGTATTAACTTACCATCAGGTGGACCGTGATGCTAGTTTGGCGCCCATATTCTATAAAAAATACTGGTTTTTACCCTCCAAAGTTGAAGTAATTTTTTTTCAGTTTGTGTCGTAAGAAGTGACGTGAACATCGCGCATCACGAAGAAGTACAGTGAGCACTGCAATCACCAGTCCGCTGATGGTGCGGCAATGAGCGGGAGGGGCGGTGGGGGGGGGGGGGTTTCAGCGGTGCAGAAGTAGAGGGAGCGCGTGGGGCGTGGCGCGTACCTTGCGCTCGGTGTCGATGTAGTTGAGCCAGAGGCGGTGCGCGGGCGCGGCGAGCTGGTCGCGCGCGGCGGGCAGGTCGGGCGCGCGCGCGTGCGCGGCGGGCGCGCTCAGCGTCACCTTGAACACCTCCTCGATGGCCGGCTTCTTGCACGCGTACAGCTCCTCCCACACGCGCCGCGCCGCGCCCGCCATCAGGTTGCGACCTGCACATGCACCCCGCGCCCCACACGCAACACAGTTTTTACGTGGTAGAGCCATGCTGCAGCTATATTAATAGTATAGTTGTAGCACGAATGGGTCGGCTCGAAAGAGGAAGGATGACACTCTCACAGAATAGCAGCTTGACGTTGCTGTGTTTCGTATGGTGAGTGTAGAGAACCGGAGACCCATTTTACTGGAAAAGAGGCATTCTATCTTAGTCTTCACGGCTGACAACGCATCTGCATGCAGATGTCTATGGCTCACTTACCATCAGGCGGACTGTGCTCGTTTGTCACCCTTCTTCTATAAAAAAAAAAAAAAACAATCTACATGCTTGTTCCCAAGAAAGTACAAATATTATACAATAGTAATGTCAAAACTTGTGGTGACTCAAAAATCTTTTATCTTTTATTTGGACCGATATCTTTAAAAATCAATATGCGGAGTTAAATAAAGTGGCCACCGATTTCTTTAAAATATTGGTTTTAAAAACATACATATACATAAACACTCACGCCTGTAACCCAGAGGGGTAGGCAGAGATTATGGACTTCCATTTGGCACGATCCTGACACACCTCTCTCGCTTCCTCCACATCCATATACCTACGCATACACGCTCGTCGGTTAAAGGAACTCTTTATTTGGCCCATTTTTAATATATCGCCAATTTGGTCGATAAACTTTCGCCTAGGGCGACCCTTCCCGACTATGCCGTTCACCTCTGCAACATAAATTTGCTTTGTCACTCTTTCCTCATTCATTCTTTCTACATGGCCAAACCACCGAAGCATTCCTTTCTTAATCCTGGTCACAACATCATCTTGCAAACCACACTCTTCTCTTATTAAACAATTTCTCACTCTGTCATTCAGCTTCATCCCTAACATACTCCTTAATGACCGCATTTCTACAGCATTTATTCTACTCTCATGCTTCTTCTGCCACACCCAACTTTCACTACCATACATTAAAGTAGGTACTAACACAGCATTGTGAATTGCCATACGTGCCTTTTTGGACACATTCTGACTTTTCACAATAGAGTGTAGAGCCCCATTCATTCTATTTTCTGCATTCACTCGTCGTTCTATATCCTTATCATATCTACCATCCCTGCTAAACACACATCCCAAATATACAAACTCATCTACTTGCTCTACCAACTCCCCTTCTATTCTTATTTCACATATCGTTTTACTTTCTTCTCTTTCAAAAACCATAACTTTCGTCTTACTTGCGTTCACTTTCATTCCCTTTTCTTTTAATGTCCTGTTCATTAATGAAACCATCATTTGCAACTCGGCTGCCGACGACGCAAGTATGACTTGATCATCGGCGTACAAAAGGCATTTGACGGTTAACTCACCCATTCTTAACCCGCATTCTTCTACTTTCAAATTTTCCAAACAACTGTCCATAAATAGGTTGAACAACCACGGGGAAGCCACACAGCCCTGTCTGACACCTTTATGGATGTCAAACCAGTCCGAGTAGGCCCCGTTGATCCTGACACAAGCACTAGAGTCCCTATATAGAGACTTCAATGCCTGTATCAGACCAGCGCTCAACCCAAATGAGTTCAGTGTTTGCCATAACACATCCCTGTCCACTCTGTCATAAGCCTTCTCCAAGTCCATGAACGCACAAAAAACTTTTTGGTTTTTGGCCAAAAACTTCTCGGCGATCATGCGCATGGAAAAGACCTGATCCGTACATCCCATTCCCTTTCTAAATCCCGCTTGCACATCCCAAATTTTTCCGTCAGTTTCTTTCATAACTCTTTCAATTAGTACCTTAGCATACAGTTTTCCCACAATGCTAAGAAGGCTGATACCACGGTAGTTTTTACAGTCCTGCTGTGATCCTTTTCCCTTATATATTGGGACTATCACGGCTTTGCACCAGTCTCCCGGTACCCGCTTAAGTTCCCAACATAAATTAAACAAGGTGTACAGCAGGTCTGCCACCACTCCTTCTCCAGCCCTTAGCATTTCGAGAGATACTCTATCATAATCAGCTGCCTTACCTGCTTTCATACTTTTCATTGCTTTCATTATTTCATCTATACTTATATCTCTATCTATTTCCTCTTCTTTCGGAATTTCTATTTCATTTAATTCAAACGTCTCATCATTCATAAACACGCTTTCAAAGTATTCCTTCCATCTCCTTAAACTCAAAACTTCGTCATTCAGAATACAGCCATTCTGGTCTCGTATAGCATTCATTCTAGGCTGTTGTGAATGTCCCCTGGTAGTTCTTACGAGTTTCCAGAACATTTTAATGTTTTCCTGGAAGTTATCCGATATTCTTCTATCATTCTTATCCGTTCTTTCTTGCTTTTTCCTTTCAACTACTTCTTTTACTCTCTTATTTAGGTGTCTAAAAACTGCCTTTTTCCTTTCAATATCATCATTCATACTGCTAGAATTACTAGCCTTGGTTGCTAGTAAATCTAGCCATGCTTTCTTCTTTGCTTCAACTTCCATCCGTACCTCATCATCCCACCATAACGTGTTATTTTTCCTTTCATTCGTTCTCTTACTTACACCACATACTTCGGTAGCTGCATCCACTAAACCTTTCTTGACATTATACCACACAGTCTCCAAGTCTAAATCATTCATACACAATTCAGCCATACCACTTATATTTTCTCTCAATCTACATTTGAACTTCTCTTTCACACCTTCATCTTGTAACCTCTCTGTTCTTATACGCTGTAACGCTGTGGTAGACACAGTTTTAAAAACAATCGACCAATAAACAGTAAATTTCAAAATGCGGCCGCATTTGTCAGTTTTCACGACGAATTCAAAAGTATTAAACACCTGGATCCCCAGATTTGGATTCTTAACGGAATCAGTCCAAAAATAAAAGTTTTCCAAATGACGGATATTTTCTTTGTTTTTGCAACGAATTCATATTCGTAGACCACTTGAACACGCAGATATTGATTTTTAAAAAAATTGGTCTAAAAACAAACAGAAACAGAAAAAGAAACTTTTTTATTCAATATAGATTATAAATAATACTTATTGAAAGTCACTCTTTTGTTTCATTACCACTGGTTCGGAAAAAACCTCTGTCCTGGGAAGAACCAGCAAGAAACCCAGCGGGACTTTTTTTTAAATAACAGCTTACAATCATGATGTTACACAAATTAACAACACAACAAATTAGAAATAGCTTGGTAGCGATCACCTCATTTGCAGGGGTTATTATCATCCATAAATTCCTTAATATTATAATAACCCAAAAGTTTTCAGAATGGCAATTTTTTCAGTTTTAACAATGAATTGATATTATTTGCCATTTGAACACTCAGATAGTGATTTAAAAATAAATTGATCCAACATACACATTATCTATCTTCTATCCTTTAAACTTTTGATGCAAAATCGATTTGAATATTTTTCTACTTCAATACCATTTCACAGTAACATTAAAAATGTTAAGGGAGAAGATGATGAATTCTTTGTTCTATACATTTTCCCATATCGTTTTTGTGATAATTACAAAAAATCTTGGTTTTATGTAGTTTTTCAATAGTTGAACTACTTGCCTAAAGACCAATATTATAAACATTGTAACTTTTTAGGTTCCATGCGGACGAAGTCACGGGTAAAAGCTAGTTTGTAATACATATAACGATATAAAGTTAATAGAACTGAAAGTATAGGCTCGATGAGCCGCTGTTTCAAATCCGATTCTATGTCCGCACGGGTAGTACGTACCTTGATGAGTGGTCAGTCTGTCATCTCTCGACTCTAAATCCCCACTGGGATTGACGTGCCACGTAGTTCGCATGTGCGAGTCTAAAACGATCTTCATGTTAGCGCTCAACTGAAGTAGACAGTACGTAAGACAACCAATAAATTCTAGTTCGTGATTACCAGCGCCGAATATTAATAATCTGTAAAAATAGTAGAAAATTTTAGGACTACAGGGTTAAAATAATACTAAAGTTCACTAATACGATAAACTTCTGAGTCCAATTCAATTAACAAATTGTTCGATCGTCGCTAGTAAGTTATTGGTACTCTTGGTACTATTTTCACTCAGAATGACAACACTATTCATACAGTAAGAATTATCATAATTTAGAAAAAGGTAAGAAAATTATTATTACAACAAACACCAACACACATGTTACAAAGGATATTATAAGTACAGTAAAAAATTATGACTACGGACCAAAAGAAAACTGAAACCTAGATAAAATGGAATCAATACAATCAAAGCTTTATTATGTGTGAGGGTTTGGTATAAAAGGGCTACACTCAGCATTATTTCGTGGTATTATCCACGAAGCTGGTTTTCAGTGCGCCCTCTCTTAATAATTATAAAACAAATAGGCTCCAGAATTAACAATTTGATAAAATAATTTTCTATACCTATTCGTAGTAAGTTTGTGCAAGGCTTCAAGCACGGACATCTGGTCAGCTATTGAGTCGGTGGAGCGGGACAGTAGGTACAGTATAGTTCTATTGAGACAGTGGTGTAAGCCCTCCAAAGATATCACCGACGACTTTTTCTTTGCTTGAGTTACCAACTTCACAATGAAGTCGAATACCTATTAGAAAATATACATTTTTTAATTTTATAAAATAAATAATTAACATAACACCAAAAAAGCAAGTTTTATAATATTTTATTCAATACATTATGCTTTATCAAATCTGATATAATATTATTATGCACAATTATATAATTACATTTAATAAAGGTGTTTGCTTATGATTTTGTCATATATTATATTAACCGACTGACTATTAACGACCGAATTTGACTAATTTTGTTTTTTGTGTGTATGTTACGCAATATTTTCACAAATTATGAACCGATTTTAATGATCCTTTTTTTTATTAAATAGGTAAGGCAAGGCCTCAAGAGTGGCACCGTTCAAATTTGAAGATTAAATTCCACCCCTAAGGATAGAAAATAGGGCATGACGGTTTTAGTGTAACTTGAGCTTGTGAGCAAAAAATTAAACTTTTAATAAATTGTAAAAACCAACTTAAATGATTTAAAAAACATATTTCTCATAATAGCTTGCGCAGTCGGGGCTTTAATATATACTATGTATTAGCAAAAGCCTAAAAGTATTTTATATAATTAACAAATAAACTGAACACCACAATATTTCTTAGAACTGTGATTTTTTTTACAAAAGAATGTTGTGATGATATAAGCAGACCATTTGAAAAAAAAGGTAGTAGGTACAGTAAAATGGGGTGAATAGACACAACTTTCAACTTCTACACTGTTTTTTTACATATATTGTATATAAGCTGATAATAAAACACTTTAATCTTGTGAGTCTTGCTGTAGTTTATCGAATAATAATGCTTCAAACCAGTAAAAACATGAAAATTCATTGTATTTTAGAAAAAGTAGTCTGTTTCTATATACCGGGAATCCGGGGTTAATAGATACGACATAGGGGTGAATAGAGAAAAAATGCTAGGGTTGTCAAATTTGCTTTTGTTGTAGTATGTAGGTTGTGAGCTTGTGAGTCAAATGAATGAAAACATAACTACATCAAAATTGTTATTATAAAAAATAATTAGTTATTAAATCTGATATTTATACAATTCCATATTATATAAATTAAAAATATCAGAGTAATGTAATTTAACTGTTTTGCAGCGTAAACATTTCCGACATAAAGCCATTAGGTAAATAAGCCACTGCTTACATAGTTTTCAACATATTTTTTTAATTAATGAAAATAAAAAAAATGTTTCAAAGTTTGTTAAACTATATAACACTAATTATAATACTACATGTTTTGAATAATAACCTTTGGTTATTTTAAGTTGTAGGTAACAAGACGAGATTAAAAATCACTATTACTTATTTATAAAATTATGTAAGCACTAAACATAAATCTAAATTGACATAATATCGGGACTTGAAGCTGATAACTCGCGTCACACCTATTCCGCACCGCTTAGACACTTTTTTTAACTCGCATACCGAGCGTCTCTGTTAAACAATAAAATACAAATATAATGAATGATATATTTACCTACTAGATAGAACTAAATCATATGAGCACACTAAGTATATTTACTGTAGGAACTTCTATCTGGTGTAATCGTAAAACCTCAAGTATTTGGAATTTCAATGTATAAATATCAAAATTAAACATTTATAATAGAAGACTTTTAAATACCTTTAATATGGTTTAAACTTTTTTTTTTCTATTTTTAGTTTCAATTAGCTACTTAAATTAATTTATGTAGTAAGTAAATGGTGCAAATAGTTTTTGACAACCCTAAAAAACATGTTTCTATTAACCCCTTTTACGTTTCGAATAACCCCTCATTCGTATCTATTCACCCCTTTCTTCGTTTCTATTAACCCCAAAGGCGTTTTTTTCACCCCTCAGTCGTCATCTATTCACCTCGATTTCGAGAAAAAATACCAGTATCCTGATTTTACTATTTAAAAGAATAAAATCGTTCAATATTGATATTCATATTTGTATTAATAATAGACGAGAAATTACCTATAACCTAAAAAAAAAATTGCAGCAAGGAAACACTGAAGAACTTGATGTTTAACTAAAAGTTTTACACATCATAAAACCACTTGTACTCACACGTTTATAATAACCGCCCTTTTCCTTACTGTCGACAAAATTTACACTAATTTAAAGGTTAACCAAATAAAAGGGAAAATGTTGGCAAATAATAAACAGTAGGTAATAAACATACGTTCCCGAGCTATAGACAAACCTAGAGACAACTTTATCAAATAACCAGACTTGTGTCTATTCACCCCGCGATTTCTATTCACCCCATTTTACGGTATTATTTGAGTGTATATTGCACTAACCTCTTGTACACAGTGACCGGTCAAGGACTAGCAATATTCTAGGTACTACAACTATTTTGATACACAAATACACTACACACTGAAGTCTAATCCCCTTCCCCTCTATGTGACAGCCTTTTGGATTTTTTTTCTTCAGATATTCTGTACATGTGTACAAAAAAAAACATATCTCTCAAAGTTTTGGTCTTACTGAGACAAAAATAGGCTTATTCGGAGGACCACAATATTATCTATCGTTTAGATTACGAAAAAATGAGTTCACATACTCGTAACTTAATAATAAGAAAAAATATTATAAATAACTGCAAAAACAACGCCGATTACCCCTTTTTATTTTTTTCTAGATCGACAGATTTTGAGTAAAGCTACAAGAAAACATAATGATTACAGCTGTATGTCTATTACTTTAAGACTTATTGTTGTTTGAACATAGCGATGTACCCAACACAAAGGGTCTTTGTCGAAACTCTAAATAGGAAAACATTAAAACACTTAAGTTACTTATTAGTTTAGCTTCATATGACGCCATAAAAAATAATCCAAGGGTGTCAAATCGGGTGAGGGAGGTGGCGACGCTACTAAACCACCGCGACCGATCCACGACAAATGGTTGTTATTTAAATAGTATCTCAATGCTCGAGAAAAGTGCGTAGGTGTACATCACGCTGAACCCACATACGTTGACGGTACGACAAAGGTAGCTCCATAAGGCTAACAGCAAACTGTGTCTCTAGGAACTCCAGAAATTTAGTGCCGTAGGCTGTAGGAGATAATTTCAACGGCCCTATCAAACGATCGTTGATTATGCCTGCCCATACATTCATCGAAAATTCGTGTTGAAACGAACTTGGGCGCACCGCTTGTGGGTTTACTGAGACCAGAGATGATCATTTCTGTGATTTGTAAAGCCAGCCCTTGTGAATTTTGCTTCATCAGTCCATAATATTTTTTGCAGAAAATGACGATTCTGTCTCACACTTCGAATGATACACGAAAAAAAAAATACAATCCTCTTATCTATTTCTGTAAAACAGCTGTTATTTGGTTGATTAGGCTGGATCGTAACTCTGATGGATTCCTTGGCAGAAAAGGAGACCTACCACTTACCTACCTAGTTAAACGCATGATATATAGATACAGTTAATAATTAACTTATATGCAGACACAATTTCCGAATCCTGTCCACTCTGTTTTCGGTTCTTAATGATCTACCCAAGGTTAGCTGGTAGAGAATGCCATATAGCATTAAGTTCCCCTTTTGTACAAAGATTTAGTGCAATAAAGAATAAATAAATAAATTTTATTTGCATTTAATCCCATTCAATGACCTACCTCGTGAGGATCTCTAGACAGCTGACCTTGCCACAGTTTATCTACCAGCCTGGCCGCTAAGTAGCAGACGTTGGAAATATTAGACTCAGATCCGAAAAGTTCCGTGTTTAATAGATTCTCCATTAGAGTCGTCAACACTTCTGTCTGGTATTCGATTTGCTGCTCACTGGTGGAATTGGGAGGTGAGGCGTCTAAAACCAGGTCGATCACCTAAAACATAACATAGTTATACAATTTTATTTCAATAAAAATAATCACCAATGTTAGTAATTAATTTGATATGTGCTGCGTGCTTTTAGTAATATTATACCACATTAATCATCAATGTTAGCACAAATAATTAAGTTCGCCGAATAACAATTTAAAGCTGTTGTTTTAGCAAATTGTTTTAAATAATAATAGAATGTCAGATCGTCACTCTATCTAGTGGGGAGGGGGGGGGGGCATCCACGTAGACGCATAAGACGTAGAGTTGTCGCCTTTCTTGAAAAACATGACCACCGCACTTCTACTCCACGCCTCCGGAGTAGTGCCACCATGAAGGACGGAATTAAAGAGCTACTGAAGGACTACCGGTTTTCCACCCGCTTTCAGAAGCTCTGCTGTAATTCCATCCTCGCCGGGGGACTTGCCACTTTTAAGGTGCTGGAGAACCATTCCAATCTGTCTCAGACTGACGCCCGGGATATCATCTGAATACTGTCGGATAAGACTTGCTCTAGGATCGTTACCCACATTTGCGTGTGGCTCCAACGATGACGTGTACAGCTGCCCTTAGAATCTCTCAATCTTACTCAAAACCTGAGGTGTCCCGGAAACGAAGCTGCCACATTCAGTCTTCAGCTTCGACAATTGGCTCTTTCTGGCAGACAGATCTCTGACAAAGACTTTGGTGCCCTGGTTCCGTTCGATCGCTTCTTCAATACGAGCTGTATTGAAGTTGCGCAAGTCCCGCCGCATGCATTTGGAGATCTGTCTTTTCAGTTGTCTTGTACGCTGTCAAATCTGCTGAAGACTGCAGCTTCGTTTCCCGTCTAACAGTCATGAGATTTAGAGTGTGATCGGAAAATTTTTGTATCTTCTGCGACGGGTCTTGTAGAACTTAACTCCGACCGCATGGACAGTTTCCACTATCTTGTCATTCATATTGTCTATTGTATTGCAGTCTTCTAGGCACTGAAAACGGTTTTGTAACACGAGCTGAAAGTTTTCGGGGCTTTGGTAATCCAATAAAGCCAAAAATGGCTTTGGTGCTGTAATGAGCACGAGGGGTACGGAGCGTTGACTTCATTAGATGTGACTTCTCCAACTTAACGTTTAGGTTAAGTGTTCCTCTCACCATTCGGTGATCGCTGCCAGTTTTCACCCTCGCAATCACTGACACATCCCTGAACAGTTGCTGTCTAGTCGTCATAATAAAGTCAATCTCATTTTTTGTCGAATCGTCGGGGCTCACTCGACCAGGTTCACTTTCTGTGGAGCCGCTTCTGGAAGAATGAGTTCATCATAGAAAACCAACGTTCTCTTTTGTGCCTAGTTTTGCGTTGAAGTATCCCATTAACAACGTATAGTGAGTTTTGGAGGAATGCACGACTCTAGAGACAGATATCTCCATACATTTTCTGCACCTCCTCATCGAGATGTGCTGAGGTTGGTTTATGACCTTCAAACGAATACCACTCACTCCCAATTTTTACAACGAAAGACTTGTGGACTTCTTCGACTTCAGACTTCGATAAATCCGACACCTCTTTGGAACAGATGGTCGCTCTCCCGGTGATAGAACAAGTGGTCGAATTCGAGGTTTACCGTTTCTTCCACCTCTCTTCAGACCTCAGATAATTCTATAAAATATCCCAGCGCAACTTGTCTATCTCTTCTTTCAGCTCCAGGATCTTTTCGTCAGTCCTTAGGGTGCGTGCGTTATAGGTCAAGTCATTTTAGGTGGCACCCGAACCTCCACCAGAGATTCTTAGCAACAATTACCATGGTCGCCATCTTAGACAGGAATAGCGGGGCCGCCGGGAAATGGGTGGAGTTTCTTTGCAGCTCTCGCCATAGGGTGTATATTTAAAAAAGCCACTTTAACATATGTAGTAAATAAAAAAGTATGTAATTTATTTATTAACACTTATAATTATTATTACATAAATACTATTGGACACATAGAGGGACATATTTTAGTAGAAAACCTTATTTAATGTAGATAATCAGTGGTATTATTATTATTCGTGAACACTTACAGATTACTATTAGATATATTAAATTATATTACTATTAGATATATTAAATTATAAATGTTCCAGTTACAAGGGCAAAATACTAATTAATTATAAACAACAATGTTATTGAAAGTAGAAGCAAATCCAGCAATCTATAAATTAAATGTGTAATTAAGGTGCAATGTAATAGTGTACCTGGATTCGGCTAACAAAAATAAAAAAAAATACAAATTATAAAAAAATAACTTACTAAAATAATAAAATAATAATAAATGCCTTAAGGAACCTTAACTTTATTCAGATTTGGCAGAATCAGAAGTTTTACATGGAAAATGTTCATGAATTAATATTTTCATATTGTCTTGTCTTCATCTTAAGAGATTCAGTTGCAAGACCTACGTAACTACTTTTGAGATCATTGAAATAGTGCTCTAAGGTCATTCAGTGAGTCATAATATTTAAGCGTTTATGTCGAATCTATGCCAGTAGTTTTTGGAATACTACGCTGGAAGGTATCGATGCGTATGATAACCTAGAACTACGTAAGTGCAACTTGGCCGTATGAAAATGTTTAAAGTAGTCGCTCAGCGATCTAATAGAGAGGGCTATGCTCGGAGTTTCTGTGTGAAAGAATACGTAACGATGATATCTGAATTGTGTGTGTGTGTGCGCGAGTGTGTGTATGTGTGTCTTTGCGCGCGCGCGTGCGTGCGTGTGTGTGTGTGTGTGTGTGTGTGTGTGTGTGTGTGTGTGTGTGTGCGCGCGCGTGTGTGCGTGTGCGTGTGCGTGTGCGTGCGCGCGCGCGCGTGTGTTTATGTGTGTGAGAGAAAGAAACAGAGAGCGAGCCCGGAAGACGGCGAGAAAGGGACCAGAGAGTGCGAGAGATGAATAGAGAAGAGTGTTTAGTATGCTAAGGCATATTAAGTTTCTTAAAAATGAGATTATAGCAATTAGAGGAATTATATGAATATGAATCTAGTCGAATCCAAGCATTTGTGATACGAAGCAGTATTCCAATATATGTGAAAAATAATCTGAAATCCGAATATTTACGCTATAAAATAATGATCGTGGCGGAGCGGAGCAGGGGCTACAAGGCGTACAAAACATTGACGATGGCACTGTGTCAGTTGCGGGTGCGGCGCTCTATAAACCAGGCTGATGGTCAGTTGTTAGTCCATTTATGTTATTTTTTAGATATCTTTAATATTTTAATATGTTATTTATTTGCTGGGATTCTGATTAATTAACCAACATGCACTTAAATATAAAAAAAAATATATTCCAAGAGAAATTTATTTTTATCGCGAAATTTTAAATTCAATAGTAATTGTTTACTAAAACTTAATTTATGTTAGCAACCAAAAAAAATTGAAATTAAAAAAACAAAACGTATTTTAAATTGGGTTGTAAATGTGAATTAGATATCTTTAACACGGCACACATACCGGCGAGGTCTTGCCGGTGACAGTGAGCGACAAGGAGTCCAGCACAATGACTTTGAGGAAGTCCATGACGCCAGCGCGTACCGGGTGCGTAGTGAGCGCGCCTCCACTCACTATCACAACTTCTTTTTCCGAGCCCGGCGTGGACGCGCCCGAACTGTCGCCGCTCTCGCATATAGCTGTGAAAATATAATGCAATCGAAATTCCTTAAAATTTTATAAATGTAACAAACGACTTTATTTTAAAATTTCTCACACATAATATTAAAGTTCAGTTCCAATAACCAATGCTAAATTACTTCAAGAGAATAAGCACAGTTTTCGTAACCAATTTTGATTTTCGGTGAGCACGAACATTTTTATGGATCAATAAGCTCAAGTGGAAATGAGGCGACTATATAGCTCAAAGAATCGACAACCGATGGGAAACTGGTAAGTGTAGAGGGTCCCCTGATTACTTGAAGGGGTAAGCTAGTAAAACATGCAAGAAGACGACGATAGATGCAGGTAGGTGTTTTGTAGAGTGCTTTGGAGGAGGCCTATGTTTAGCGGTGGATTTACTTGTAAGGTGCTTTAATGAACAAAATTTTTAACTTTATGAATAAACTAGCATATGCAAAGAAAAAAAAATTCAATACCATATTTCAAGTGCACGCTATTGTAGCAAGAGGATTTTTACAAAGGATTGGATTGCTTATCCTTTTACTCAACAGTCTTATTCAGTCTTATTCCAAAAAAATGTTTTAGTACTGGGTTAAGTTTAGGAGTAAGAAGTCCAGGTTTGTTACAATATTCTAGTTAATACCAGCACTAAAACGTGTGCTTATTACAAAACGCAGACTACCCGAGGACCAGTTAATACCAACGTTAGTATTATATTAAATATCATTCACAGATAAAAAACAAAAAATGACACTCTATCATTCGTTCATACAGGTTTCATTCAATGCAACGTTCGGTTTCATAAAATATTAATATTATTTTCACATTTAATTATGCTTAAATAATTATCCATCAATACAAAAACATATCATACATTGTTATTTGTTTACGTTAAAATCTATTGAACAAGCACGACATATACTTTTGACGCGCTTTTGATTATATCAAGTTGTTTTCAGTTTAACAACTCTAGCGTGAAATGTAGTGAATTACAGAGGTAACGCGAGCGCGGGATTTGAGACGTTCAAAATAGTTTATATTGCAGCCTTATAATAAGTAAATTAAATTATTAATAATTAATTAAGTACTTGCTATTACAGTTATATTTATATAATAATGGAACAAAAGAAAAAACGGGGTGAAAATTGGAGTTCTGAAGAAAAAGTTAGTGAAATATCGAAATTTGTCAGTACGTAGCAATACTCTTATCCTCCTATTATCCTTATTTCAACTAAAAGGAATGTTCTTATTATTATAGGAAATATTACGTACACTTATTTCACAATCAGCACATATAATAGAGAATAAGTCGACAAAAACATCGGTAAATATTCAAAAAATAAAAGAGTGGAAGAATATAACTAATAAGTAAGTACTTATCGCATTTGTTATGTGTACAAATAGGTATGGTATTGTTTACGTGATTTCGTATTTTTTTTTAGATTTAATGAGATAACAGGTAAACGCCGATCAGATGGTGAATTGAAATTATCTTGGAAAAGAACGAAGTTGTGTGCTAAATCAAACTTATACACATATAGGAGGAAACAATCAAAGACCGGGGGTGGCGGAAAACCTCCATCACCTTCTCTTGAGGACTTGGAAATAATGTCCATTGCCCCTCACGACTTTATCGTTGAAGTAAATAATTATGATAGTGATGCAGTGGTAAATAAAATTACTTACATGTCTTACAAATTTAATTAAAATTAAAGAACTTTATTTTCCATTACTTTAGTACCTAAGTAGTGCTCTGAAATCTACTCTTAAAGCATACAATTTACAATCCAAAATTATTTTCCGAATATTCAAAATTTAATATACTTAGTAACAATTTAACATAAATTTCTTTATAATTAATTATATTCAAAATTGAAATGTCACAAATTCATATATAGTGGTCTATATAATATCATAACACACATTTTACTAGATTATCTACACAGTCCGATTATAATTTTCTATTTTTGTCTATTAGGTATTATAATTAATAATTTATTAAATTACCTTTTGTCTTGGATCATAATAATATTTCTACAACATAGAAAATACCTGATTCAATAAAGGGCAAAATAGAGATGACAGGTGACAGGAAAACATGTTAATAAATGTTTTAATGATTTATTTTAGGATCCAGTGACTGTGGCTACAACATCAAAAGAAGTTGCTGACCCTAAGCCTCGCCTTAATTTTGAAAAAAACAGACACAGCTATAGTTAAAAATGTAGAAAATCCAGAACCCAATGTTGTATATGTGCAAGGTAAATAATACTGATTGAATATTTATTAAAAAGCAAAATATATTATTATTATAGTTACAATCATATGCATACAAGTTTGTAAATATTATAAATGTTAATTTTCTAAAACTGTTATATTTATATTAATTTTTAGAGATAGATCCAACTACAGATACAGAAGAAAGTGCCAAAATGGTGAAAATAACCAACAATAAAGATATTATTACTAGGGGTATAACAAAAATTAAAAACAGGAAAAATAGCTTGCAAAATAGGTATGTTGAAAAAATTACATAGTCTGATACATTACATACTTTTTAAAATGTGAAAATTAGTATTTAAACACTGAAAATTGTTTCATGTTTTCAAATATTAAAAGCAAAGTTTAATATGAATTGATTTAAAAATAATTAAAAAATATTTCTTTAATTGGTGTACAAGGTTAAGTGCACTTTTATTACTCTAGAATACTTTGTAAATTTCTAAAATAACTACAAAACTTACATTAAGTATTCCATTTCATTTTACAGAAGAGAAGATGTACACCAAACAATTGTAAAAAGTAACACAGATTTTAAAAAAAGACAACTGGAAATGATGGAAGAGGAACATAAATACAATATTAAAATAGCTAACCTAAAAATTAGAAAATTAGAGTTACAAATATTTTTATTAGAAAGTCAGAAAAACACAAGTTAAATAGCAACTTAATGCTGCTGTGTTTATTATGGTGAGTTTATAGAATGAGAATAGAATAGAATGATTTTTATTAAATATAGATTATTACAGAATACTTATTGAAAGACTAAATACTAGTAAGAAACCCAGCGGGACTTTTTTATAAACATATTTCTCTTAACAATAATTTTATTTGTACAATTTTTAAATGAATTTTAATAGAACCACCATGGTGGCGATCACCTCAATTCCAGTATTTCCAATATTCTCATTTATGTATTCTTTGATATTATAATAACCTTTTTATAAAATTTTTCTTTAATAAAACATTTAAACTTGTTTATTGACAAATTTTCGATAAATTTTTGTACAAAGTTTGTATGAGAGAGACCTCTTTTACAGGAAACGAGGCATTCCATCTTACTCCACACGGGTGACAACGCATCTGCATTTTGATTTGTAGTCGAGGATAGATGTGGACGTCTATGCACCACAGCAGTTACTTAACATCAGATGGACTGTGTGTGTGTATGTGTGTGTGTGGTAGACTGTGTTTATCACCATTATCCTATAAAAAAAACTAAATATTTGAGACTATATCAGATACATGTTTGTAAATATCCTCATATATGAAACAATTATTTTCAGGTACTAAATTGCTGCAAATATTTGTACATCTTTTATTAATAATTAAAATAAATAATTATAATTAATATGCATTTTATTTACATAACAATGAAATATAATATACAATAGTAAAAAACTATAATAAAAAAAACTAAACCTAATTACTTAGTCATCATACAGTCCTACTCCCCGTGGACCCTTGCACCTCTGGAAAGGAAATCTGGCTGTGAATGTAGAGGAGGGACGATATTTATTAAAAAATCTAAACATATCTCTAAAGCACTTAAATCTTTATATAATATAGCTTCATATTGATGTGGAATGTGCTGTACCCCGCATCTTTCCCTGAAACACAATCATTTATAGCCTAAATAAAAGCATTTTGCTCAATAAATGAAATATTATCACAATACTCCCCTGAATTTATTTCATATTGGTGAATATGTAGTCGTTATTCTTTGACAGCTGACAACGGCTCTGCAGAAATATTTTCCTTTATAAATGGGTATTATCTCTGAAATCAAAAAGAAATATTATTATAATTGTCTTATACATTTATTGATCCTTAATGTAATTTTATAGCCAAAATTGGCCTCTGAATAACAAAATAAAATAAATTATATATACATAGCTTTAGACAATTGAAAAAAAATTGACAATTTTATAAATATAATTATTAATTTTAATTATAAATAGCTATATAAATATGTAAAAAAAAATGTTTACCTACTGAAAATGAGTTTCAATAAACTGTCTTCTTCTAATATTTCCCCTTATTGATGGTGCAATATATCTTTGTACTATAGGTTCAGATGAATATTGTTCAATGCTATCTCTCTCACCAGAAAACACATCTTCTCTCATGTCGATGGCCATATTGTGTAGTACAGCACATGCAACAATTGTTTTTTTTGCTGTTTCAATATCTCCAAACATACCTCTTAATAGGCAACGAAACCGTTGCTTCCACAAACCAAAACATCTTTCCACTGTGTTCCTGGTACGGATATGGCTCCTATTATATCTTTCTTCTTGTGGTGTTGTGGGGTTCAGCAGCGGTGTAAATAGGTAAGGGGTACAAGGATAGCCACTGTCACCAAGTAATATTCCAGAGAATGCACCAGCCTCAAACCTCTGTTTTAGTCTACATTCTCGGAATATTCTGGAGTCATGTACACTACCACGCCACCTGGTAACAATGTCCATGATTTTCAGGTCAGCGTCACAAACCACCTGTAAAATAAGAGCTCATTAGTACTTTATGTTTTTCTGGTTTATTTTAATATATATTTATTACCATAAGATAGTCAAACAAATTATTTTCTATTATGATAAAGTAAAGTTATTAAGAGACAATCACAGCTATTTAAAATATTTGTATATTACCTGTACATTAATTGAAGAAAATCCTTTTCTATTAATATATAACTGACCCCCATCAGCATTCACTTTCTTTACTCGTATGTGAGTACAGTCAATTGCGCCAATTACTGTAGGAAAATTAGCAATACTGCGAAATTTCCTAATGGTTTCCTGCTGTTCATTTAAAGTAGTAGGCATTTTAATAAATTCTCGGGACTTCCGTGACAAAATTTCCGCTACTTTTTTACATGTCCTACTTACTACTGGTTGAGACACACCATGTAAATCAGCTGTATCGTCTTGAATCTACGAATAAAACAATAATATGTATTATCTGGCTTTTTATCTAGCGTAATGTTAGGTACATTGACCCCACCAAGATTATAAACAGCACTTACTTCATGGCGAGCCCAGTTGCGTAATGCACAAACCACTTGAATTTCAGGACTCAATGGGCATCCTCGAGGGTCGTGCACTAAATCCTCACGTAAGATACCCACTATTTTTTCTCCGAAACGTTTTGAGAACCTATACTTATACCTAAAATCTTCGTCACTCAATTCAAACGGATTCACACGATGTCGATGTCTATCAGGTCGCCGAGTAGTGTCTAGCATGTCCAAATCTTCTAGATCCATCAAGTCAATCATGTTAATATCCATTTTTAACGATTTTAATAACACCAAATGAAAACAACGCTCACCTCAAATTAAGAAGTACCGAAATTGAGGTTAGTATAGAGTAGAGTACCACAAACTATATAGAAAGGTTAGTACCATAGCTAAACTAGGGGTCTCGAAAGATTAACTTTAATACCATAGATAATCCTTGAACCAGAGATAATCTTCGTTTTGTAATAACGTTTTTCTTAGTTTATGGTTTAAATATATTACTAACTCCAGTACTATATTAAGTCCGTGTTTTGGAATAAGGCGGATTAAGTTTATCTCGGATCTTAGATATAGCAGGTTTATGTAATGTATCTACATACACATTACATACATGGTTTACATTTGTTTATGTTAGATTATATAACTCATAATATCAAAAGGTGTACGGAATAAGTCTGTATACTTATACTTACGCATATGTATATCGTCTGCGGTGTTAGGTGGGAAGAGTATTGACGCTAATGCGGTAAGTACTTCGGCAGTCATCATTATACTGACGAAGTCTGGTAACGTATTGTACAGCGAAAACAACACCTGATACAGTAAAAAAAATTATAAAATGCAAAATCATACTATGTTGCCATCATTTTGAATGACGATACATGTAAAAGCATAGAATGAGATCTTAAAAAATATTTTAATAATTGTGTTACATTTACACTACATATTTATGTTCTTTATAACTTATATTAAGATGGTTTTAAAGTAGAAAACGCAGTTGAAGTTCAATATGGGTTATTTCTACAAATGATGTTAGTTTTATAGAACAATGCCAAAACAACACTCATTTGGTTATTATAATAATCTTAGGAACAGAAAGGTTGACTAATATTAAAATTTTTGATATATAACAAGTTTGATTTCAGATCTTGGTTTGCTCGCATAATGTAAAAATTAAGGCGAGCGTATTTTCCTGAACATCAAAACGGTTTCCCGCGTGGTTTTAGTTGATGGTTACCGATTATTAAAAACAGCTAGGATATATGGTTTTGTTGCATTGTGTGAGGAGGTGAAAAATGTGGAGTCTTGCCTGCACAATGGCGACTGGGTGGTCAGCGAGCCAGTCGGGCGGCGTGGGCGGCGTGTGCGCGGCGGCGTGCGTGTGCGCGGCGGCGTGCGTGTGCACGTGTGGGTGCACGAGCGCGCGCACGGCCGCCAGCAGCGTGACGACGGGCTCGGCGGCCAGCGAGATGCGCGCGCCGAGCGCGGCCGCCGACTGGCGCTGCGGCGCGGCCGCGCCCCACGCCGCCGCCCACACGCGCTCCACGCACACGCCGCGCTCCGCGCCCGCGCCGCGCATCGGCTGCCCCAGCACCAGCCCGAACAGCAGGTAGTACAGCTCCGGGATCTCCAGGTGCGACAGCACCAGCCTGCCACACACACACGCACACACATGCACATTTATACTAACCGCTTGCTAATTATAATAAACTTAAACATCAAACACATATTTCTATCGATGACACACTACATCTTGCTTTGCTAACTTTAGTAGTATTTCAAAACTATGGTAAGCTTTCCGTTCTAACTTTAATTAGATTTTTACTATTTTTATATTTTAAATATTAACGTTAATTTGTATAGTAACATGTTTTTAGCTAGGACACTTAACTGTGAAATATTTCATCATTTAACAGTTAAGTGTCACTCAATCCAATAAATAGATAAAATAAACAACATGTTCCTGAAGCTTTTCTTCTACAGTATGTAGAATGTTTTTGAAACACCTCGTATACCGTGAAACCTTGCAACTTTGCCATTTTTGGAAGAACTTAAAAATTTAGAACCATTTTCCAACAACAAATGTATTGTCAGACTGGGCGTCAATGTTAAATGTAACATTATATTCTTCATAGATTTGATATTTATTCGTGATTTAAACAACATTAAATAGACAAAATACTCAAAAATAGAAAGTGTCAAAGTTAACCTCACTTTATGATAACTTTGCCATCAGGGTTTATAATGAAATCAAATTCTATTAGGATCTGACTTGAAGGTTGAAGGTGAGTTTACCTCATAATAAAATACACAACACTCAGACTTTTGATTTGCTACATTAATTGTGTTGCAAATAGAAAAGTTTACGCTTGTGACAAAGTTGCCCTCCCATTTTTCAATTTATCATCATCATCATCATCATTACATCATCATTACAGTCCTTCACAAGTCCACTGCTGAACATAGGCCTCCCCCAAAGAATGCCACAAAGCACGGTCCTGAGCCACCTGCATCCATCGACTTCCTGCATATCTTACCAGGTCGTCACTCCATCTAGTGGGGGGACACCCTACACTTCGCCTGCCGGTACGAGGCTGCCACTCGAGAACCTTTCTTCCCCATCGGTTGTCGGTTCTTCGAGCTATATGGCCGGCCCATTGCCACTTCAGCTTACTAATCCGTTGGGCTATGTTGGTCACTCTGGTTCTACTGCGGATATCCTCATTTCTGAGTTTATCACGCAGAGAAACTCCGAGCATAGCCCTCTCCATAGCTCGCTGAGCGACCTTGAGCTTCCTCATTCGGCCAGCAGTGAAGGCCCACGTCTCAGTTCCGTATGTCATCACTGGCAACACGCAATGGGTGTACAGTCTCGTTTTCAAGTTTTGAGGTATACCTGACGAGAAGATGTGCCGTAATTTCCCGAATGCTGCCCAACCGAGTTGAATCCGTCGATTGACCTCTCGGTCGAAGTTGGACTTACCTAGTCGGACTATTTGGCCCAGGTAAACATACTCGTCAACAACTTCGAGCTTAGTGTTCCCAACAACTACAGGCATAGGTGTGACATGGACATTAAACATGGTCTTTGTTTTGTCCATGTTCATCCTAAGACCTATCCGTTGGGAAACACTATTGAGGTCATTGAGCATAGTGCTTAGGTCCTCCAGCGATTCTGCCATAAGGACTATATCGGCGGCAAATCGAAGGTGAGTGATGTACTCGCCATTGATGTTGATACCGTATCTTTTCCAGTCCAGAAGCTTGAAAACATCTTCCAATGCAGCGGTAAAGAGTTTCGGGGATATGACGTCACCCTGTCTTACACCTCTCTGCAATTGGATAGGTTTCGTACTTTGGTTCTGTACTCGGATAGCCATCGTAGCCCTACTGTACAAGCATTTCAACACTTCAATATACCGACAGTCAACTTGGCATCGCTGAAGGGACTGCAGCACCGCCCAAATTTCGACGGAATCAAAGGCTTTCTCATAGTCTACATACGCCAGACATAGTGGCAAATTGTACTCCTCGGACTTCTGTACAATTTGCCGAAAGGTATGTATGTGGTCTATGGTGATAAAGCCCTTTCGGAAACCGGCTTGTTCGGGAGGCTATAAGTCGTCAAGTCTGCGCGCGAGACGATTCGTAATGACTCTCGAAAACAGCAAGTAGACGCGGCTCAGAAGGGAAATCGGTCTGTAGTTCTTCAAGAAAGCGTTGTCGCCTTTCTTGAAGAACAAGACCACCGCACTTCTGCTCCACGCCTCCAGTGTAATGCCACCATGGAGGACGTAATTAAAGAGCTTCTGAAGGACTTCAAGTACCGATCTTCCACCCGCTTTCAGAAGCTCCGCTGTAATTCCATCCTCGCCTGGGGCCTTGCCGTTTTTAAGGTGCTGGAGAGCCATTCTAATCTCGCTCAGACTGACGTCCAGGATATCTTCGGAATAGTGTCGGATAAGACTCGCTCTTGGATCGTTACTCACACTTGCGTGTGGCTCCAACGATGACGTGTACAGCTGCCCATAGAACCTCTCAATCTCACTCAAAATCTCAGGTGCCCCGGAAACGATGCTGCCACAGTCGGTCTTCAGCTTTGACAGTTGGCTCTTTCTGGCAGACAGATCTCTGGCAAAGACTCTGGAGCCTTGGTTCCGCTCGATCGCTTCTTCAATACGAGCTGTAATGAAGTTGCGTAAGTCCCGCCGCATGCATTTGGAGATCTGTCTGTTCATTTGCCTGTATGCTGTCAAATCTGTTGAAGAATGTTGCTTCATATCCCGTCTAACAGCCATGAGATTGAGAGTGTGATCGGAGAGTTTTTGTGTTCTTCTGCGGCGGGTCTTGCAGAACTTAGCTCCGACCACATGGACAGTTTCCACGAGCTTGTCATTCAAATTATCATACAAAATTGAAAATATGTGTCAGGGTTGTCAAAAATCCTTGATTACGTAATTTATTTCATTTATTTATTTAAATTTTGCAACATAAATTCTTAAGGAAAAATCAAAATTATATCAAACAAAAATATAGTATAGATAAAAAAGCCGGGGTAGGATTACGCTCTCACAGAATACCAGCGTAAAATAACAGCTTAACGCTGCTGTGTTTCGTGTGGTGAGTGTAGAGATCCGAAGACCCATTTTACTGGAAATGAGGCAGTACGTCATAGTCCTCAGGGATAAGAATACATCTGCATTTTGATTCTTAATCGAGGATAAATGTAGATGTATATAGGCCACATCATCCACTTACCATCAGGTGGACTATGTGTTTTTTTATTACCCATATTCTATAAAAAAGTATCGATACAAACATACAAACTACATAGAATGTCAAGTACGTCCGACTAAAACTATTTAAAGAAAGGGTTCTTTCTTTAAATAGTCGTAGTCGGTTAAAATGTAGCTTGAAAGTGTCAACCCTTGCTTGTAGCAAAACATGGCAAAGTAACCGTCACATCTTGGCATCACTGGTATGGTAATTTTGCCAAGTTAGTTTTATAGATAAATGTTAAGACCCACATGTTAGAAAAGAAATATATCATTAGATAACCATTAATGTTACGTTTCTACAAAAATATAGATATCTAATTCAGTGTTTCAAACAAAATCAGCTAAAAGGTTATTTCGCCGGCATAATTCCTCGCATTAAGGCCTTAACAGTGGTTGAAATGCCTAAATCTAGGATATTTAAGTAAAAAAATCTCAATAACTGTTCATTTAATCCACAAAGAAAAAATACAGGGTAACAGAAGAAGATTTGGTAAATGTTTTTAATTTAAGAAAATTGTATTTTTGTCAACCCCTTATTAGAAACAAAATCCCCAAAGAGTACCTATCTTTGTCATATTTTGCAAAATTTCTCCAAAACGGCACAAGCTTTTTAAATAGTTCTTACACTAAAAAAAAGGTCTTAAAAATATTAATATTTTTAATTGAGAGTTTTATTTTTATTACCCGTTTTATAAGAGAATATATCATTTTTCCTGAAATTGAATATATTTACGCGAGCGCGCATGCTCCGTCGCCATGTAAGCTCTGTCACAGTCCGTTTTCGAACATCGTCGAGGGTGGACCGCACGTCGGTGTTGGAGCGACTTCGTTCAAATATATATTAGTTTTTTAAAAGTTTATACTCAATTATAAATATTTTTATGACTAGAAATACTTAATTTAGTTAATATCTGTACACTGGTAACTGTAAATATTATTTTCTAAATAAATGAATTTTTAAAGTGCCCAAAGAAGAAGAAATTTTTGCGGCGACGTTGATTAGTGAAATTGAAAAATGCATTTTTATATAATTTAGATGTGGAACGACGAACATGCTCTCGTTACTTAGATTGCGATAGTTTTTAATACCTATGTAATTTTATTGTTGCATATTTTTATTAATTAGTTGATAATGAATTTTATAATTATGTATTACAATAAAACGCTGTTTTTATAAGTATGACTTTATAAAATATTATTGGAGAGAGAAATAAAGATACAGATACTTACATTTAGGTACACTGTTATCAAATTAAATCAAAAAATTTAAATAAATAAAAGAATGGTGCTTACCTAAGTATAAATAACTATATAAAGACATTCTTGGGCTTATGGTTTTTTTTTTGTTAGACAAACTATCATCTAAAAAATGTAAAAATTTTAAATTGGAGAGGGGTTTCTCTTCGTGATAAAGTTACAAATGAAGGAATTTGCATTAGAACCAGAGTAACTGACATAGCTCAACGGAATATTACAGTGAAATGGCAATGGGCTAGCTATATAACTTGGAAAACGTATAAAAAATAGGAAGAAAGGTCCTCGAGTGGCAACCTCGTACAGGTAAGCGAATTAGTACTCAACCTTTATTCCTCTTCAAGTATTCTCATACGCTTTTCTTCACACATACACACACACACACACGCACACGCGCGCAAGCACGCGCACACACACACACACACACACACACACACACAAATAGGTCGTAAATAATACTTACCTAGTACTATTAGGCAAGAGTGAATAGGTTTTTGTTAAGTCAGTGCAATTCACCATCTTAGACTACATAACCACTTACCGATGGGATTGTAGTTGCTTTACTACTTGCTGGGTAATAATAATAAAAAAAAATTTACCCTGTGAATGTTTGCATTTAGATATAATTTTTCTAACCAACCATAAAAATATGATGAGAATATGTATATAAGTATAAAGGTTACCTCACACGGAACAGTAATAATATAATATTATATCTTCCATTATCTCTGAAATCCGAGGTATGTTCATATTAAGAGGCTGAATAGAGCCACATTGAAATGCATGGGGATGGTTTTGTAATTTCACGTCATTATCGAAAAAAAATTGTACGTATTTCAAGTGGCGGTTTGCAAAACACGATTCCACAAAAATTAACTCAACAGAAAATAATTGCAAAGTTGCTTCTAAAAATACATAAATTTTCAACGTCAATTTTTTTTACGTGGTAGAGCCATGCTACAGCTATATTTAGTAGGTATAGTTGTAGCACGAATGGGTCGGCTCGACCGGGGAAGGGCCACGCTCTCACGGAATAACATGTAAAATAGCAGTTTAACCCTGCTGTGTTTCGTATGGTGAGTGTAGATAACCGGAGGACCTTTTTACTGGAAACGAGGCATTACATCTTAGTCCTCACGGGTGACAACGTATCTACATTTTGATACGTAATCGAGGATAGATGTAGATGTGTATGGGCCGTAGCAACCACTTACCATCAGGTGGACTGTGTGCTCGTTTATCACCCTTATTCTATTTAAAAAAAAACTTTCTGAGATTTCAGTAAAATAATGTTAAGTATTGTAAGCACTCCTACAATTATGTCTCATGTTAATAAAGCTATTGGGCTATTTTGATTTGTAATAAAGTGATTTTACTTTATAGGTTAAATAATTTATTTACCTTTCTATATCAAGAACCGTTTTTCTGTCACTCCTATTGAATTTGACAGTGCTTGCTGAAATTTAGCATCTTTAGATGGATCAGAATCGCCCGCTGATCCGGCTGTTAGATATTGCAAAAATAATCGAAAATATTTATTCTTACTTTCATGCCCAAGACTACCTTGTTTTATTTTATTACGGTCAAATAATATTTATAAGGTTATAAAGCAAGTATTTTTGTAAATGTTTTGTATGTAAATGTAAATGTTTTCATTATTTTGTTATTCTATTGTTTACAGTTATTATCACGTCTTAGCTTTATACATAAAAAATAAATAAATATATACATATATATATATATATATATATATATATATATATAATATATATATATATATATATATATATGTATATATATATATATATATATATATGTATATATTTATTTATTTTTTTTACCAGTAGAGTTTTAACAAAATCTTAAAAAAGTTCATTGAATTAAAAAAATGCCAATAATTATATAATTTCAAGTCAGTGTTTTACATTTAAAGTCATAATTCGAGACTAAAATAAATGTGAAAGGGCTTTTATCTGCAATAATAATTTTCATCAAAAATAACATAGACTTATAAAAGTCATATACACGGTCAATCATACTGAAGATTATCAATTGTACTACAAAATATTTAAAAGACTATTTCCAGTATAATGACCCGAATATCATCATTAATGTTTGACTGGCACACTTAAAAGTTTTATCACATGGCTAAATGATTGACTTTTATATTATGATAAGGTCATGCTTTTCTATAAAAAGTTGCAAGAAATTTTAATTCCCGGCCCTATTGGTTTGTTTTACTTTTTACTTAATTAGTTTAAAAACAAAATGGACTGATCTAAAAGTTTACTTTCTTGTGTAAAAAGTGCTATTTAGAATTTTATGCAAATGATAATTAAAGTGTCTATGTAAATAAGTGTAACATAGCGGGAATTATATTCAATGGTAGCGGCCATCCGTATTTGCAAAGCCAGCATCATTTTCTGTACAGAAACCGGCAAAGTGTTGCTCAAGGCACTATAAACAAAGCAGCTGATAAAATGTTACACTCATAACTGTTAACAAAAACTGTTTTCCCAAATGTTCTTATAGATAATAATAACTATTCCGCCGTGTTAGGTGCAGGAGCTATTATTAGAAGGAGAAGAGGTAAAATTTTGTTTTAGAAATGCGCAATCAATATTGTTTTGTCTGCAATTGAGCATAAAATAAAAAATAACTTCAGCCAAAGAGCATAACTGGCATTATACTCAGGCCCGTCAATTGGTACGGAAAAAAGTAATTTTACCAGGTTTCAAAATATCAATCAAAATTCAAAAAACATAAATATTAAAATCAAAAAATGTATATATGTATGTCTATACATACATATAATGATTTATGGCCGCTTAGTAACTGACGGTGACTCATTATAACATCCTACAGTCACGCCGAAACTAAGAGGAGAGAATCACTGTAGAAAAGGTAATAATATATTGCGGAAATTTTGTGATAAAATTAAAAAATAAACTTATCCAAGTTAATCTAACTTAGTCTAATTTATCCTTATGCGTACAAAAAAAGAACAAATAATAAAATAGTGAGATGGCGTCAGTTTTTAAGAAGATATAACAAAAATAAATAAAAAAATAAATTTCAATAAAGTTCAGTATTTAATTGATTATATACCGCTGACACTTAATCACGCTTTTCGAAACCACGCCAGTTGTAAACAATACTTGTGTGAAAAGACAAAATCTTCTTTTCAAATTTCCGCCGAGTTGTAAGTAGAAGGCCAAATAGGTCACGTGTCAATTTTAATTAAATATATTTTATATGAAGTGATCTTGACTACGTTTCATCAATTAACCATTGGTAAAAATTAAAACAGGAATTTTACGATTGTGTTTACAAAAAACATTATTAGTTGAACCTTGCAGCTTGTTCATTATTTTTATTATAAATACCTATAAATGTATATATTATTAATAAATAGTTCCCATAATATATTGGATTATTTTTTATTTTGCCCTATCTGCAATGTTCTACGCTCTATAGAAAATGTGGCGTATGACATGACTGACAATCTTTCGAACGTTTTATCTAGGTACAAAGATGTTTTACGTTTTCGTCGCCTCCACATGATATTTTTGTCAGCATAAGGTACCCTTCTATATCTGAAACGAATATAAACATTGCTACAAAGTAAAGTAATAGGCTATACAAGTTCCTCTACTGGGCACAGGACTCTTTTTTTATTTCTGAGAGGGGTTTAGGGCAAGGAAATGCCCGCCGTGCTTCCCCAATGCGTGTTGACGAAAATTGCAATTACAAATTTCATTCGTGCTGTCGGGGATCAAACCCGGGAAAATTTACAGCGAACGCTTTGACGACATATTTTTAATACGACACAAATAAATACGATTTAATATGTATAATAAAAATTCTTACGTACTTGAAACTTGAACACTTGATAGCTCGTGATGCCTACCGGACAAAGCTACAGCACCACACTGTGCAATATAATTGAAAATGCGTAACCGCGACATAATTCTCAGTGATGCGCAAGCATAACAGGCAGTATGTCACTTATATAATTGTCATCTCTGCAGTCTATTAATCTTTGCACTTTTATAAGTAATACAGAATGTAGTTGCTAGACGATGTTGACATCGGCTAAAATCTCTGCGATCGCCGTTTCGTCAAGGTCATTCAGGCTAGTTAAAGCCTTAAAATAAAATGCCAAAATTAACTCATGTTGCCATGACGAAAGCAATGTCAATTAGTTATTGTATTTTCATGCAAAAAAAATTGCATATGTCGAAAAACGTTATGTTTTCTGTGTTAATCGTAATTTTGTACCAGCATATCCTTGATGACAAAGTTAACTTCCATGGGTAAAGTTGCCAAACTTGACTGTACATCAGATGATAAATACCGCCGAGATCAGCAACGAACGGTCAGTACTATTGCCCAACGTGACGATTTCTACATCATTTCCATTGAAAAAAATTAAGAGTTGATGTGGACCAAGTGTGGTTCTGCATCCCCATGCTCTCTTCACGCTTTATAGGCTACGTGCGAGTTTAGTTGGTTTCTACTGTCACTTATAAAAACCCTAAGAAAAGCCAATCAAGTTGGTAAAAAGGGCTGAACATGCGTATATGATAGGTGTAATGTTAGTTGCGTATAAGCAAACACGGATACGGACCACGTGAGCAGCGTGAAGCCGTCGGTGTGCAGCAGCGCGGCGTGCAGGTGCGCGAGCGAGTGCACGGCGGCCGGCAGCACCACGCCCGCCTGCTGCGTGCCCGCGATCATCTCCGTGTGCCGCAGCCAGCCGCCGTTGCCCGAGCCCTCGCGGAACCTGCACGCGACCGACCTCTCACTATGCTATTCAAACACACTCTTCACCTTAAACTCGAACATTTTGACTTCAACTATACACAGATTTTTACAATGTCAAGTACGAGTTCAAACCTGAAATTTTCTCTGAATGCCAGCCCTAACTGTGTTATTACAAAAACATGGTTTATTGATGGTCTCAGGTTTACCATATTTATATGGTTTAAGAGCACTTCTCGCGAAAGAAGTCTCTTAAACCCGACGCCACCGCCTTCGCAAAATTGACATTTGAAATACCGAACTTTACTTTTAAATAACCTGAGGGTAATTGTAAACAATTTTTTTTATAATAAGACGATAAATATTCGTACCCAACAAAACAAACATGAGTATCTCCGTTTTACATCCTTTATACATATAATATGCCATTTATGGTGGTAGCGTAAAAGAATCACACATATCCCATCGTACCACGGGTGACTTTGGGAAATAACAGAAGGATATAATTGTTTCCTATAAATGGCGGTATGACATTTCGGTAGACGTTAAATTCAATATACCTTTATAGATCAGCAACGGATAGCAATATATTCTTCCGAGATCGAATCTCAGGTCAGGCAAAAACAGGTTACAAGATTTTTCTCTCAAGGAACTCAGTAACAGCCCGGAGTCCGGATGTTGGCGGTGTACCATCCCCGTACGTACCTCGGAAAACACGTAAAACTATTGTTTCCGTTGAGAATGGTTGCCGTGACCGTAATACGGTTTGGACTACATTATAATTTATGAAACTCATTTCTACAGCAGATGATCTTTTCTGCTTTTAAGCAAGATGTTAAACTAAACTTACCTTTGCATTATAGCAGATGGTTGCCCCTGACCAGAACAAAGTATAACAAGTATTCTTAATGCCCACAAAACCGTCGACGAATGGACGTTCTCTTGCATGAAACTCAACAGCCAATCCATTCCTAGCACGCGCGATATCTCCTCGCAGACGATAGTGTTCACGAGGTTCCGTGCTGTGAACAGCAATCCGTGTAGTACATTAAAGCATTTATTACGCAGAATGACTTGTTCCCCTTCGCATTCCTTCTCATTGTCGCTCTCTTTCAGATTCAATCCTTTCTCAGTCTGCGACGGTAATGGTAATGTGTACGCCATGAACTGTCCGAGACATAATAAATCACTGGGTCGCGGCTGACCCCCTAAAAGTGCCGCCAATAGTTGTATGAGTACGTTTTTTGTGCTGATGACTTTAACATCGTTAATAATATATAGGAGCTTGGAGACCAGCTGAAGCTCCCGCATTGTGCGTAGGTTGTGCGTTCTGTGAGCGGTTTCAGTCGCGAGCTCTAACAAGTGCTCGAGTAGAGACTTTATAAGTCCGCCTGGAGCTCCAAGCCAGACTTCCAATTCACAAATCAAGTCCTGTAAACAAGTTATTACTACTACTTATTTGTATTTTATAATTTATGAACTAAAAACGAAACAGGCAAATGAATATGTTGAAATAACTTCCAATCTTCTAACATAATATTTTGATAGCTTTGATAAACATCAATTAAATCTATTATTATCAAAATATTGAAAAAAAAAGATTAAGCTACTTTACCTGAAATGCAGTCAAATTGGGAATAGAAGAAGTTTCCTTCTGACTGTCGACAGTGCCAACTAATCCGAATATTAAATGCAATATATGAGAGTTGAGCAACTGTTTCTTCCTTTTCAACAACATGGCGAGTGTTTGGTATCCTTTCCGTCGGTCCATCTCCGCTTGCGCCGCTTTGTTAGAGCGAATTACGCACACGAGAGCTTTAACGCCGGCGTATAAGCACTCCACGTCTTGTGCCATTGCTATTAAGCCGAGTAATACTGAACAACCGCCGACAGTATCAATCTGCAAGAGTTTAAACAGGTATAAAACAGTTTATACATGGCTATTTTTCAAAGAGTAGCCAAATTTTAAACGTCAGTTCAAATATATAATTATTTATATATGATCAAATACTCGTATATAGTTATTTCATTTTTAAAATAGGAATAAATAAGGCTTCTACTTTTATTTGAAATTATCCCAAATTGAATAAGATTTATGGGCAACAACTACGCGTACGAGGGCTCCTCTGTGTGCGATTCAATTCACGTTTTTGCCGACCGATTGATCCTTACGAAGGTGTGCGTGTGTGTGAAAAGTTCGAAACAGAGCACAATCTTAATGATTTTAAGGCTCAAAATCTCTCAGTTCGGAAGAAGAGAAGAAGAGAGAAAGAGAAAGAAGAGAAGAGAATTCTCTCATTCCGAACCTTCTTTGCAAATTTGACCGGTTATTGCAAAATATTTTTTTTTATATTTTTTTTACAAAACCCTGTATATAAAATAGAATAATACTAGTCGTAACTAGCCCACTTTTCTAAACGTAAATTAACTTTAGTAATAGTTGCTATTACTAAATATATACACAAGATAAAGATATACATATCATTCTGTAAGTGTCGTAGGAGGCAACAGAGGGAAACTAAAACAGGGGATATGTAGCAGCATCTTCGTGTTATCCATATAAAATAATATAAAAACTGCATTTGCCAATCCACCTGCCAAACATGGCAACTACCACTTATTTAAAAAAAAATTATTTATTTATTTTGCATAATGTGTGTTTATACAATTGTTATATAAAATATATTACAATTTTATTCAATTTAAAAAAAATTATATTATTATCTATGAGGAAATATCCTATAGAGCAATCTATGGAGGAAGCCTATGTTCAGCAGTGGATTTTTGATACTATAATGATGAATGAATCAAATATGCTCAAGTATTATACTGTGTAACAAGTATGTATACTTCAACTTACCATAATCGCTGCAGGTTTAGGACAGAAAACCCTCACGCCCAAGTAACCCACAACTGTACCACCTAAGCATCTGGCCGGTCCCATGAGGTGACCGGCCGAGTTATGCAGGACCCTGATAGGAGTTGCATTCTCATGAGAAGACATCCCTAGCTGCTTTGCTATTGCCTTATTGTCATTTTTACTGTACACTTTACGTATCTTCGCTAAAGTGAGCTGTGACATGGCGCGAGCGTTGATACCGAACACAACTTTCTCTTCAGCAACCAATGGCGGAAGTGGTTCCTGATTTTGTCCCGGTGGTAAAGGCGCTTGTAGAGTGCCTACATAGTGTGGACCCAGTTGGTAGATTATTGACACAGTTTGTGCTGACAGAACCTGAAATTTTATACAATTTAATTCATTAAAGGGATTTTAGATGCGATTATTAATAAAATGTAAAAAATAAGATATAGGAAATTAAAAAAAAGTAGATTTTTGTCATAAATTTGGTGATTTTATGAATCTTTCCCTTATCACATAAGTTTTACTGTTAATAAAATTGAGACAAGAGACAATATGAAAACACTTCAAAACGGACGAAAAATAACAGGCTCATCGGAAATAAACTAAATTCTTCGATCGAGTAGAGGCTTTGTACACTGAAGAAAAAGTTGTACGACTTTGCAGAGTTTCCAATGCACAGTACATATTAGACGCGCCCAACGGGCTCACTCGTGGCGACTGCCTTACGCACTTCCTCTAGCAGTAATGCCGGCCCTTGGCGCCACAGCAGACGAGAGTATCGTCGCCATTGAGGCGGCGTTCCTAGTACGCAGTACACGCTGGAAGCACCCGAAAGCGTTGCTGCGCCTCCGCCCGGGTTTGCGCTGACGTAGTGTAGTTTGCCAGAATGCATATGTTGACCTGCAACATCATGTACAAAACAACTTTTCTAGAATAATCCGGAAGTGATAGTACCAATATATATAAGTCATATATAATAGACAAAATTGATTTAATTTAAGGTCTAAGTCAGTATCATAACCCTTACCGTCTAAATATAGCGAAAATGAAGAGTTCTTTAGTACTGCTCGGTTAAGCACGAGCACTAGGTGATGCCACTGCCCCTCGTGCTGTAGATCCGGACACCAAACTCGCGCTCCACACTCCCCAGAACCTTCTGGTTCCCATTCTCCTACATCTGTTGCCACAATAACAGTAAAAATGAGTGTTCTATTAGAACACTAATTTTTTGTGTTTAAATCAGTGATTAAATCACTTAAATAATAACAAGATCGATATAGAAATATAATAAAAATTACTAAGGCATGAAAATTGCTTATCGTTTCGTCGTAGTTTTCTCTATCATGTTAGAATAATTTCACTAGTATTTTTTGCATTCTATCACAGAAAACTAAAGAATTTAGTACAAACTTATTTCTTACTATGAGGTACGAGAGTTTCCTGCGTAGACACGATGATGGCTTTATCTCTGGCGGAAAGCACAACGGTGAGGCAGACAAGATGCTCGTCTCGGCTGTTGTTTATGTTCCGGACGAGCGTCAGCAGACGTACGCAGTGGGGGTCAGTGCGCGGATCTGAATACTTTTCCACACATATCCACGTCGAGTATGATAGACCCGTTTGAGGAGGGAACACCCTATCGCCTTAAAAACAAAACAAAAATTACACGATATTTAACACTTAAGGTTCTGCTTCAGTGGCAGTTTTTTTTATATAGAATAAGGGTAACAAACGAGTACATAGCCCAGCTGATGACAAGTGGATGCTGTGGCCCATAGACATCTACATTTATCCTCAATTAAAAATCGACATGACAGACAGATTCGTTGTCACCTTTGAGAACTAAAATGGAATGCCTCGTATGCAATAAAAAAGAACTTCGGTTCTCTTCACTCACCATACGAAACACAGCAGCATTATGCTGCTATTCTACACTGATATTTTGTGAGAGCGTGATACTTCCCCGTGCGAGCCGATGCATTCGTGCTACAACCATTATATAGCTGCAGCATGGCTCTACCACGTTGAGCCTGGAGTCGAGTTGAGGTTGGGAAAGTATGGTTTTTCTGACACTTACAAGAGATCTAAAGATTTTTCTGCTAACTTCCTTTAGTCGGACTTTTCGATACATACGATTTTTTTATTGAAGTGTAACATCTTTCCTCTAGCGTTCCTACAATTTGTGGGAGTGATTTCGTGAAAAGCCGGGGAAGCATTATTTATTTGATACGAAATATAATAAGATGATGCATCGCTATCACATGGTGAATATTGATAGCTATTTTGAATTTTTCTTATTTATAACTTACAATTGAAATAAAACATGAAGCTATTAAAAGATCCCAATCACCATAAATACGTTACAATTGTTAAATTTGTGACCCATTAAATTTCCCCTTAGTTACAATTACAAAAGTTTCACTGTTTGTAATACTAATAACTCAAAAAGTTAATAAATAAGATATCCATACAAAGAAACTAAACATATACATGTTTCTTTTTTTTCATTAAAAGTTGTCTATATTTAAACCATTTTTATTAAAACCACTTTCTATAATCGTATATATTTTGATTTTTTGATGAAGTTAATTCTTCTTTATTTCTTAACCAGCCTGTTAAAGTGCACAGTTGGACATGTGCCTCTTCACTGTAGGAACGATTTTCCTTAATTGTCACTCTTGACGGGCGGGTAGACGATCGCAGTACCAGACGTCTCGCACAGTCATCGTCGATGAATGTTATCGGCCTACGTCGTACTTTGTCATAAGATTTTAGTCACATTTCCCATAGTCGCCTATGTCGGTACCCACGAGACGAAATGGGCTGATGGATTCTTTTACGCTACCACCACACAACTTTTTTGGGTAGCGAATAAATTGAGTACACGACAAAAATACCAAAATGTAAGATCAATGAGTAAAAAGAAGAAATTACCAGATCCAATGCCACCTAATGTTGTAGTATCTTGAGTTCCAAGAGCATTCAGGTTGGCAGATTGCGGAGCTATACTTGGTAAGTAGAGACAGCCAAAGCCCTCTGCCGACATGTCAAATTCTACGAATGGTGGCAATGTGCACGAGTTTTGCGATCTGAAATTATACTTCGACTGTTAGTGAGTACGTTGCATTATTAAGATAACATTAAAATACACATCACCACAAAAACATGAGAGCAAATAAAAACGAAAAACAGGTAGCCGGTTCTCACTAAAGAAATTGCTGTAAGATTCAAACAAAATTTGATTTTTTTTTTAATTTAATTTTACAAAATTTTATAAAGAAATTATTTTATACTCAACCAAATCTAAGAAATACGTTTTGACAGCTGTCAGACTTATTGGACTAGACATGCTAACCAAAAAATCGGTACGTAGAATATTCGATTTTTTAGAAAAATCGATATCAATTCTTTAGAGTTGGTAATAATTTACAGTTTTGTTTCGATTAATATCAGAATAAATTAAAAACGGATAATTTGACGTGAAACATACGGTCTGCTCTCGGCCATATTCCCGCGAGATGGCGCTGAAGCCATCATTTTACATTATTAAGTCGCAGTACTCGGACATTATACTTTATTGTTCTAGGTCATATCATTGCCTTAAAATCCACACAATCCGACACAAAGCCCTAAAATAACATCTGTCATTGAATATAGTGTCATTTACACAGACATACGTGGCTGAATTCCTAGTCCCTATGTTTACGAAGATTGAACACTACATGGCGTGAAGGAAAAACATGTTTTTCTTTTTTCTATATGAGTTCTATATAATATATTATGTGCGATTCATCATCTGTCTAGCCTTTTTTCCAATTATATTGGGGTCGGCTCCCACTCAAACCGTATTCAGCTGAATACCATAATTTTATGATTATGTTATAAAAATAAAAGTTATATTTGTACGCGTAAACTATTTAATTCAATAATAATGTTTGGGAAATAAAAGAAACTCAAAACTAATAACACAGATTTGCAACATGACCAATTATTACAAAAATTTGACATTACATAACACGTGAGAAACTATTCATAAACAAGAGATAACAATAAATCTGAACACACAATTTAGTATGCGATAATAATCAGGAAGGTGAAAAAATATTACCTAATTTCAAAGCACTCAAATTTCATTGGTGCCGGCAGGGATCGAACACGGGTTTCTTCCGTACTGTGAAATTTACAGCGAACGCTAACCGCCTCAGCTACCACGGCTCGTATGCATGTTTACCAAGTTTTAAACATTATACTTACATTTATTTATATTGTATTGCATGCCGTAAGCGCTAAGCGCGTCGGTATGTTCTACTAGGGCCTAATTTTTATGTAGTATTATTATTTTATTGATAAATATTTTATTAATAAATAAATAATTATTAATCTAATAATCATAATAAAACAAAATTAAAAATAAATACATAATCATTATTTTCATCTGTTATCTAAGGACCAATCAACTAAAAAAATCCAGGGCCGTAAACGATACGACGCGAACTTGAGTTTGGTACTACAACAAAATAAAACAAACTAATAATAATGTGTGTCTGTCTGAAACTGTTTGCAAAATGCATAATAGATATTTTTACTTAACCCGGCAAAACAACAAAACAAAAAAATATATATTTTGCGTTTATCATTTTTTTATATCGGAAGCGCATGCGTTTTAAAATGGTTCTCAAAGACTACCATTGTATAAATCGCCATCTACTAAACTTTCTTGCAACTAAGCCGCAGCAGGATATTCTTATTTAAATAATATCATAAATAATAATATGAGATATTATTGTTTATGATATTCCTATGTATATAACTTATCAAGATAACGAATATAATAGAATCAGGTCAAAAAGTTATAGCCGAGTCACAAAATAAGGTAAACATAAAATCACAAAAGTACGCACAGTAAGCTTCCAAAATGGCGGGAGTTTGGAATTACGTAGTGTTTTTTCGCGGCTTTGCATATGAATTTCTTTGCCTACACAAATTTACACTGACAAAGTGGGAAGTTATAAAATAAATAAATTTGTTTAATTAAAAAAAAATTTTAGAATTGCTTAAATTATATGAATCACGTTCATATAATTTAAGCAATTCTAAAAATAAAATTTAAATAAACAAATAAAAAAATTAAATCATTTCAAGATTCGATTAATTGAAAATTTTTACCGATTATTTGAATATTTTTACTAATCATTCAAACACTACGGTAAAATACATAGCGATATATCATTGAAACAACGTTAGGCAAAAAAGTTGACTCTTATTATTTTTTTTTATATTTTACTTTTTCTGAAAGATTCGAACTTGAATTAGTGATAAAGACCTATTATGTTGTAATGAAATATAGATAACTTCATAAATCTTTGGATTTTCGTAAAAGGTTATTTTAAATCTTGTGAGTACGCTTGTACAAAGTTATAGCGGAATGATTAATGTGAAACGTCAAAACGTATTTCTTAGATTTGGTTGAGTATAAGAAATTCATGTTTTCCAGAAATAAGATGTATGAGTTATATGACAATCTTTCGTATATTTTGTAGTGCACAAACCTGTAATCTCTTGGAGTAGTCATAGATACGAGTGTCTTAATTCTAGTGAGTGGAACTGGTCCGCCTGGTTTACAGACTTGTCCAGGCTCTGGAGCAAGACAGTTCAAAGGGTTGCCCATTCGCAAGAATTCGCTGTAGATACGAGATATTTATTATAAGTCCATTATATAAATCATAAAACACAAGAAAAGATAGAATTAAATTACAAATCATAGACAAAATCACAATATAGAACACTATAAGAGTAAGTTTCTTATACATTATATCATATTGCCTACAAGGATTTAGTGTAATAAATAATTTCCATGTTGTAGAAGTATATTCTCAAAAATTGGTTTTTAAAGTAATGTATAACATCATTTTTAGAAATTACAAGAAATAAAACAGAATTGCAGCCTGAATGTCGTGAAGGCTGAATGCCGTCCTATGTTAAAGTTTCGTGTTAAATATAACTTTTCAAATATTGCAAATGCAATAATGTTTTATCTCTGTGTATATACTGTTAAACCTGATCTTTCATTCAGCAGATTACTTTATTCAATTAACAATGTACAAACACAAAAAATGTCCGATGAATTGTAATTTACTTTGTGATATCATCGAAAGAAACAATATCCGGCACTATAGTGATCGATATTACTTTCGATTTATTACTCGGATCTTGTTAAATCGGTTGTAAATGAAACAAAGTAGCGTGCGTATATCCGTGCCGCACATCACCTGCTGGTTGCGCTCGCTGCACCACAAGCGTACGTACCGCAGCTCGATGGGGCGCAGCGCGTGCGCGGCGAGGCGCTCCAGCATGTACATGGCGGGCGCGTGCAGCGCGTGCCGCTCGGCCCGCACGTCACCTGCTGGTTGCGCTCGCTGCACCACAAGCGTACGTACCGCAGCTCGATGGGGCGCAGCGCGTGCGCGGCGAGGCGCTCCAGCATGTACATGGCGGGCGCGTGCAGCGCGTGCCGCTCGGCCCGCACGTCACCTGCTGGTTGCGCTCGCTGCACCACAAGCGTACGTACCGCAGCTCGATGGGGCGCAGCGCGTGCGCGGCGAGGCGCTCCAGCATGTACATGGCGGGCGCGTGCAGCGCGTGCCGCTCGGCCCGCACGTCACCTGCTGGTTGCGCTCGCTGCACCACAAGCGTACGTACCGCAGCTCGATGGGGCGCAGCGCGTGCGCGGCGAGGCGCTCCAGCATGTACATGGCGGGCGCGTGCAGCGCGTGCCGCTCGGCCCGCACGTCACCTGCTGGTTGCGCTCGCTGCACCACAAGCGTACGTACCGCAGCTCGATGGGGCGCAGCGCGTGCGCGGCGAGGCGCTCCAGCATGTACATGGCGGGCGCGTGCAGCGCGTGCCGCTCGGCCCGCACGTCACCTGCTGGTTGCGCTCGCTGCACCACAAGCGTACGTACCGCAGCTCGATGGGGCGCAGCGCGTGCGCGGCGAGGCGCTCCAGCATGTACATGGCGGGCGCGTGCAGCGCGTGCCGCTCGGCCCGCACGTCACCTGCTGGTTGCGCTCGCTGCACCACAAGCGTACGTACCGCAGCTCGATGGGGCGCAGCGCGTGCGCGGCGAGGCGCTCCAGCATGTACATGGCGGGCGCGTGCAGCGCGTGCCGCTCGGCCCGCACGTCACCTGCTGGTTGCGCTCGCTGCACCACAAGCGTACGTACCGCAGCTCGATGGGGCGCAGCGCGTGCGCGGCGAGGCGCTCCAGCATGTACATGGCGGGCGCGTGCAGCGCGTGCCGCTCGGCCCGCACGTCACCTGCTGGTTGCGCTCGCTGCACCACAAGCGTACGTACCGCAGCTCGATGGGGCGCAGCGCGTGCGCGGCGAGGCGCTCCAGCATGTACATGGCGGGCGCGTGCAGCGCGTGCCGCTCGGCCCGCACGTCACCTGCTGGTTGCGCTCGCTGCACCACAAGCGTACGTACCGCAGCTCGATGGGGCGCAGCGCGTGCGCGGCGAGGCGCTCCAGCATGTACATGGCGGGCGCGTGCAGCGCGTGCCGCTCGGCCCGCACGTCACCTGCTGGTTGCGCTCGCTGCACCACAAGCGTACGTACCGCAGCTCGATGGGGCGCAGCGCGTGCGCGGCGAGGCGCTCCAGCATGTACATGGCGGGCGCGTGCAGCGCGTGCCGCTCGGCCCGCACGTCACCTGCTGGTTGCGCTCGCTGCACCACAAGCGTACGTACCGCAGCTCGATGGGGCGCAGCGCGTGCGCGGCGAGGCGCTCCAGCATGTACATGGCGGGCGCGTGCAGCGCGTGCCGCTCGGCCCGCACGTCACCTGCTGGTTGCGCTCGCTGCACCACAAGCGTACGTACCGCAGCTCGATGGGGCGCAGCGCGTGCGCGGCGAGGCGCTCCAGCATGTACATGGCGGGCGCGTGCAGCGCGTGCCGCTCGGCCCGCACGTCACCTGCTGGTTGCGCTCGCTGCACCACAAGCGTACGTACCGCAGCTCGATGGGGCGCAGCGCGTGCGCGGCGAGGCGCTCCAGCATGTACATGGCGGGCGCGTGCAGCGCGTGCCGCTCGGCCCGCACGTCACCTGCTGGTTGCGCTCGCTGCACCACAAGCGTACGTACCGCAGCTCGATGGGGCGCAGCGCGTGCGCGGCGAGGCGCTCCAGCATGTACATGGCGGGCGCGTGCAGCGCGTGCCGCTCGGCCCGCACGTCACCTGCTGGTTGCGCTCGCTGCACCACAAGCGTACGTACCGCAGCTCGATGGGGCGCAGCGCGTGCGCGGCGAGGCGCTCCAGCATGTACATGGCGGGCGCGTGCAGCGCGTGCCGCTCGGCCCGCACGTCACCTGCTGGTTGCGCTCGCTGCACCACAAGCGTACGTACCGCAGCTCGATGGGGCGCAGCGCGTGCGCGGCGAGGCGCTCCAGCATGTACATGGCGGGCGCGTGCAGCGCGTGCCGCTCGGCCCGCACGTCACCTGCTGGTTGCGCTCGCTGCACCACAAGCGTACGTACCGCAGCTCGATGGGGCGCAGCGCGTGCGCGGCGAGGCGCTCCAGCATGTACATGGCGGGCGCGTGCAGCGCGTGCCGCTCGGCCCGCAGCGCCGCGCCGCAAACGCGCAGCGCCGTGCCCGCCAGCCCCGCGCCGCACATCACCTGCTGGTTGCGCTCGCTGCACAACAAACCACACACACACCACGCTTACTACATGGTATACGCGATCAAACAGCACCACCCTGTCTCACTCTCATTATTATTGTACTTCTAGTAAAACTATACAATTACTATTTATGATTTCTGATGGGCTATAATAAATTAATTCATGAATAAAAGAATCACGAATTTGTTTATTATAGCTCATGTTGAATATTATTTTTATTAAGAATACCGTTATAATATGAACCAAAACTTAATACTAATAACTTTATCGTATAAATTATAATATTTTTATAATATTATATAAAATCGTATAAAGCATAACCTGTCGCCATTTTGAAGTATTTTTTGTTTATTTTCAGGAATATATAAAAATTACATTCAAAAGTTAATGGAACAGCAAAACCAAGATACAAAAGAAATAAAATATTATATAACTAACGCGATGTTTTCTTTCTCCACCGTAGCCTTCAATCTACACTTAAAATTGCAATTAACAATTTCATTGGTACCGGAGGGGATCAAGCCCGGATTGCTAGCTTACGGTAAATATACGGCAAGCGATTAATTACTACTTATATAGTAACTGTTACTGACGCTACTTATATAGTTATATTAAGGCGCGTGTTTGAGCAAAATGTCGCGCTAGTCGTTATTTGTGCGGTTTTTAGGAGCTATCTACTTTTTATTTAAAAGATATATCAACTAATAAAAAACACATTATATTTCTACATAATCTTGATTCCACAACAGTCATATTCAATTTTTTTTTACAGGAATAAATATTAAAGTAATCTCCTTACAACTAAACCACATAAATGTGAAATAATTATTGATAACATGCATCTCCTCGTAAAGTAAGCATTATTTTATTTTGCGATTGACATTAATGGATAGGCAATTTATTAATGAACATTTCTATCACAAATTTTTTTTCAAAAGACCAAAATTTGATTTTATTAAGAAATTATTTTAAAAACTGGGCGTATTCACTGCCCACAGGGTTGCTGGAGTCAGTGAGCGCTAAGCTCTTGAAGATGAAACCCGTGTCGTTAGTTACAGCGTCGGCCAGCGCACACGATTGTCGATAATATTATAATATTATTACTTATTAGGTTATTTATAGGTAGTATTATTTGTTTGTTTTGGGTATAATTTGTCGTATTAGTCATACATATATTTGTTGTGTTTTTTACTGCGCGATGAAACTTTTTGCGTGTATTTTCTTTGAAGTAAATGCAAATATTAAAATTAAGCACCATTAGCATGTAAGGTTTGGTTTGAATTGGGCGTTTGGTCTATTATCGTCTAATAAAGCCCGGTCGGGTAAGTCGGCCTATAGGCGACTAATTCGACCTGGGCGTAAGTTGGCCTATCTGCGGCATTGCGGGTTATTACTCGACTCTCTAATCGCTATAGAGAGGAGTTCTCTTGGCAGAGGTCGCCCGTCCGGAGGCCATAATTAACATTCTGACAAATATTATAATTTACACTATAAAAAGCTAATTCAATGTTATCAGTATCGTATACAGTTAAAAATAATCCTAATACCTAACCACAATATCTTAGTAGGTATAGTAATTCGGTAAAAAGTACCTATGTAGGTATTATGATTAGATAAGAGGTACTTATCTAAATAGTTACCTACTTTTACTAAGTAAGTACTAATAACCCGGGCATCATTTAATTACAACCCAAAAACCCCTATAACTAAACTGACCATTTATTTTTTAACTCAAAACGGGACATGGGTTTATTTATACTCTAAAAACTATAACTTTATACAATTAGTGTTCACTATAAAATTATATTCGGTATAGACGGTAATTATTAAATGCAACATATTTTTTAAAATTATTAATTACATTTGTCAGTGGATTAAATTTGCTTTAATAAAGTTGGTGATGATTTTAAATAAGAATAAAATTCTGGGCAAGTTTTCTTTATTGAACTGGAACCGTAAGTGTTTTTTTCAGACGTCAACAATTTATTCAAAATAGAAAAATACTCTTTCTACTTTTGTACCAGGTAGACATAAAATATATTCGATTAAAAAAAAATTATGTTGAAGATTGTCGGCTTTGAATACTTCCATCCAACGAGTTACGGGACAATTTTGTATCCCGGAGCTTTATTTGGGGACAATGGGACAAGTGACCGAGAAAAGGGACAGTCCCGTTCAAAACGGGACGTATGGTCACTTTACCTATAACCCGGCGACGGCTACGTGGCGCAGTGGCTTAGCAATCAGTTGTTGCTCTGGAGGCCGCGGGTTCGAATCCCGCACGGAACAAGTATTTGTATAATCTACAAATAATTGTTCCGGGTCTGGATGTTTGTCCTTGTGCAATTTATGTTTGTAAACTGCCTCCACGACGAAGAGGAGAATTTTTTTTTAAAAATTTGAATATGAAAGATTGAACTTTTATACTTCTTGTTGATTTTTGTATTACCTTTATTAAAGTTACCCTTATGTATAAATAAATATAATTACGTATGTAGAAATAAAATTGGATAAAAATAAAACCAACATGTTTTTTTTATCATCACCATCAATCATTGGGGTGAGGATAATGTCAGCCAGCTAAGTTATAAGCAGGCTAAGTTACAAGGTGCTCAGTTCAAAAATTAGTAGGTAGGTATTTAACTTTTCAATACGTGACACGTAAAAATTAACAATAATCAAAAACACATCTGCGAAACATCTTATTTATTTATTTATTTATTCTTTATTGCACCAAATATGTGTACAATAGGCGAGCTATCTATCTATTTACATATAGTGAGTAGGTATCTTTTAAACTCACAATTTTCAATGCTTCACTTTTAATATGTAATTAATTATAAAATTTTACAATTAGATAATATATGAGATTACATAATTCTAACATAATGCAATTAATATACGGAATAAAAAATTAAAATACATTTATCGTTGTACGCCGTGTATTTCCATAAAATAGTTTATTGATGTTGAAAAAATAATACTACGTTCGTACAGTAGGTGGCGTCTTGCATATTTCTTACGCAATATATTGTAGCGAGTCGGCGCAGCGGACCGAATACTCAAGGTCGTTCGCATGGAGTAGCCCCTTAAGCTTCTACTGTGCTGTTAGTTATTTATAAATTTAAAAAAATTCAAAATGTCCTCGCCGCCTTAACTGTCAGTTTCCAAGATTTTTATTAATTATTACAAGATTTACAATTGAGCACGAACTCGCTTAATATATATATATATATATATATATATATTGAAAAGGTGATCAAAGTACCAGACAGTGTGTAACTTCACTACTGAATAGCTAGTTTATTTCACCATAATATGTCGCATCCTACCTGTTTTCATGACGTAATAAATATTCTTACGTCAAAACACAAATTCAAAATAAGAAATAATGATAACGTCTAAAAGAACTTATTGATTGATTATTGAGATAATTAATAATATCCCGACATTGATAATAATTATACATGTTTATTTTATATTTGTTCATAAACATTTTTTTTTTATAGGATAAGGGTGACAAACGAGCACACAGTCCACCTGATGGTAAGTGGTCGCTGTGGCCCATAGACATCTATATCTATCTTCGATTAAAAGTCAAAATGCAGATGCGTTGTCACCCGTGAGGACTAAGATGGAATGCCTCGTTTCCAGTAAAAAGGGTCTCCGGTTCTCTACACTCACCATACGAAACACAGCAGCGTTAAGCTGCTATTTTACGCTGGTATTCTGTGAGAGCGTGGTCCTTCCCCGGTCGAGCCGACCCATTCGTGCTACAACCATAATATAGATGCAGCATGGCTCTACCACGTATAAAAAACAAAAAAAAACGTACAAACGTGTGTAATAATTTTATAGACTATTTGAAAGGAATGCATTGAATAAAGCGTTTTCTTACCTTCTAACTAGACTCTTGAGCACATGAGCAAGATAATCACGTATAGCTCTAGCGTAGTTTTCATGCTCATGCGGACGCGGTAATGCCGGTAGCAACTTAGCGAGGACTATGACGACACCCGAATGTACCACCCAAGCTTCCCCCGATGGACTGCCTACAGAAAGATTTAATGGAGCCGCACGTCCCGCTGGCTTTGTCTGTGAAATCACATCATGTCTATGAAAAATTATTTTTAAAAACTTAGAAATAATACTTTCCGTGTTACGTACATTCTAAAAATGTAAAAGGTACAAAAGTCCGATCACAATTAATAATGAATTGTCTACTAGCTTGTTTATAATTATATTATTAATATTCCCATCTAAAGCTAAAGATTATTATATCTATGTTTGATCATAATTAACCTACCTCATTTATAGCAGAACTTTGTCTGGTCAAACTTGGTGATTTCACATTTAGAGATCCACAAAATGTGGGCTTGTCAAATGAGTCCAATGCAACATCATACAATAACCTCAACACTATACAAGCATGCACAAAAACAACTGGCACTTTCTCAGGGTTACTGAAAACAAAATGGCAATTAATCGTGTACACTAAATATGACTTATTTAAAAAAAAAAGTTTCGTATAAAATTTTAAAATTTTACGTACGTCATTTCTAGTATGTTTCCCGTAAAAATCTCGTGAAATACCTCATACAACTCTGGATCACCACTTTCGGTGTCATGCAATAATTCAGTATCATTTGTGAAGCATCCCAACCGTCGTATGGTTTCACTTAATGTAGTCATACATATCTGAAAAAATTGCGATTTTCTTATACTCCTTCAAAGTAATGAATATGCAAACAAATCGGCAGTCGCGGTAAGAGGTGAAGAGGGATCGGGGAAAATATCTGTATAAAATACTCAGAACGAAGCTACATTTTTTAAATATTGTTGTACTGCCAATTAAGATAATAACTTAGCTTTGACAATCGGGGAAAGCTGTTAAGATGTGTCTTTTTTTGGGTACAATGTGTACATATGAAAGGAAAAAATATTAAATTCTGTACGAACCTCGTGATGGAAAAATTTAGCATTGGCTGGCTCGAACCTCATTGCTGTACTGATAGTATAAAAGACAATATGTATTAACTGCAACATATCTCGATCCATAAACTCGTCGCTTTTGAGTTTACCCTCAAGAGACGCGAGAACGCTCGTGACGTAGACAAAACCGCTAACCTATTCAGAAATAGAACACACATGATGAAATTCTGTAAAACACTGTAAACATTCAATTTTAAATAAGAAACTTTTAAACTTTTTAAATATTTTTTTTTTGAAAAAAAATACGCTTAAGTAGCGTTTTTTTTTCTTCTTTCATTATTACAGATCCATACAAACCCACTGCTGAACATACGTCCTATCCCAAAGAATTGAAAATAATACGGTCCTGCGCAACTGCAGATATTGACTTCCCGTATGTCTTACCAGATCGTTGCTCAATCTCGTGGAAGTGGAGAGATGTGAATGAAATGATGTAACTAAATCTGCCAACAGTTTTAAAGTTCAGCAAAAATGCCTCTTAGCACAGGAATAGCGGGACCGCAGGAGACTGGAAGTCATCTCTTTGTACTGTTATTCTATATTATGGAATATATGCCACACTTGCCATTTTAATATTCCAGGATATTATTATATTTATTTTATAATATTATAAAGAGGTATAGACGTTTGTATGTAGGTTGTTTGTAAGCTGAAATTTCTGGAACTGCTGATCCAATTCAGAAAATTCTTTAATAGATACAAAGCAACACTATTTCTAAATGATATAGACTACATCTTACTGTGGTAAAAAATCAGTATGAAATCTGTATATTTATAAAAATGGGACTCGAGAAGGGTGAGGTGATTGGCTGCTTCATTGCCATCCGCTGACCGAACGCTTTGCTATAAATAAGCAAAATGAATTGCAAATAACAGCTGAATCAGACTTACAGTTATTTGTCAAGCCGTTTATTCTACTAAGCGTAGCAAATTTCCAATGAAGAAAACTATACGTTTTGTTCATTGGAAATTTGTATGTAGGTATATAACGTGTTTCTCTATGTACGACATTAAATGAAAACGAACATTCAGTATCTTATTTGAGTTATCATTCTCATTATGATCCTAAATACAAACGCACATGATATAAAGATATGCCGTGATTTGTTTTATCGGATGTTTACCTTTCTAAAAATTGTTCTCGTTCGGTGCGAATCACGGAGGCACGTGAGTAGCACTTTTAAAATATGAAGTTTGAGTAGCAGCGCATCATTTGGTGCTGCGTGCATTCCGCACAGTAGTGCAGACATGTCCTCTTCGCCTGATCCACTCACAATTAGCTCCCTTATTACACCTTATACAAACAATTTAAAGATTTTACAAGATATATTAAAAAACCTGTCTGATCTGTAAGGGTACTAAAATGCAGTTCTAATCATGCAATCCTTTGTATAAAATACACTGAAAATGGAATGGAAGTTAAAGAAAATGCAATCGGAGGGGGAAACTTACATGAAAACACTTATTCCAAAGTGCAATAAACAAACGAGTTACAACTAATGAATATTTATTATTTAAAGGTTCTTATTTTGTTTTCTTTTTTGTATATTTATTATTTATTGTGATGCCTATATGCTCTTTTGGATTAGACTTGGTTTACGTAATATTACACGATTCAGATACATACATTTGAATGTGTTAACTCAAATTATAAGTAAGTACATACAAAAACGTTAGAAAACTATTTTTCATCATGTTTAGATTAATATGAAAAATAAATGTAAAGTAGCACTACTAACTTTGGTATAATAAGAATATAATTACTTAATAATTTTAATAAAAATAAGATGCTTTTATGTCTAAAGCTATATTTATTATCATTAATATTTAAAACAAGAACTATATTAAAAAATACTGTTTACAAATATGTAGTGATGAACCTATTTAAAATTTACTTACCTAAAGCCTTACTTCTACAAGATTCATGAACCACCATACCATGAACACATTTAGCACCGCCGCAATCTCTAAACACGTTACAGTTATTTGTATTCCCATTTAATAGCGCTGTCAGTCCTTCCATTACTAAAGCTCCCAATTCTTCCTCCTCTGCATCAGAATTTGGGTCTTTAATCAAAGAATCCTGTTTAGAGGACAATCTTTTTCTTCTCTCGGGCGCTACGGGAGATTCATTCGGGGTGTTCTCTACCACATCCTTTTTATTTTTCTCTTCTTCGAGTATTTGCTTATCTTTAAGAAAAGCAGCGTAACGGGACAGACAGGTAACAAAGACTTCTAGCATCCCCACCTCTCGGTACACATCTTTGAAAATTGTATTGTGCCTGAAAAATGATAACACAAACATTTGCCAAGAGTTTCGCAAAATTATTACATATTTATAGTTAAAAAGCAGCTTATGCAATTATGCAAACATAAAACTTGTAATAATATTTTTTAACTAAAATATTGTATTTTAGTTTAAAAGTTGGGAAAACTGTGTATTTGTACTGGAATAATCTAAACATATAAATAACATTGAAGTAACTGTCTATAGTATCGATATAACGGCATTTTATTGAGCTGATTAGCAAGCCATTAAAACATGAATAACCATTTTTAAAAATGTTGCCTCTCTGTCTGGCCGGGCTGCGGCTGAACCGATTGTAATGAAACTTCAAGAACAGATAGAGAACAATACCAGGAGTGATCTGGGCTATATATTTTTTTAATGTTAACCGATAAACAAAGCTTCTTTTGGGAAATCGAAAATTTATAAAATAAATGGTCTTTGCCTGACGATTACCTTAAATCTACACAACGCCACATTACTGATATAGATCCTACCCAGGCGGAGACGGGGCGGATCGCTAGTCTATAATAAATGTTAAGTTAGAATACTCAGAAATGTTATTTTTAAAATTCATTATCATTCATTAGAGTCATGCCACAGCTGCTACAATAGGCAGAGTAGAGTTGGCAACCGCACTTTTGATTACGAGTACTATTATTGAATTATTATCGGGAAGAAGCTGCTGCCTATCTCCTGTCTCACTTTGTCTCTGTCGCCTCTTACCACACCCGCGGGATTATACTAAACGGCATTAATAAATAATAATAAATTACAAAATACTTACTTTAAAATATTTAGCAAAGTTTTCATACACAATATGCTACAGCTCCTCGATTTATTTGCTTTCAACAATAAAGATAAGGATATCAACTCTTTACATGGAACAAAGTTCAATTGAAAAACTATGAACTCCAACAGTTCAAAGAACTTCTCTTGTATTTCGGCATTTTTCGTGTAAATTTTTTCTGAGAATTGGCTTAGGGTATTTTGATTTTCCAGTATGAAGTAGTTAGCATTATCTGCATGATACACACTTGAGATTGCATCTAGGATAGTACAGCAAAGTGCCGGTGAAGTCGATTTTATAAATACCGATTGTAGAACCTAAAATTATTAATTATAAATTGAAAAATAATACAATTAATTATTCAAGTTATTAGATTATAGAATTTGGACTGAAATGTGAAGGTCTGCATATAAGTATACTGTTGATCATTATTGGCTTATTTACTGACTTACACCTCTTTGAGAATCAATACTATTTCTTTGGGAATAATTATATTAGTATAATTATTTTTTATAATAAATTATAATTAAATATTAAATAATTATTTTCTTTATCTCATTTGAATAATGTATAGTACATGTTCATTAATATTTTAGTCGTCTTGAATATATTTATACTATCATATCAACAATAAGGTACAACCTGGCCTGGCTGGTTGTTGTGAATCTGTTGATTACGAGATTCAAGTTGGATAGTGTACGTTATAGTTGCAGTATTATTGTTTTGTGTCTCCACTGAAATTGTTACATTCTATTACTCAATGTTACAATTTTCTATATTTTTCTGAACGACTAATAGAATGTGGTGGTTAAGTAAAATTTTGGTGGTGAAGCGTTTTTCCCAATAAACATTTATAAAAGGACAGTTATATATTTTTCGAAAAACGAATGATATAAACGTAATATAAACTTATAACTGCTGATGCTTAATTTGGAAATGAAACTATAAAGGAGTAGTGAATAATGGTGCTAGTTTTAGTGATTATTATTTAAAAATATACCTGAAAAGCTTGCACATTCCTAACAGCTTGACCGGGCGTTGACGGCTGTGGCAACACAAAGCCTTGTAATTGGAATAGTTCGGTATTGGCACGGGTTGGACGTAGCTCAGAGAAACCACAGGCGCAAAGCGACGAGATCATCAACACGAGATTTCTTAAAGCAGCTTTGGCCTCTGTGCCGCTTACGCGTTCCTCTTCCAACCTAATATAGATAAAATAAGTATAAAATAAATTGAATGCAAATAGCAATTATTATGAATAGTTCCAAGCCATAATTAAATTTAGCTCTACGCCCACCCATATAAGCACATATATTTCAAATATTTAGGTGTAAATCATAATATCATTATGTTATAGTTTCATTAAACAAACAATTTAATTATTATTTATTTAATATTAAATAACGATTTAATTTTGCGAGACAAATTAATTTTAAGATCTATGTTATGGGTCATAAACTCATAAATAATAGAGCGCAATTTATTTAATAAGCACAACTTACTAACTTAATAAAAACAATACGTATTAGTTTACAGTGCTATAAAAATAACTAATATTTGTGTATAAAATAACAAAGATTTTGTTTCTATAGTAACACTGGACCACTGGATATTATTATAAAATTTTATTATTTCTTAGTACTTGTACAGCCTATATCTTTCTGGGCATACTTTTATAAAGTCATAAATAAAACTTTATGACGTACTTTAATACGAATGTTCTTTCTTTACCCATGCGCTTTAAAATCTAGGTATTAAATTATTGAATAAAATTGAAGTGCTGTCTGTAATATCGAAATAATTGTCTTACATTGAGCTGAGAAGGTTATTTGAATGATATTAAGACATAAACAACCATTATTTAAAAAAATCTATGTGTCTGTCCGGTCTAATCTTCGGAATGGCATTACCGATTGTAATGAAACTTCAAAAACAAATAAGGAACAATGGCAAAGTTATTTAGGCTATTTTATTCAAAAAACTTGGAGATATATTTTTTGAAGAAAAAAAAAAGGATATTGATAAAATAAGTCATCATCTAAACAACTACCAATAATACCCAGGTGAATCTAGGGCGGGTCGCTAGTCTTTATATATATAAATATTACGTATCACGTTGTTTGTCCGCGATGGACTACTGAACTGATTTCAATGAAATTTTGCACACTGTGTGTAATTTTAGTCCAACTTGAGAGATTGAATAGTTTTTATCCCGCTAAATGACCCTCAAAATTTTTTGTTCACTGTAAGTCTGAGATCATATATTCTCACTAGGACAATACCAAGTATTCCAGCGAGTTTGTATATATATATATATATATATATATATATATATATATATATATATATATATATATATATATATATATATATATGTATTAGCATACACTGTATCTATATAACATAATATTATGTAATAAGAACAAAAATATAAACTTTTTTGTAAAATTAATTTCATATCAATGAAGACTTAATAAAAGTATTGTATTAGTGACAACATATTATCCCTAGACATATTCATATTCTTAATTTCATAATAGATGAATCCAAACCATATTCTCTTACAAGTTGCTTACAGTACAGTTCCTTCTTTTCACCTTCAAGTTAACGAAAAGTATGAGATGACGAATTTTCGAATTGACTAAAATACTGTCTCACAGGCCACTCTACTTGATTGCTATGCCACTTTTAAAACCCAAATCCCAAAGCATTAAACAGGCAATAACACATATGTTAGTAAAATTACCTTCTGCACACATTCAACATTTTTTAGAATGTTAGTTTCAAAAAAAAATCTGAGCTTACCCCAATGTCAAATAATCAGGTATATCTTGTCTCTCATGTCTGTGATAATAACAAATAAAAAAAAAACAATCATAATTTAACGTAAAAATAAATAATAAAACTTAATTAAGTACAACAATAAAAGATTTTCTGAGGTATTAAAATTACTCACTTGAGTAAGAATTCCGATAGAAATAGATATCCTTGACAAGATCGAAAATCATCAAGAAGTAATTGACTAACTTCACTCGAGTCCTTTAGAAAGCAGAATACTGCTACAAACATCTCCACAACCTGAATAAAAAATATAATAATAAAAATGTATTACCTTATACTATTTTAATAATAAAAATTGAACGATATACAGGTTTATTTTGCAATAACCGGCCAAATTTGCAGAGACGGTTCAGAATAAGTAACATAGGCAAATGGTAAAGAAAAATTACTTAAGAAAATCTCAATCATTCTGTACTTTTTATCTTTTAAATTCAAAATTTGTGGTAATGCATTATTTTAACTGATTTTACTGCGTGCGTGCGCAGTACATTCGTAAGGGTCGATCGGTAGGCAAAAACGTTGTTGCCCATAAATCACATTCAATTTGGGATAATTTAAAATAAAAGTAGAAGCCTTATTTACTCGTATTTTTAAAAACTGCAATTACGGTATATCTTTATTTATATATTTATTAATTAAACTTAAGTTTAAAATTTGGCTACTTTTTGAAAAATAACCCTGTATATATGTACATATAATAAATTTGTACAAAAATTGTGTGTTCACGATTTACTCAAAAACTACCAAAAGACTTTCCATGAAACTTTATACGTAGGCAGTAAATGACCGTGTATAACATATAGACAACTTATGCGCTTACGGAAAAGTAAAACAAAGGATAGTGTTTTGCCTTTTTTAATAAGTTTAATGTCATTAAAGCTGCTGACAGTTCTATTAGTTCTATTAGAAGATTTAGCTATACGTATAATAAATCTATAGAAAAGTGTATGTGTGTGTGTATGTGTGTGTGTGTGGGTGTGTGTGTGTGTGAAAATGAATATAATCGCGCCACCAGCCGAAAAGGGCAGTAAAACGTCTACCGGGCCAGCTAGTACTTAAAATGTCAAGAGGGTACGCGATAAAAAGAGGAAATATTCTCGTTTGAGCAGTTAAAGCAATATAATGTTTGACTGCTTCGTTGGTCTAGTGGTCATAAACGTAACTGCTGATCATAATGTCGCAGGTTTGAATCTCGGGTCGGTCCAAAAAAAGTTAGGTATTGAGTTTTTCTATTAAAGAATCTTCAATAGTAGTCAGGAGTCAGTAATTTGGCGGCGTTTCACCCCAGTGCCGTTCGGCGCCGATGCTCAGAAATTCCTTTGAAGTCATTGAATCGATTACTAAAATTCATGTGGCTATAGCGACTTTGGATTAACGCCGAGTTCGGGTGTAACGACTGTTTTTAATGAATCGTTTGTAACAAATTCCTAGAAATCCCGTGCAGATATTACGACCGGAGTCGGCCGTCAAAGACACAAAGATTTCTTTCTTTCACAAACATTTCTTATCTTTTGTTTTCATCCACACAAGATGGTCAGCAAGTGTGGAGACCTTTACCTTTTGTTTATAGATATCTGATAAGTAGGTAGGGAAGCGTGTACGTTTCGGAGTTAAATTTATGGTTCAGTTACAAAGTGATATACTGAGTAGCAACTGCAATGTATTGAATTTGTTACCTTTGCCTGTAACGACTTCCGGATATAACGACGAAAATAGAGTGGTCCCTTCATCGTCGTTATACTCGAAATCCACTGTATTTTGTTTGTGATTATTAGTGATGTCAATTGTGATTATTACACAAAGAACAGTATTTTGCGTGCGTGCGTGTGCGTGTATAATATACACACAAACATTTAAAACAAGTATTTCTTAACTGTATTAAGTGACTTGGATAACTTGTAAGTAATCCTTACAACTCATATTAATATGTCTGTCTACAAAATTAATGATAATTTTAATTACTAATCTACTATTTTACAAGCTCGTAGAGAGAAAATCTTTCAATATATCTATGTTTTAGGATATTTTATAGTATTCGCACGTATACTTACAACAGTACAGATATGCACTATCATTTTTTCTCTTGTTTATAATTTACTAAGTCAGTAGATTATAAAGCTTATTCACAAATAAATTACTAAATTTAAATTCTTAACAATAACATTGGTCAGTCACAATTTGACTGCTGCCATGTGCAAACAAATTCTGTGGTCGTAATCATTTACATACCTCCAATGGAGTCAGCTCTGGTATTCTTTGCATATTTTCTATGCAAAGTGCTACACAGCCTTTGTCTGTAAAACAAATAAATAATTGGTATACAAATATCGTTAGTGTGATAAAGGAAATTAATAAGTCAAAGAAAGTACGAAACTTACTATGTATATACTGAACTACTGATTGTGTTAGTCCATGTCTAGATAATGTCATCAACACTTCAGCAGCAGACTTCCTCCACATAATGTTATATGGTGCACACCAAGAAGTAATGGCAGAGAATAAAAGACTTAAATCGTCCTTCCTTGCAAGTTCTTCGCATGGAAATGGATGGCTGCATAGCCTCACAAGTACCTGATAGTCAATAATATAAGATTTAATTTGTTTATTACGAATCTAGGATTAACGTGAACTTTTGCTCTATAGTCACCTCAGGATCTTTATGTTTTTACTTTTATAATTTTTAAATATGGAATTTGATGAACATTGAAATAACATAAATCCCAATTTAAAGATTAAAAAAAAGGTCACAAATTTGTAAAAATTTACATAAGCCAAAATAAATACATAAAAAATATACCTGTACAAATATCTTCTGTAAAAGGATTCTTCTCTCTCTAGGTGTGAACTCACTATTTTCATCCTGAATATCAGCCTCGGCATCAGGAATTTCAGGAAGATCAAAAAACAAATATAGACATTTTACTAAGGTTGATGGTATTGCTGCTGTTGTCATCACCTAAAATATAAATATTTTAATTTTAACGCCTTAAATTACGAAACTTACACATAACAGTTCAACAATAAAGTAAACTAACAATTTCACACACACATACATACATTACAACAGTATCGTTCATTGACAGCGAAAACTCGGATACAGACTTTTTTTATAGGGTAGGGTGACAAACGAGTACACAGTCCACCCGATGGTAAGTGGTTGCTGTGGCCTATAGACATCTACATTTATTCTCAATAAAGAATCGAAACGCACATGCGTTGTCACCCGTGAGGACTAAGATGGAATGCCTCCAGTAAAAAGGGCCTCCGGTTCTCTACACTTACCATACGAAACACAACAGTATTAAGCTGCTATTTTTTGACGCTGGTATTCTGTTTGGGCGTGGTCCTTCCCCGGTCGAGCCGACCCATTCGTGCTACAACTATACTACTAATATATCTGTAGCATGGCTCTACCACGTATAAAACTCTCGACTCGGATCAGTCGCTCGACCGTTCTGGCATATTGTATGAGGGCGAGCGGCTTGCGTTGAAACAAATCCGAAAAAACACGACCGTTATTATTGTAATTTTTAAGCTTAAGAAGAAGTAAATAGTAATAAAGTGACTAAAAATTACTTATATATGAAAGGTAACGCCATCTTTTTTTGTAAATTTGACGTGACAGATCTCTTTTTGCATCAAAGAACTGAACAATTCGACATTTCTATGGTAAATGGAATGTTTTTTTTTAAACCTGTCTGTGAGATGTGTGGTCTATGTATGAAATAAAAAATGACGACATTTTTACATTATTGCTCTTATACTGAAACGCAAATATATCTTCTACTCCACTTAAGCCTCCATAGCTGGAAAAATCCACTCAGCCCCTATCGATTGTCTCACTCTTAAAGGCTATATTTCTTGTTGGTCCAGTAGTCGCAAACACGGCTTGTGATCATGAGATCTCGGTGTCGAATCTCGGTTAAGACTAAAATCATTAGGACTTTTTTGTCGAGAAATTCTCAGTATGAGTCCGGAGTAAGGAAGTTGACAATGTTTCACCCCCGTGCCTAGGGAATTACGTAGAGCCGGTGGTCGTGCGCCTGAACTCTCTCTGATCATGTCGGCTTGCCGCCTCATCGGAAAGTGAGAGTGAGTAATTAATGAATGCACTTGTATTGGGCCTATTCAACCCTATCTGTCAGCTGGTTCGAGCTACAGATGTCGGGCTGTGACCCAATGTCGTGTCCCTATATTCCCCCGGTAATCCTAACGCCTGAAATTCATTTTTTTCAGTAAAGCTTAGCTGGCAGGTCACATTACAAAGAAAGTAGCTGATGACAACCTCGTTAGTAACCAAGCAGCATGCAAGCTGTATTGAAGTTCTTTTTTATACAAGAGGTTGTATTTTCTGGCTGTATAAAGGCTGTATAAGCGCTTATACAGTTCTTATGAAAATTAATAGAATCAGGCGTTACTTTGCGGAAGTCCATTATATTAAAGTTGGCAAAAAATTACTTCGCGTATATCCGCTCGATAAAATAAAATGATGTGTCTTACCTAGTTTGAAGAGTACCTCCTCCCCTCCCTCAATTGCGTGCACTATCACCGTCACCACTAATCCCAGCACCACTACTCCCAACACCACTACACTAGGAAAGACACCACCGACGACAATACGACACGTGTTTCGCCTCTACACGAGGCATCTTCATGTAATCTAGACTCTGCGGTGGCTGACCGCTAAGTGACCGCTAAGATACATCATTTTATTTTATCGAGCGGATGTACGCGAAGTAATTTTTTGCCAACTTCAAGTTCTTATGAAGTAAAAAATTAACACAAATTATACAGCTTTATGCGTTAGTAGCGTTGTACAGTAGCTGTACAAGCACAAAAGAGGCTGTATAATAGCTGTATTACAGCTATTATTTGGTGAGCAAGGAAACTATTTTACTACAGATATAGTCATTAAGTAACTTTTAAAGACAAACGCTCTAAATTGGGTTTTGAACGGAGTTATATATTAATATAAAACAAAAAGAACTTTATTTTCGATGAATAGAATGTATTTATATACTTCGTTGAATGATGGCGACATTTAATGTCAGACAGTTACTGGAACCTTTTTAGTTTTTCCTCACGGGTGACAACGCATCTGCATTTTCATTCGTAATCGAAGATAGATGTAGATGTCTATGGGCCACAGCAACCACTAACCATCAGGTGGACTGTGTGCTCGTTTGTCACCCTTCCTCTATAAAAAAAAATGCGTAAAATCCGTTAACACATAACTAAAAACATATAACTGTCTAATTACGGCGTTAATGCATATTTTATCCTTTTTTCCCAATCGTGCATATTTCGTTTATTAGCGGGAGGAACATATGAGAACCTAGGTGACGAAGACGTGTAGGGCGCGAGCGCAGTGGCTGGCTGAACTGACTGGCTAAATTTTAAATTTTGTCCAATGTCGTAAGTTGATGTAGAGAGGTCGTTTTCGGCATACAAATTGATACTGGTTTTTTTATAGGATAGTGTGACAAACGAGCACACAATTCTCCTGATGGTAAGTGGTTGCTGTGGCCAATAGACAGCTACATCTATCCTCGTTTGCAAATTAAAATGCAGATGAGTTGTCACTCGTGAGGACTAAGATGGAATGCCTCTTTTCCAGTAAAAAGGGGTCTCCAGTTCGCTACACTCACTATACGAAACACAGCGGTGTTAAGCTGCTATTTTACGCTGGTATTCTGTGAGAGCGTGGTCTTTCCCGGTCGAGCCGACCCATTCGTGCTACAACTATACTACTAATATAGCTGCAGCATGGCTCTACTACGTCACAAACGTTACAAATTGTATTCGAAAATTTAGAAAAATACTTAATTGTATATTGTCGTAAAAACTATGCATAATTTTAAGAACATTTCGCTGTTTTTGTACCGTCTTTAATTAAAATATATAAAAATAAAAATGGTTTTTTGATTTTGCATTGTGCTTATTTTGGGCATATCAACAGTTTTAAGTGCATATTTCGGCCTTTTTAGTGCATATTTGCATGCATATTTTGGATGTATATAATCCTATGTGTACTGATGTCTAATATTCCTAAAATTATATTTTAAATTTTGTTTTTAGGGGTTCTAAAATGGCGACAATTTGCTAAAAAGCCTAAAAGGTAATTCGAGGATCTTATAGTCTTAGTGGCTGTAATATGTATGTTATGGATTTTATCATGCAGCCATTGGTTTTTAAGTATTTGTATAATAGAATATTTTATTACTTACGCTGTATTGCAGTTTTTTTCAACATAACATATAATTCCCTTTAGAGATACGTATAAAAGGTGAAAAACCTCGTCTTTGGAACAGAGTTGGATAACTTTTATTTAGATTTAACATGATAGAAGGTCATGTTAAATCTAAATAAAAGTGCTGCACCAACTGCACCAAATGTTTATCTTTTTTTCCACATATTGATACGAAATTAATTTTGTTCACTAGCACAATATAAACACGCGACGCATGTAAAATGACAATAGTCTATCACTTATACAGATTTAAATTGTACTATGACTGTTTTTTTTTTTAGTTTTATATCACCCTCATAAACAGAAGTAATAAAACTATTGTATTTACAAGAGTGTACAATTACACCACAAAAATAAGTTTTAGAAGGGAGTTTGCACACACCATTGTTCAGAAATAAGATTTAAGTGATACTATAATAACACTTAAAACCAAGTGACAGCATACAAAAAACCAGCTTCTATAGAGCTTTAATGATACAATCAGATTCAAGTGTTACAAAATATTTAAAGAAATACTAGAGTTTCATATTCTGATTAAGAACCCTAAGCTTACATAGATCCCACAATACAGTCTTTATTCAGCTTAAGCAGTATAATAACTCCTAAACCACTCTTATAAGGATACAACCTCTTTTCGACGCTCTTATACGCTTCTAAAAGAACTATAACTTCTATGTGGGCTGGTAAATTGATGTTCATAAAGCTTTTGTGCTGCTTGGGTATCCAGAGGAAGACGATCAGCGAGGTTTGTAGTAGCTAAGACCCTGATGCGTCGGGCTCAGTTTTCAGGGGCAAACTTGTGTGGCGATCAGAAGGCATTGTATTGTTTGAAGGGGAACAGCGCCACCCTCGACGTTACGTTCATACCCAAATCAGGTAAGAGCCACTATACAAACCTAAAATCCTATAGACCCATTATTTGTATATATTAGCCTCATATCCTTTCTCCTAAAGGCGATGGAGAAGACGAATGAACGGGAATTAAGGGGGTCGGCGCTGATGAGCATACCACTACACAACAAGCAACATGTCCACAGCACTTGCACAGTGGTAGAGCCACGCGGCAGCTTTTGTTGTTGCACGGATGGGCCGGCTCGAACCGAGTTGGTACCACGACCTCACAGAATACCAGCGCGAAGTAGAGGCTTACCTTTGCGTTTCGCTTGGTGAGTGCAGGTGGCCGGAGGCCCTTTTTACTGGAAACGAGGCATTCCATCTTAGTCCTCACGGGTGACAACGCATCTGCATTTTTATTTGTAATAGAGGATAGATGTAGATGTCTATGGGCCGCAGCAACCACTTACCATCAGGTGGACTGTGTGCTCGTATGTCACCCTATTCCTATAAAAGAAAAAAAAAAGCTTAATTAATAGAATCAGGCGTTACTTTGCGGAAATCCATTATATAAAAGCTTTTACAAAAATTTACTTCGCAAATATCCGCGTTATAAAATAAAATGATGTGTCTTACCTAGTATGAAGAAGCACCTCCCGCCCTCCCTCAATTGCGTGCACTAACTCCGTCACCACTAATCCCAGCACCGCTACTCCCAACACCACTACACTAGGCAAGACACACCACTGACGATAATACGACACGTGTTTCGCCTCTACACGAGGCATCCTCAGGTGATATAGACTCTACGGTGGCTAACCGCTAAGTGAGCGGCGAGCCAAAACAAGTGCCTTTTATACAAACCGATGACG